GCCTGGCGCGCGCGGCGCCCCGCCCCTTTCCCAGGCCCGGCGGGGGCGCCTCGAGGGGGCTCGCGCTCTCGAGGCGCGGCGCGCGCGGCCACACCAGCGGCCGGCGGTGATGTGAGGGAGCGCCTGGCGCGGCAGAAAATACAAAATTATCCTTTGAAACAACGTCTAAAGAGTAAAAAAAAAACAACATAAAAAAGGGCCAAGCTGGGGATTCTCTATTTCCACCGCGGTAGTTGTCCCCACGCTCCTACCTAAAGGGCGGTGAGGAGGAGTGGCCTATGTCCTCACACCCTGGCTCCTCAGGGAATCCCGCCGGTTCTGCTCTCCAAAGCCAACCCCATCCTGATGGACAACGGCTTTGGATGAACGCAGCCGTTCAATGTCATGGTGAGGAGCCACGGGACCTGCCCTTCAGCTCGATGTCACGGTGCGGATGCAATGCAGGGAGCTGAACTCATGTTCCCCACTATAAAGATCAGTTTGGTGTCTCGTCAGCTACGTTTGACCTTGCTGCTATGGGTCATAGAAAAAAGCAAATACCCAGTAGGCGAAACTGTGAGAGCCAAAGTATTTATTGCTTGTTTCCATGGAGCAACAGGGAAGGATCTCATCTTCCTCAGAAATGGCCCCACTCTGCCACCTGAGCTTATTTCAGGGTCCATGGTACCCTAGAGGAGCAGCATCCTCTCCATCACAAAACTGGGTGAGGACACCAGTCTCCAGGTCCCACACCTGTTCCAACAGCCACCAGAGGGCAAAGCGGTCACAAGCGGATGCATTTGATTTCAGCCAATCCGTTGCATTCACCAAAGGAGGAAGATGAGGTCAGGGCCTGGCAGGGCTGGTCGTTGAAGCCAGGCTGAAGAGCAGCCCGTCTGGGCATAAACCTGTAGGATTCGCTTGTGCCATGTGTGCTGCAAACACAACTTGCCACTACAGAAGACGCAAAAGAGAACTTGTGCAAGGTATCCTTTATTCCTGTGGTATGTCTATGCACGGAAGCTATTTAATAATTTTTATATTTTATATGGAAGGTAGTCACAACATTGAGCTCTGTGAAAAGAACACGTTTCGGTCTGATCCTACCAGATATTTAGTGTTGAAAAACAGAGTGAAAAGGGAAGGAAAAAAAAGGCAAGAGGAAAAATGCAAAACCACTAGAACAAAGAAGCCGACACCAACATTAAACAGTTGTAACTGATACGTGACAACCGTTTCCTGAACAGGGCATGAAGCAACGTTCTTTGTTATTACTCTGAACTCAAGGCCTTATATGCACTTGGAAATTTACTAAAATAGGTTTTCCAGAAGAGCAATTTCCAAAATGGATCTCCAGCAACAACACACTGCCATTGTAGGTAAACAAGGAACAAACTGGCCCGCACATTTTGGAGCAGGCATCAATTTGAAAAAAACACCATCGGTATTAATACAGACATTTTTACTTCTTTAAATCTGCACCCCCAGCAGAAGCTTATCCAAAATGGTAGGAATCGCTGACATAATTTTGGTTCCCACAACACATGGCAGAAACAGGTAAGTTTAAGTTGGAGGGTCAAATAATTTACATAATTCTCCTTCTCCATCTCCAGCTTAAGAAATACCAGCCTTGTGCTGCTGCTATATCCTGTGTGTATTCTACAGAGAGAGGAACAAAGTCTCCAGTGGTCCTAACTTGGCATTAGACACTGTTTCTTTGTGTGACTTTATCTTATGCGGGGAAGTCAAAATACTTACCCAGGCACATCGAAAGAAAGAAAACAAGCAAAGTATACAACCTCCAAAGAAAGCTCTCAAGTTTGGAATTCACTTTCTCTGTAATAGTTCAACAGCCCGTGCATTGCTGACCTTCAGAGCACACTGCAAAACACAGCTGTTTATATAACCTTTGCACGATGAGGAACATGCTTTGCCTAATCCTGTAGTGGCATCAAATGAAGTCAACTATATTTTGATATGCCCTTTTTTTTTTTTTTTTTTAAGGTTCCCTTACCCTGGAAAAGTTTATGAGTAAATGAGAAAACTGAATTAAAACTTCATGATGCAAAGGAATTCAAAGCAGAAGAGTATACAGGCAAAACTAGTCACTATTTTAAGACAAGTTTCTACCTATGTTGGCACATTATCAATTAGAATAACTTGAAGCCATAAAGTTGCTGTAGGTTTTCTAATTTCTATTATGGTGTAGCTTAGACTTAATCATGACAAGCACTGATTTAAAGGTTAAGCATTTTAGATGGAGAAACATTCTTCTTTATTACTGTGAAGCCAAGACCTTGTACACATCAGGAAATTTACTAAAATAGGCATTCTAAAATAACTATGTCAATCAGTTCCTCCTTATAGGAGGGTGGAAGGAAGCCTTCGAAAGAATCAGTGAGTAATATTAGCCCTCAGACTTCCCAGAACACTTGAGGTTTTGTCATAGAGAAGAGATTACAGAAATATGTTGCAAGATGCAGAACACCCATAGACAGATATGAAATTGTTTAAAGAGAATTTGAAAAACCTGGAAGAAAGCAAATAGGCTAAATTTTGACTTTTCTGCCTGCAAGCTCAGAGGATTCGGCACCCCATTTCCCCTTACACACAATGGGAGAAAAAGGCCAGCTTCAGTCCACCAGGGGGTAAACCTCCCTTAGTGTCTCTTTTTTTAACTTTAAAGGAGTATTATGAGACTGGCCTTGCTGTGTTTTGTGAATTTCCTCCTCCTGTTCCCTAAAAGCTCTTCAACAATTTCTCTTTGAGGAGCTTTGCATACTATTAGTGGCTACAAGTGCCTATGTCATGTTGTTTAATACTAGAAATTATTCAAAACTATAAATGTTGCAGCGTTATCCTGTCTCCTTGACTATACCAATTTATATTGAACGCCATATTCTTACAAACGCGCAAGTGTTTTTATGAGAAAACTGAGTAAAACAGGTTTCCCACGAATATAAAAAACCTCTTCCACTTAACACAAAGTAATTATCTTATGGCACATCTATGTAAAAGTCAGAATAAAGTCTGCTAAAGTTATTCTTAGGTAGTATCAAGAAGTCTGAAAAGTACTTCTTGCTTCTGGGAAAAATGGATAAGCATCTGTACCACAATCAGTGCCTTCTGATTCTGTGAAGTGCTCTTCACCAAATAGAGCACTTCATATTAAGTGTATTGCAAAAAATAATACAGTTCTTAAAATTAGACAGCTATGACTGGACTAACTGCTGCCATTTTATTTATTTATTTTTTTTTTTAGAAACTAGAGATCACACAGTATTACAGCTGTTTATATTTCACTGGAATAATCCATTTTCCACAGATCTGCAACCTGAATTTAGGTAGTGATTTCCATGAAAATACTAGTTACAGTTGTGTGCTTCAATGAATTGGCACAATAATGTAATATTAACTTACATTTTTTCTATAATGTTGCATGTAATTAGATTAGATTACATTATAGCTTCATTAACAAAATTATATTTTCAATAATTTTGTAATAAATTTGATTTTGCAGGGCTTTATCAACAGATTTATTTGATGGTAACTTCTCATCTTCTGGAGAGCTATACTTTAGTAGTTTAGGCTTTGCTCCTGCACTAATATCCATGTTGGCAGATTCTATCCAGAGGTATAAATCAATTATCCTCACATACGGATTTGATTGCAAGATCAGGACCATTGACATCAGTTGTGTAATGCACACTTCCCTTTCAACTATCAAATTAAATAGGTCTAAATAAAACTAAGCTGCTGAAATTATATATGTGTATTTAAGACAGTAATTCAGCAAGATATTTAATTACAATTTAGGTTACTTAAGAGGTTTGCCTTTTTTTCTCAGGACCCATGCTGCTATTTAATATATAGTCTGTTATTTGAATATTATTCATTATATTCTTCATTCTAATAATTGCATTGATTTTGATACATAAATGTTTAAAGTTATTAGACTGTGCATATATTTTCTTCTTTGAGATATAGTATTATTTACTTAGTTACAAATTTACAAATATTACACAGCATTTAAACGTGGGAGGGAGTAGATTTAGAATGTGAATCCTGTATAGCAAATTATCAGCACTTCCCAGAATAACATTTAATACCTTTGGCCTTTGAGTTTAAACTGTCTACTTGTCACAGCAAGATGAGATGTTTTAAAGACCAGGAAAAAATAATGTAAGAATTGGACCTCAACGAATCAAATCCTAGAAACTGTTACTGAAGACTACTTCAAAAACATCAAAACCTGAGTTAAAGTTATTACTTTTAGCAGTCTTAGGAGACCCTAGCTAAGACAACCATACAACTTGCCTCAGTGTAGGAAAATCAGTCCAACTTTCAAATCTGACCTAAGCTTCTCCTTGTCAGAAAAAAAGACACTCAAATTTAAGCAAAATCAGTAGAACGCACAAAAAAATACACGTACAAAAGTGTATATATATAATGTCTTCTAATACAGAACAATTTCAGGGGAAAATTATGTCTCTCAAGGGAATATATTCAGTGGTCTTTATCTGTGAGTCCAGCTCCTTCTTTCTGACTGGACACAGGCTGCCTCCAGCTGGGTCATAACATGAAAAAGAGCCACAAGGCTTACCTTGGAGAGATCTAACTCCCATTGAGAATTTTCACTGTCCTCTCACTGTTTCCATGGTTTCTTCAGGTTAGTCTTCTAGAAGGGACCTAAGTTATTCTAAATAATCAATGGACATTCCATGTTCAGTAAATGAATTATTTAATTATTTTTTTCTCTCTCTGGGAAAAAAGTTCACAGTAGAAACCAATTATACTTGAGAGCTGAATCTGTTCCCTTTAATGTCTGTGTGTAAACAGCACTGGTGGAAAGAGAATTCAGATTTAGGTTCTTATAATCCTCTTACATCTCTGCAGTAGTTGGGAAATAAAGGAAACAAAGTGAACCGTAGAGAAGAACCATAACAATGAAGATCAGATAATGTCACCCACTAGGTAATAAATTGTTCTTGTACAATGTAACAGGCTGTGAGTATGCATCCTACAAATTAAAACTGTGGGAAGAAAGCTTGGAAGAAGTCTGTTTCTCTTCAGTCTTTTTAGGCTTAAAGTATACATTGCATAATTTGAAATTAAAGATTCCTCAAAATGATGGCATTCATAACACTTATTCTTTGATTGACAAAGTAATCTTTCTTGGCATAAACCTTCTTCTACATCCGTCAAATAGCAATCAAATTAAAGGAACATCCTAATAGACTTCCTAATAGAGGAAGTCACTAGGCCTGTCTTTAAACCCTCTCACCTTCACTGATTTTTGATCTTTTTAAAAGTTAGGACATGGAAAAAACTTCAGTCATTTAAAAAAATATTTTAAATTTAAAATTCTCTTTGGGTCTCCGTTACACTTTCGCACGACAGGATGTTGACGAGCTTTCCCAAACCATGCAAAAAGATTATTTACATCATGTGTTTCACATAGAGCAAATAGGGAGTTTGTAAAAAAGTGACAGAAAGATAAAGGGCGTGAATTATTTTCCACGTGATTTGCTAACCAAACGTAACAAAAAGTCTCTGTTTCCCTAGCAGTGCCCTCCCCAGGACAGCCTGCCAACCTGAGAGCCCTGTCTGTGAACTGTTCTGGGGAAGTCAAAAGAAATCTCATTAAGGACGTTTCTCTCCTTTTACCTGGGGCCGTGTTTGTTTTAGGTAAGTGTTCTTCGGGAGTTAAGATAAAGGAGGGGCTGAAAGGCCCCAGCAAGCGCCTGGCCTGCTGCTGGCTTTAGACCATCAAATGCCATGGAGGGTGCAGCTGCAGGTCTCCAGCTCCAGGCTACATCGGTCCCCATCTGCCATAGCTCCCGGGGTGCCCAGTGTCAGCAGCGGCACCCACCCCGGCCCAGGGATCCCCCACAGAGGTAAGGCAGGTGCAGGGACACTTTTTTCAAAAGTCTTTTCTTCCTTTCAAAACTCTGACTGTAAGTATCATTGGAATGTGACAATTTCAGTATTGGACAGGCAACAGAAAACGATTTCTGACTTCAGAAGAAAAGGGCAAAATATGTTTCTGAAATGAACAGGTATTTTATTTGTTTTGCCAATATTTTATCCTTTTCAGTCAAATATTTCAAAACAAACTTACAAACGGAAGTAAATTAAGGTTGGGATAACCAATTTATTATTTCTATGTTATTTTATTTACCTATTGTATCTGAATGCACTTTTCCGTTTCCCCATCTGTATGAATCTGTTACACAGCAGTGGAGATGGAATGTACTGTTAGAAAGAGCATCCATAATGGTAGTCCCCCTCACCAAACAAAAGGCAGATGTAACATCCACCACTGCATATGCTCTCTTCAGCTAATTAGATCAGATTGCTCATGTCAGTTTAATGCTGGAGTTGCTTACTCAATAAATCACCAGCCACTCAATGACGACATCAAGTCTGTATTTAGACACACTGTCAGAGAGGGTTACTTTTTATTTTGCAGCAGTGCTGCATAAATAAAAAGATTTCAGTATTAGTTATATCATCATTTGGAGTTCAATGCAGCCATTTGTTGTGAAATCTTAAAGGGAAATGACACCTTAGCTAAAAATGTGCGAGCCATTGTCTAGTTTATTTAATCAGATCCTAGACAGAAGACAGACTAATATTGCCATAGAAATGAGATTTAGCAAAACGTGTTGAAAAGAAAAAGATCATGTTATTTCAAAAGATACCAGCAGGATCTAACAAAAGGAGCTATACTGTGTGGCTATTACCCCAAAGAATTAACTGTGGGACTGTTATTCTATCTTAATCTTTCAGCAGCCCTGCTTTATGGAGGCCTTGGATGCTCACAGCGAGAGACGGTGAGATGACAGAGAATCAAAAAATGGTGAGACTAAATTCTGGAGAAAAAAATCCTTATAGGAAACAGGTGCAGAAATTGAAACTATTTGAACACAGGAAGTGAGGCTTGGTCATCTATTCATTTGTTCTTTCAAGCATTTCTTTAGTGTTAGAAAATATGGTTCAAATTACAGTGTTCTGTTCATTATAATGGTTAAGAGTATCTCTCACTTTGTATCAGATATAGAATCGTTAGCTGTTTTTAAAGAGCTGCAGAGAGCACTGTTTACTCAAAACAACCCATATTTTAACATCATTTTAATTTGCTTAATTATAAACATAAGAATATCCTCTGTTTTAAATTTCCAGGCCTAGTGTGATATTTTGTATATGGGGGCATTGAGTGAAAATGACTTCAGATGAAATCTAAAAATCATACTTTCAGGTGCACAATTTTATTGATTGTTTTTTGGGAGGGATGTTGCTATAGCTAAACCAGCTAGGAAATCAAACAAAAATTGGATTTTAAAGGTCTTACTACCAAGTGCCCTTGAAAGGCACTGTGGTTACTAGTCTTACTTACTCATGTAAGAAAATTCGTTAGGCCTAAAGAACAAAAATAGACAGAAGCACATTCAACATAGGTCCCAATGCTGCAAACTTTAAAAAATGCATTAAAACGGTGCTACTCCCGTGCTTAGTTTTAAGCACCTGCACTGGTTTTTGCAGCATCCCATCCACAGTTACATCTTCAACTTTTTACCAAAGGCTCAGCAGGTTAAGACAACAACTCTCCTTAGTGCAAGCCTTTAAAGACTCACACTTTCTGCGATATTCTAACAGGTGCAACATCTTTTTACCTTGTACTTTTTGTCTGCTGAAGACAGAGGTTGTAACTGTACAGGTCTGAGGGAGTGCCACACTCCTCCCAGCAAGCACCTTGGGAAAGGCTGAGGAAGAAAGCCTTTCCCAGTAGCATTCCAGGCTTTGCCAGAGGCACCCGTAAATTTGCTAATGATAACAGGAGTCTTACTCCCATCAGAGTACGAGCTTACAGTGATGATTTCAAGAAACTAAGGTTTCTGAAATCAGGAAGTTGTGATTTATTACTGAGGTTATGTTTTTGTGAAAAATTTTATTTGGCCAGCTCTAAAGTTTTAATTTCTATTTGGGCTTCTGCCCACTTATGTGAGAAAAACAAGCCATATATGAAGTTTTCCACATTGATGCTAACAGCCTGGCATTTTTTTCAAGCCAAGTATAACTGAAATAGTTGGTTTCAATTTGTTAACATTTCTCCTTCCTGCCCGAAGCTTCTCAGATCCTTCTCATCCATACCTTATGACCCATCCACACTGCTTCAGCATCCTAAACACCTCTGTAGCTTGGCACCTAATGAGGGCTGATGGAGGTCTTTAGGAGCCCTTCCATACGCTTTTTAACAGGGTCATGATGCCTGAGGAAAGCTGCTTGGATACTTTGTGCGGTGCATGGGTGGGAAGAGGTACTCATTAATGCATACCTACATTCCACAGCTGTGGAAGGCAAGAGGTATCTTCTTCAGCAAAGTTACTGAGGTTTCCAGCAGAAGGCCTTCCAAGATGGGTTCAGCATAACGTTTTTGCTAGTTAGTTTCTGTGACGTATACATAGAAATGCCAATGCTTTACAGATCAGTAGACACTCTAAACACTGGAGAGTGAAACAAATAAAAGTTTCAATGTCCTCTGTGCAATTAAAAAACATTTAGAAATATATATATAAAAATCTAACCTGAGAAATTGAAATATGCAGAGCATAGCACTAAAAAATAAAAGTACTGTTAAAAAAATTTAAACTAATAATTTTACCTCTATTGCCAAGAATACATTACAATATACCCAATAATTACCTACACATACTTTTCCTTATATAAAATGTAACATTTTTCTTACTACCTAAATTCAAAATGTCATTAGTTATGCCTGAAGAAAAGCCATGAAAAGTAATTTAGTTATTATTGCCATATCTACAACATAGTACAAATTAACACTGAACAATTTCCACTGTATACAAACTGAGTTAGATTTTGCAATTAATTGGCTTTTATCAGAATTGCTTTTCAGAAATGCTGTATTATAGTCTAAAAAGAAAAAGCACATAATGCGTGTTTAATCAATACATATTATATATGAAAGGAGAAAAATAACATGTGGTATTCATCACAGATACTGTGGTCACATCTACCATGTTCAGCCAGATCAGGAGTCCATTTTACTAGGTACTGTGGAAACAAAGTAAATGAGTCTCCTGATTAAACACAAGAAAAAACATAATCAAGAAAACCATAACAGCCTGAAGACAAATCATTTTGGCTACAAGACAAACATGTGGGTATGAGAGAAATAGGCAAACATAAAAGGTACCCAGAGGATTACGTAGGACCCCTTGCTCAGTCCGTGGCCCAAGGGCTTTTAGGGGCCCACCGAAATATCCATGCTGAAACCTGCTTCCTCAGAAAGACAAATTAACTGCTCTGACAGTGGCAAAAGTCATCTTTGTCTGTAGCTGAGGGCATGGTTTTTAGCTACTGGTCACTACAAGTTCTAGTATAGCAAAGCTAAATCTTCCTATTTTATGCACCATCAAGTCTATAGCAATAGGAGGAAAAATGAAGATTGTTTTAAGATATGCAAGAGAATACATGCCTACAAGATGAAGTGATAGGGCTCAGGGATTTTGGAAGATGCTTTCAGGTTTACATTCCAGGTTTATTTTTGCAAATTATTTTTTGTTTGGTTTGATTTTTTTGTGTGGTTTTTTTGGTTTGTTGTTGTTTTTTTTTAATTGACCTTAATTTGAAGGACTTTATTCTGTGCTAAATCTAATTTTGATATTTAAAATACATTTTTGCTACATATTCTGTTGTATCAAAAATGCTTACTTTCTTATTGTGGATTACATAGAAATATGAGATACGAGTTGTCTCTTGATTTTACTGTTTGGACTTTTAACGTGCTTGTGTCATCTTTGATTACTATTAAGCTTTCCAACTTCCAACATTCCAACTTCAAACTGCCGGTTACTGTAGTTAAAAAGCTATTTTATAAAACCGTAACCTCCCAATCCATTCTTCCAATCACTGCACTTGCATTTGCTGGTATTATTAGCTCACCAATCGCTACAGATATTCCGTAAGAACTTAAGCAGAATGTAAAGCTTCATGGCTTTATGGCTCATAAAATGTACGGGTTCAAATGCTTTTTTAAACATGCAGCTATTGGCAAACTTATGTTCTCTGAAATACACTTAGTTGAACAACATGCAGCACAGCAAACAAAGCAACATTACTGTAGAATTTTACAGTTACCCTTAGAAGAAAAAAGTGAAATCTTCATATTTAGCCCATTCTAAAAAATAAATGTGTCTCTTTACAGTCAGAACTGGATGTTCAACTACTGAATTTTAGATCAAAAGGAGTCCTGGGGTTTCAACATCCAGTGAGGTGAGTTAAATCCCATCGATACAGGAAAAGTGACATCTTCCAAGACAAGATATATTCCTTCTCAGGAGAAGTATCAGTTTGTCTCTGGAGTATCTCTTTTTAGTAATACAGTTTAACTACTCACCAGACTCCACAGTTTTTATCCCCCCAAAAGGAAAGATGTCCAGGCTGAACAGAACTGAAACAATATGCTAATAACAAAAAAAGTAATCTTAAAAGAAACCATGTTCTTCTGCCTCATCTACTCTATATTTACATTTATTAATATGATAACAAGCTCACAAAGCCCAAATAATTAACGTGAACAGCTGCTAATGGAATGTGACTTGTTACAGATCTGTGTCTTGAGGTTGCTTAAATTTGCTCTTGAATGAAAGTTGAACTCCAGGTGAAGATTTTCCTATGCTTGGGGAATATATAAGGTTTTTCACCCACATTTGGATTCTTTGAGGCTTAATGATGTATAAACTCCTGATTTGGACTTTTGCTTAGAGGAGAAAAATTAATGGAATATCCCTCTTATTTACAAGCACTTGTTTTTGTAAAAGTTGTAGAAGATTTAAGTTCTGCATGACCTTTATCACGGTCAAATTCAATTGAAAACTGGCCAAAGTGGATCCAAGAGGAAGACATGTACATACATATGCACACAAACCCACATCTGCGTACAGACCACAGAAGTTTTGCTTTACTGGGAAAGCTGGTGAAAACCTGAAATGTAAATCAAGACATTTATGCTTTCAATAGAAAACAATATAAAGTTTGAAATAAATCTCTCCCAGTGTACATCACCTCCTTCACCTGGAGACACAAAATCCACTAACACCCACCTCTTTGCAACAGGCAACGTGCCCCCTGGTGTGTTAATCTTAATTCCAGAATCCCAGAACATTCTCAAACCTCCCCCCCAGTTGCATGGGACACTTCCATTCTAAACTGTGCTAAAAACAAAACCAAACCATCTCAAGCACACATCGTTGCGCTGTCAACACTTTATCAGGGTGAGACCTTAGATAAATCCAATATACAATATGCCCAAAGCAACTGAAGTAACTTAAAATCAACAGTAACTTTTAGTTATCAACTTTTATTTTAAAAGACAAGGAACCCTAGGATTTTTCTCTCTGCTAAGACAGACAAAAATAGGTTTTAATATTCAAGCTAGCTTAGCTGGGAAAGCATTGCATAGTTTTACCTTTTCTCTTAAAATATGTTTTCTTACTAGACTTTATTTGCCCAAGTCCAAATCTCAAAAGTTTCTTAATAACATCGGAGAGAAGGTTCTGGCAAGTTTTCCAGTACAAGCTACAATTCACTTCTACAATGATGATGCCGACTCTGAGGAAGATGAAGAAGAAATCAGTCTATTCAGAATTCAGCCTAATAATTAACAGCGGTCAGCCTTGACAAATGCAAAATAAAAATAAAAAAATCAAGAGATAAAAAAAGAACTGTCAGAAACGTATGGACAAACATCTGACTGATCAAAGAAATACATCAAAGCTCGAAAGAAAACTATTTATAACTATCTTACCAAGAAGAATGAGTCAATGCAACTGGAAACAAAGAGGAAATCCTTTTGTGTTTTGAGAGACTTTTAAATAAAACCCTGAAGCCGAACAAAAGATTATAAGGTTTAGTAAGTGACACGAATTAAGAACATTAGGAGCACTATACTTATTTACTTGCTATTTTTACAATGTAGTCCTGACAAAATGAAAATAGTAATGATTATGAGGCAAAATAATATACTGTACAGCCCCAAAGTAACTCCAAAGGCTTTGGAACACAATGTTTGAATTTAAGCAAGAAATTATTTTCAATGCAAAGAATATTGCTTATTAGCTCCATGGGGCATTTTTATTCTGATATAAATGCTGTATGCCAAAATGACCTAATCCATTTCTAGTATAAGTCCCTGTCAAGACAAGTTTTAAATGACAGTCATGATATTTTCTGGGGTCCTGTCATTCTGTTATTATTGGATTTCCCCCCTGCAATCAGAACAGTGCCTTTCTGTTGGTCAAAAAGAAAAAAAGTCATCCTTGATTAAAAAATGATTTAATTTAAAGACACATTAAAACATGCATTATGTGCTACCTTTTTGACTTCATCACCATATTAAAATCTTATTTCTATAGCTTAGCACACTTGAATCTACGATTTTAATATAACTGACCTACTGTTGATTCCCATCTAGTGGGGTTTGGATATGTATCTTACTATCTTGACATTTTTTTTAAATTGATATTCAGGAAGACTTAAGTTACTAATTTTCATAAGCATCTTTATGTTACATACAATCTAGAATCATCTCTATCCCCCATGAAGACGGTGGTTACCACACAATCCCCATACAGCACAGTGCTCTCTAACCTGCACACTACACTGAAGAGCCATTTGCCTTACACAGATATTGTCACCATTTAACAATCCAGTATGCAAAAGGAACACTCTGTAGGTTCTTCCTCACCTTTCTATTGAGCCCATGCTGCCTGTAAATCTATCTGAAAACACAGTAACTGCATCTTGGATGAGCAGCAGAAGTTACCCTGTTTTCAGAAAGACAGAGATTTTGAAGATCTGTGTCTGGAGTTAATACCCAATCTTCAGCATCAACACATCATCCTCCTGACGCTCACTCCTCTTGTGTGGAGCTTTATTATCCTGCCCTGTACTCTCACCCCCAATCTGGGGTGGCAAGTGACTCACTGAGATGTATGAAAAAGCCTCCTGGATTTTCTGGCAGCAGCATGCCAGAACACCATCAGGTTCTAGGTTGATTTTTGGTTGCTGAAGTCTATTGAATATTTTGAGAAATGGAAAGCAGCATTGGTTTCAGGGTACAGTTTTTCAGGAGTGTTGGCAAAGAGCTTTTGGCCAGTAGAAGAACTTCAGATGGGGTAGCTGGTAAAACAACATGAGAACAGATACAGTGTAGACAGTGGCCATACCTACTAACAGAACTGCTACATCAATACCAGATGGGGCTTCTTACTCCATATTTTCTGGTAACATGTCCAGGCAGAATCTGAACATTTTGAATTTGTCCAGAATTTCCAGACCTACAGCAAACCAAGTGGGACAGTATCTCCATTAAAAACATTCCTAGCAGAAAAGATGAGCAGTTTTAGACAAATGCCAAAGGTTTGGAAATCCCAGACAAGAGGCCACTGAAAAAATGCAGATCGACTATCCAGAATGCGAGCCGTAAGTCTGCTGTATCCTAGAAAATCAATGCTGTGATGATGTTGAAACGAAGTCTACCTACATACAAAAAGTAAATTAAAAACTTTCATAAGAAAAATGCAATCATATAACATTTGGCTCAGAAGTTTCACACTGTTGCAGGCAGGGGAAGCATTCTGGGGAAATTTTACTAGCTTCTTGCCCTCATCTTTGCTCTTACTATTATGGCAGGCACTACATTAGCCAGATAGAGGCAGGATATTAGCTATATTCATCTCTGGTCTCCCACGAAACAGCCATGTTAAGATTTGTAAATGGGCTACATCACAGATGCATCAGATGTAGATGTAATGACATAAGCAAGTGCTGTAACAAATCTACACCTCTGAAACAAAAAAAATATATTTTGAGAAGTGTGTTCGTTAAGACAGTAAAAGATACCTTTATTAGAAAAGTACAATCGAATAATGGATGACAGTCTTAGCAAAGGCTGTTAAAAATAGCAAAACAAATCATCTTGCACATCTGCTGAGGTCTGACAACATTGTATTGCCCTAAACTGATTCAATTTCTCAGTCTCGGCTACACGTTCCATTTGGTTTCCCCTGTAATGTTAAATTCTATTTTCAACTTAAGGTAATATCACTGTACTATTTACCTGATTGGCTACGTTTAACTACAGTCATTAGAGAAAGCCAAAACTGTATTACCCTTTTCCCATCAAGACAGCATTCTTTCTGTCAAATGACTATCTTCTCAGGTTACAGTGTCAACATACCCTTATTTGCACACTTAAATAAAAAATGCATTGCGATCCCTTACCAGTATGTTAATAATTAGGAGAAGACTAACAGTGAACTAATACAGCATCTCTGTTATTCAACTGCAGTTAGCTTTCAGTTTCCAGTTCTGGTTTGTGAGCTCATCAGTGATTTGACCTTGCTAAGTTTTCAGTGACCTTAGAATCATCCATCATTTACAGGAAAAAAGATAACAAAGCATCCCAAATAATGAGTTTATCCTAAGTTTACTACCTCAAAGACAAGATTAGAAACATGGCATTTTACAGATTAAAATGTTGGCTCAGGATCTCTGTTCCACAGAACTTCCCTTAGTAGTTCAACAGCTGTAACATTTACAGCAAATGCTCCCTTTGCATTTCCATTGTCTAAAATTCTGATAGTAAAAGAAGCAACTAATGTTCCACTGGTACTTGGATACTGGAGAGATAGAGGTATCTAGACAGCATCTACAATTTTGTATTTCTACTGTGTGTACTCACGTGAAAAATCAAAATTAAAGTATGTTCATAAAACAGTCTTGAACTCTACATCTAAGCTCTTTTAAGGCAAGCTCTTGAAGGATATATGTATCTATGGAAAGCATACCTTTGCATGACATTAGTTTGTTGAGTGTTCTTTCTAAATACAATGCAGTAATAATTTGGATTAAGAGAAAAAGAACTACCAAAGGAACAACTATTTTTTCTAAGCTACATTTACTCTGAGAGAATGACAACTGTAGCAGGACTAAGTTGCCACAACTGAGAAAAGGCAGTCTTCCCAATAGCAGTTTCATGAGCTCTAGAGACAAAATGCATCCAATTCACTGAAACATCTACCATTTCATTGCACTCCATGTAATCATGATTTCCAGACTGGATTACTCTATCAGCTGCTTTTATCAAGAGGCTGAGAATTAAGTTGATACATAAACTGCACAGCATACTAACAACATTTACTTTGGCAGTCTCTCTGTAAGGAAACTGGCAGAACAAGACTAAAAGCTTCCCAAACTTTCTCCTCAGAATACAGTTCAATTCATGAATAGAGGGAGAGATACAAAAACCCCCATTCATGTCAGTTGTTTCAGAGCTGACCGGAAATCTATCAGCACAGCAGCAAGCAGGACTTTGCATTAAGCATTTTAGCCACTCAGACTCAAGTGTCTGTGGAAAAGGTGCATTACGGAATAAGATGTATTTACACAAAATCATTTATTAACTATTCTGTTTGTAAGTCAGAAAATATTTTATCATTTACACCCACAGATGAAACTGAAGTCCACAGAAACTGCCCGGTTAAGAAAGAAAGTATTTGAAAAGTCTTTTGAAAAGTCTTTTGAAAAAGAGCTTTAGTGGTGAGTTTCTCATTGTACTGTAGGTGGGAGATTTGGCATGAATGTGAATTAAGTATTAAAGAAACACTGTATCAGGACAAAGATCTCATAGCTTCTTATCACTCTTATAAAACTGAATTGCTACAGATACAGCCAAGACACTGATCTGTTACGCTTTCTTGGGACAGAAGCTGGAGCAGGGAAGAAGAGGAAGAAGAGTCCAACACTATTTAGACTCTCTCACCATTACCTCCATTCTCACATTTAATTTTTGTTCAGAGTTGGAAAGTTCACTGTTCCTACAGTTATGATCTCTTCTCTTCATTAAGGTATCTTTTCGGGCTAACTTTTCCTCGTTTACTGTCTTAAAGCCCACTATAAAGAACAATAAAACCTATTACTTTGCCACCACTCTTCCTTGTATACACTTTACTTGATGTTGGTGGTAAAGCTGCATTTTAATTGTTTGTAGACCACCTAGAACAGAGATGTACCGATGAACAACTGAAATACCAGAAAGAGATCTACACCATGGAACTAAAACATACGTACATACATACATTCATTTTCCCTGCTCCTACTCTCAGAACAGCTCCAGGCACACTACCTGCATTACAGGCAGTATCACCCCTCCTGATTTGGGCCAATTTCTGACTTTACAGAAACGTTGCCTGCAGCAACAGTATAAATATTTAATACTACAGCTTCCTGATTTATATGAGAGCGTCTTTGATAGTACTTACAGCTATCTGACCTTTTAAAAAATCTAGAGTAATATAATTTATTACTCACCTTTTAGCCTATTCTCACCACCCTCCCCCCTATCACAAACAATAGTTACTTTAAAGATCACCAAATCAAGCCGACAGCATTCCATAGGATGCTCAAAATATTTTTAAGATGGCCTGTACACTTCTGAATGCTCTGGGTAGCAGCAAAAGTATACCTGCATATCTTGAGGAGAAAGACAATTCCGTTTTACTAGCGCTGAAACAAGTTTCTTCATTCAGCATTGCCTCCTGCAAGGACATCACTTTCACGCCTACACACTGAAATAACATTTCAGATGCCGTGTTTCTTTTTCTTTCCTTTTCTTATTTCAGTCATCCTATCTGTAGGAACAGTAAACACAAACACACACGAAATTGTGCTAACTCTTCACTCATACATGCTTGCATATTTTATTCCACGTGCTTTATACCTTTGAAGTTCACAACAGAGCATTCACCCCTTTTACTATAGCTCCCTGTTGATCCCAAATAAAGTGGCAAAATACTTCAGCTAATGCTTGCATTAAAAATGATATTATGTGGATACACAAAGAATTTAGTTCTTCTGCTATTTTCTATGCATACACTCTGGGTTTCTGCTGAAGCCTCCAAGCTTATTGGCATTCAAGAGAGTGCAATGCAAAAGAGCAGAATCCAAGAAAGCTTCCCTTTTCAAATCAGTTGCATGACACTCTATTCCCAAAGTTTCTCTTTCAGTACTTCTCAACTTCAACATCATAAAGTCATTGTCTGTGTTGTTACTACCCTTCTCTTTACAGCTAAGATGGAAGGAAGAGAGACATACTCTACCATTCTTACACAAATTTGGCAACCACAGCTCTATTATTTCTTCTGCCATGCAACCTTTTCATTTGAAACAGTGCACCTTTGTCATTTTTTTCTTTAAATGTGTTTACACACTTGTTCATTCAAATACCATTTGAGGGGAAACTGTCTTACAAGATTACATTTATAGCAAGATGCGTAAAATACCATCCGTCTGCAAGATGGATAAAAACTGCAGGAGAATCCTAGAAGGTGCCATTAGAAAGCACGGCTGAAGTTTCAGCCTTTGGTCTATTTCAGCATGGACAATGCAGCGGGCTAACTCTACTGGTTGTGCTGTAACAATAGGCCATCAATAAGTCAGAAGGGTGAAAATGGGGGCAAATTTAGGTTTTTACCTTTATTTATTTAGTTTTTCCTTAGTCTCTGAGAAGAATGGATACCTGATATCCAGCCTTTGAGCAGGCATGTTGTGTAAAGAAAGGCACTACTAGCAACACAGTTCAATCATTTCATCTTTTTTTCTGAATAATATCTAAGGCAAAATCTACATAAATCCCACTAAATATCTAATAGCTATAATTGTGCTGTGTATTTACAAAAGGCAGAATCTCCCTTCTCTTTGCTGGCAGAGTTGCACACCTTTTCCTTAATCACAGTCACAGGCAAGACCGTGAAATGATGGATCCACAAAACCCATAGTTCCCTACCATATATTTATTAGCCCATCTACACTGTGTTACCTGGCTTTATTTTGGTGGCAGAGGCAATTTCTGAAGTGTCAAACATTACTCCCAAGTTGAAGAAAAGGTCACTAGTGTCTTTGAAGCACCACTACACAGTAGTGACAGAAAAGCAAAGATTGAGTTTCATGCCTGCAAGTTTTACTTAAACAAATGGCCCCAGTTTGCCTACTCACTTAGGTGCCTCTGTTAGTTTTCCCATAATTGTGAGGTCTGCAGTTAAATGAAATGGCAGATTCATCACTGATACAATCTTTGTCCAAGGTTTACAGTCCTTTAATTTGTGTGCTTTCAGGGCTTGAGGGCATTTTCCAGTAGCTTTCCTTTATCCTGAAGGGATTTGGGTATCCTGAACAAGGGACTAAATTAATCCTTACATCAAATGGTACCAGAAACGTGGCATTCACTTGTTGTCAATTTAGCATTAAAACCGAAATTGCTTTCTCAGAAAGCAAAAGGAACATAAAACACAGGTAGAAATTACACAGGAAAAAAAGATTACAGTCAATACTTCAGTGTCTACAATGGGATTAGAGAAGTGACAAAAGAGTAAATACGTCTTCATGTCTGTTGATCATAAAAACTTGAATTCACTCTAAGTATGGGTGTTAGACCATGTAAATTAAAATTAATAGAAGGGCAAAAACGTGGCAGGAGGGGGAAACAATAGCAACTGGGGACAAACAAAACCCAAAACTTCATAAAGAAGTCTACAACTATCAAACAAATAAACATTTCACTGATTTCCAGTCATTAGGTTTAGGTACAAATACTCATTAATTGCATCCAAAGAACAATATAGCTAAAATCTACTACTTCAGAGTGAAATGCTGAAAAGCATTTTTCCTCCATTAAGGAGGTCTTTTTCTCCTACCCATGATATCTGGCATGCGTTTTTGTGGCTTTTTTTTCTTCTTCAAATACAGGTATTAAAAATAGCAAACTACTAAAGACTAGAGGACCAAAAAACCACAAATTTCATATGCATACCGGATTGCTAACAGGTGTTAAGGCTTCCCACAGCTGATGGTTGTTTCCACCTATTTCTAAACAACTTGCACAAGATTCTTCAGAGAAATCTTCAAAAATTTTGTATTATCTTTTAATGAAACAGTGATGGTTTTAACTAAATTCTCTGCTGGTCAGAAGTTGGCTTATAGACCTCACAAACAATAATGAGGCTCCATTCACTGCTCTTTATAACCAAACTAAATAACCTTGACTACTGAAGATATCTGGATCTATGACTCTTGGAAAAGAGAAGATAAAAATTGTGTCTCTGGTCAGTAATGCATACGTGAAAGAAAATTCACTATTTAAGAAACAGCTGAACCACTGCCATAACAGGTTATTGTGCTTTGTGCTATAACCTAGACCATCATAAGATGGACCTGACGGTTCCTGCTTTTCCAGAAATTTCCTTGAGCCTAATTTTCAGTTGTCTTAAGAATAGCTAAAAAACCCCAGTGATTTCCAGACTTGTTTCAGAAAATTGTAACAACCCGCCTTCCTTATTTCTGGTAATCTTGGTATTTCAATAAATACCAAAAGAATTTTCAAATATCGTAGAACCACAGAAAAATGGCTTACTTTAACAAGTAAAAATTACTCACATTTTATTAATATTTACAAATGAAAACTGTATATTTACAATGCAGACACATCAAAGTAACATACCTTGTAAAAAACAAAAAAAGATCCTCAAGCATTGGACAAGAAGACATTTTCTCGTGCTGAATTCAAAGGGAAATAGAATTAAACTATGTCCAAAAGCAAATTTTTTCACTCTCAAAGGGAAATTACAAGCAGAAAACTAAAAGTAATAGAAAGCTATATTTAAACTTATAAGAATGGTTAGATAAACTAATGTGGCATTAATTCTCATACCAATGCAGGTTATTAAGCTGCATGCATAATAATAAATTCAAGCCATCTCAATGAAACATGTTAACACAGATTTTGTTAGAAATTCAGAAAAAAATAAAGCTCTGTTCCACAACCAGAAAGAGGGTAGGTTTTTTTAGTTTGAGAGGTTTTGATTTTCCTTATGTAACACTTCTGCTAATCCTTTATTCACACAGATCTTAATAACGACTATCTGCTATTGCAGATTCCTTTTTCAGGAAGGAAAAACATTCTGTTTACTTCACTGATGGGAATATCCCTCAATGCTGGGATTGCATCTTCTTGAAATTTCTTCTGTTGCTGCTTTTTTGCATAGTTATCTACAGGAGACAATGAGAACATTTCACATATTAAAGATTTCTTCTTTCAAGCATTTAGCAACTCTAAGTGATGCTGAAAACCCTGTCTTGCTGAGGTACAATGAGATGGTCATCAGAAACGCCTTGCATCAACATGTATTAGCAGAGCCCCTGAAGAAACCAACCATATCCTCCTGCTGAAATCACTGTCTGGGACTTTGCTTGGTTTAAGAACGCGTATGACATTAAACCATAACTACCTAAAGATCAAAAGAACAACCAACCAACCCACAAACCCCCCAGTGAATAGCTCAATCTGTAGTTTGAACACTGTACTAGGATTTCCACTGAGATGCTGTCCAGCCTCCCTTTATCTTGGCCATCACCACACAGCACCCATTCCTATAACAGCATAAACCTTTTTACAGGTGCACTTTGAACACAATTATGGAACCACTCCCTCCAAAAAATATTTTTTTCAAATGTAGTTGTTTTTCAAACAGAGTAGGTCCCCCATCCCACTTGCCACACAAACTCTCTTCCCATGGCACTCTTCACTGGTTTGTAATGCAGGGTGCAAGCCTGGGAGATCTTCATATGCCTAAGCCCTGTGGTCTGTCTTACTAACAAAGTGCAGTCTACTAGCTGGAAACCACTGCCAAAAGACGGCAAAAAGGGAAGAGTCAGACTCTCTGTTCAGCCTAGTACTTCAGTACTTCCAAGAACTCCTTTCCTAGATCAAAATATTTAAAGGCTTAAAATTTTGTTTACATTATATATGGCTACATATATATATTTACAGAAATTAACAATTAAGTATCAAAAATCTTAAAAAAAACCAAATAAAATTACCTGTAATGGTATCTACGGAGTTAAGTGGAGCTGTACTCATCATGTTAATACCAAAAAGTAATACATAACCAATTCCTATAGCAACTAGAAGGTACGCTGGCAAAGCAACTGCCCAGTATCTGAGGAAAAAGATTTTAAAGTTTACATATCATAATAACAAATATGACATAACAGTTTTAATATAGTGGTGGTTATTGTATCTAGCGCAAACTTGGCCAGGAGGAAAAGAAACAGCACCTCTGAATATGGACCCTGGTCCCTCCCAAGAAGATTACTGACTGTAGAGTCACTTATCTAGTGTATCTATCTAACCATCAAATAGATTCCTTACAGAATAGTTTCATTTTTTCAATTACAATTTAAAGTTTACTGTATTTTTATCAGCAAACTTCCCAAAATTAAGATGTCAAATTTATCACAAAACATTGAAATATTATTTCTTTCATTACACAGTGTAAAAAAAATCATTATAGCTACTTATCTACATTTAAAAAAAATGCTTCACAAAGATTACAGTCCTTTATGATCAGGAAAAACTGGATTGTATACAAGGCCACTATTTAAAAAGAAAAAAGTTTTGTTACTTGAAAATAATTAAGCGTGTCTTATAGTTAAACATTTCAGACTAAAGAGTTTAATTGGTTTAACTTACTTTTGAGGCCAGTATGTTAGTCCCAAGGAAAACAGCCAAGTCTCAGGAACATATGCCCAGATAAGATACAACACTGCACAAAAGAATTAAAAAGTCACAATAGCAAAACTGATACTTTTTTAGACTTGCTTCCTAAGTTTTAAACCAATACTTCCCTACTGATACATGCTGAGACAATATTCTGCTTTTACACTTTTTAAACCAAAGTAGCTCTACCAAAACAGTGTAGAATATGCCTCTTAGACACAAAACCTGCCTAATACGGCAGGCCAATATGACAATGTTTACATTTGCTTTAACATTTAGCCTTATTTCCTACGTAGAGAGACAAGAATTTCTTGCATCTTGAAATGCAGAACAAAAATATCTTCAGTAAAAGGATGCCAAATGACTCTGAATGCAAAAAAAAAAAATAAATACTAAAGCAGAAAACTATCACACAGTAGGTCATTTGGTTGAAAGAAGCTAGTAGAATTGCAGCACTTGGACGGAACTGGTCAGAAAAAGTCACTGGGAATACTTTCTGATTCTTGGCAAGTGAGTAATTTTCATGTCAACAAAACCAACAGTGAGAAATTTTGCTCCCTAACAACAAAACCACAGAAAGGTGTAACAAAACTTGAGGAGAACAGGTTAGAAGCCAAATAGTGACACAAGTAATGGAACTGCCGTGGCTTCCCGTGAGAGGAACGGAAAACAACTTACTTTCATTTCTATCTACTTTCTAAGGGTTAGGAAGACTTACAGTAGGATCCTGGTTTATTATTTTGACTATACTCGTAGAACCCTTTGTTGTGTTGAAAAAGTGCCTTCACCCTCTCGAGCCTTAGTCCCATGTGGGCACGTGAGATAACCCCAGTGCAATGCTAAAGCACCTGTCACGTCAGCAAAAAAATGCTGGTATAACCACTAATCACTTTTCATTGCTGTTGACCAGATTGACTTATTTTTTTTTCCCCCCCAGTATTTGGATGGGGAAAATCGTACTACTACCATCTACAATAGTTACCGAATAGTGACAATATATCCAATACAAGTAAAAAAATTACTAATATGAGACTGCAGAGATTTTTTTTTAACAATTTGACTTCGCAATACTATTAAAGATCTCATAATAAGGTTAAAGACAGACAGGACATTAAGGAGATCACAAAAGGCAGTGACAGACCTTTGTAACAACTGACAGGTAGTGCTCACTTAGTCTTTCACGACGTACCCTTTACAATAGGTGATGTAATACAATTTTGATCCTTTTCAGATGGTCTTACGGGAATTAAATATGGGAAATAAATTTAAAGTAAGCCAAGCAACACTTTTCGGTGAAGCATTCAGTACCCAGTATACTTACTAAAGCCAAACCACGATCCTAAAAAAAGGGCAAATCCATATATCGCCCTTTCTGGCAACGGGGCTGGAGAGTTTTCAACCATACCGGCCTCTTCCCTTTAACTTCGAGGGGGGAGAGGAAAGAGGGAGGGGGAAAGTGGAAGAAATGGGGGTCGGGGGCGGGGGGAGAAGGAGACAATATTAAACCTCTAAGCTATTAGAGGTTTCCCAGCAGTTTCCCCTCAGAACACGCCGGTATCGCCGGCGGCGGGAAGCCAGGCCCCACAGGCGCGCGCCCCCGTCTCCTCAGTGGGCGTGGGGGGGCGGCCCGCACCTTTCACTCCCCCCTCAGAGCAGGAGCCGCGGTTCCACCGAGCGACCGATCCCTTCCCGCCATTCCTCCCCCACCCCTCCCCACGCAGCCGCCCGGCCCAACGAAGCCGCTCTGCCTCCTTCCTATCGATGTCACGGCCTGGGCTGGGGGGGGAAACCAGCCCTAGACCACCACCCCCCGCAGCAACAGCAGGAGGAGGAGGAAGAAGAGAAAGAGGAAGAGAGCGGAGAACGTCCAACCACGCTCCCTAGCCCCCAGTACCGCGCGTCCGCCTCCCCGCCGGGCTGCACATGCGTAAAGCCGGCAAACCGCGGCCGTCCTGCCGGCTCCCGGCCCCCCTACCCCGGCTCGCGGGCGCATGCGGGTTGGCGACGGGCGAGGAGCGCCCTCCCTTCGCCGCCCATTGGCTCGTTCCCTCGACGTCAGGCGGCGGCCAGGGCCTGGTGCTGGCGGGAGGGGCTGGCTGAGGCGGAGGAGCGGGGTGGGAGCCATCTCGGCCCTGCGGAGGTGGAGGGGAGCGCGGCTGAGACGGGGGTCGGTGAGTGAGGGAGAGAGGGAGGGGGAAAAGAGGGAAAGATGGGTTTGGGGAAACGCCGGGCTGCGACACGTCGGTGGCGAGCCTTGGGGCTTCCGGGGGCTGGCGACAGCGAGGGTGGGGGGTGCTGGCCGGCCCCCGCCTCGCCTCTGGGCAAAGCCGTCGGGCCAGGAGGGGGACGCGCGGCCTGGGCCGCTGGGTGCGCCCCGGGTTCTGTCAGACGGGGCTGCCCGCGTCAGCGGAGCGAAAACACGCCGGGCGGGGTGTTTTCCCTCCGCTCCCCGTCCCCCCGCCCCCGGGATGCGGTGATAATCCCTGAGATGCAGCCCCCCGAGCCGGCTGGTAGAAGCTGCCCTGCCCGCTCCTGCCTGTCGGGTGCGAGGCAGCGCGGTGGAGCGCTGGGAAGACTCTGACAGAGTTGGTGGATGTAACTAGCTTTTAACTGGTGCTGTAGTTTAATGCTTTGGGGTTTTTTTTAAGATTAATCCATGCCACGCTGCCCTGGTCCCGGCGGGGAAAGGGTTAATTCTCCCCAGGATCTACCCGGGACACAGGTATCCCGTCCCCGGTGAGCCGTGCCCGGGCTTGTAGGGGAGCTGGACGGGGGGGGGCTGGGACGCCCCGGGTGCCGTCAGTGGTATCGTCGGTATCGTCATCGCGGTTGTGTATTCCGCTATCGGCGGTGCTGTTGTTACTGCTTTTTTGTTCCCTTTGCCGTTCTGTTGAGCTGCCCTTGTCTCAACCCACGAGCGTTGCCTCTTCCTTCCGATTCTCCCCTCACGGCCGGGGTGTGTGGGGGGCGAGATGGGGGCTACCACGTGGTTCTTTGTTGCCGTTTGGGGCTAAACCACGACACATGTAAAAATAACAAGATATATCTTCCGTGAGAGCTTTGCGAAGTGTATTTTAATGTTGTGAGCCTTTGAAATCCTGCAAAGCACATGTTACTTGTCTCTTGCCTCCCCCCTCATGTATTTCTCATCATCCTTTCCTTTCAGGATCATGTACCATGGGTGAACCTATATCTGAATCCGAGTTTGCAGCCTTGGCTTTTTATGCTGGTGATAAGTCTTGTTGTGAATTGGTAAGTAGGTCTGAAACTAGATGGAAAAACTTGCAAGATGTTCCAGGGTGGTTTGTACCCAGATCTGATTTACAGAATAATTGCTAGCGTTGACTAATTTAAACTGATGCAAAGATACCTTATACTTCTGTATGTTACTCACAAAAGCACTAAACTGGGGTAGAGCGCAGAGACTGTGTATCCTCTATCAGGCAAGCTTCACTGAACGCGTATACAACTAGGTGAAACTAGATGGTGATACACAGGTCCTATTAACAGAACTCGACCATCCTGTTGGCCAAGTATCCAGGCCATGCTTGGGATGATATACCTCAGAGTGACAGATTCAGTTCCTTTAACTGCAAAGCAATTGCAGCCTAGTTCATGAAAGTTCAAGTCTGCGTATTAATTGCAGAGCGTTCATCCGTGCTTTGTTCTTGTAATCTCTTACATTTTTTTTCTCTAGGCCTTCGTGCCCAATATTTGTGCCTCTGCTTATTTAGTTGTTTTTTTTATCAAAGAAACTGTAGCGCTATTCTGTTTTAATATTTCCAAGAATACTTTCCTTGACTATTATTTTCCCCTTCTTGCTATGCTTAAGAAGTCTTAGAAAACACTGTCGTAGTTAACCTTTCTGCTGCTTGGAGAGTTCAGTTATGAGTTATTTATCCTAACTGTTGCTGCTGCCACATACTAACTAGCTGGCCTACTATTCTTCCTATGCAGAAATAAAAAGTACAGGTAAATTGAATTTCTTATTTGTAAAGCTGTATCTTTACAAGGGACTGTTGCCAATAGAGCAGTGAATCTCATTGGAAATTGGCTATATTGATAAAGATTTGTTCTTTGTGTTTGCTACAGACAAAATAAAGTACTTTAACAGTTCTGTTAGCATAAGATACTAGACATTTTATTCCTTAAAGTGATGTGTCTACTGTGCTATGGGAAGAAAGCCCTTGATTTTGTGCGAGTGCTAAATTTTGGTTTTCATATTTGCTTTAGTGGAAATACCACTTTGGGCTTGATGTGGAGAGGAGGTGGTGTGTGTTGGGATGTAGTTTGTGATGTTCACTCCATGCTGTGGAGTGAAGGGAGACGTTCGGTCATCTTTCAAGATTAACTGATTGTGAAATGATTGTTTTCTTCTTTGTTATCGACTGTCCTGGCCTGTTAAATACATTGATGTTGTAATAACATCTTTTTGACACTAAGCCTTGATTTCCATATAGTGTTGTAATAGTTCAGAAACATTCCTTTGGGTGAAATCATGCGACTGCTTGTCATCGCCTTAGGTCAAGTTAGTAAGTCATCATTGCACAGCATGCTAGTATTTCCAGAAAGTCTGCCACTGAAAGAAATAAGGGTCTCCTAAAGAAATTCTATGAAAGATGTGTTTGGTCAGTTTTTATAATTTTCTCCAGTGGTACTTCGAAATAGCTTAGCATTTCTTTGAAATGATAATGCAGAAATACATGGATCTGATATATAGTATTTATTAAATGGCACATATATAATGTTTCTTAAAAGAATACTTTCTAGGGATTTGTAAAACAGAACAAAGTCATTCTTCATCTTGAGAACCTTGTATGGAGTACTAAGTTTTGAATACTGTATGCTGCCACGAAGTGGTAAATCAACCACTCATTCCACTTATGTTGATATATGTCTATTTATTTAAATATAAATGCCTTAATTGTCAAAACTTAATAATTATTTTTTGAAAACTTGTGTTGTCTTCTTAAAACATGTTTCCATCAGTGATTTTGAACATTATATTGCTGCCTAGTACCTGACTTTGAATTACTAGTTTTTAGAATACTATTCTAGTGTGATTTTAAGATATTATTTAAACTTCTAAAAGTTTTCCTATCCGTTCATAACTATGAATCTATTTTTTAATCCATTTTTTTTAAGGGACATGCAGGTAAACTTTTTTCTTAAGACAGGAACTAAACCATTGTGTTAGATAACTTCAGTAAACATGCTTTTTTCCTGTGGTTGTTTTTGTTTGGCTTGTTTGCTTTTTGGCTGTGCTTAATGTGAATTATAAAGATTGGATCCAAAGAGGTTTGTTGTTTTGTAGTGCAAAATATTGCAGAATTTAAGTTTCCTTGTTTTCCTTCAGAAAATCACTGGCAGAACTTGAGAAATATGGGAGAGTAGGGAATACCAATAGTAATTCTTGGCGAGATGGGGTGGGGGAAGAAGCATGGGAAACTTGCCCACCTCAACATATTTGCAAGATGTCCAGTGTTGAAAAATGTGTTTATCTTTAGGGCCATGGAATGTTTATACAGCGATCGCAGCGTAAGCCTAAAACAGGTATGTAAAATAAACCAATATTCCATGACTTTTAATGCACTTTTTAGGCTGTCATTGGATCTTCTGCTATTTCACTTTTTACCTTATTTTGTCTGAAGAAGTAGGAAATTACTATTTCTGAGCAGAAGCATTGGTATGTTCTTTTACACTGGAAGAATTCTTATTTTTTTGTCCTAATGTAATGTTCAGAAGACAGCTATACACTTAAGAGTGTAAATAGTCAATAATATGTGCACACATGCAGTAAATTAACGTTACGAGGATAAAGATTTAAGGCTTATATTAATTACCCGTGTTTTAATGGTAGCTATGTTTTAGCTGTATATGTCTAAAGACACCTTCAAGTTGATCTTTGTAGGAAAAGTTTTGCAGTTATAATATTAAAATAATTTTTAATAGGTGCAGAAAAACAGGTCGCTCAACAGTATGTCAAGTTCTTCAAAACTGTATTCATTGTGCAAATGGAAACCTATAATATATAGCAAACTCAGATGGACACAGCTAGCTGTATAAAATGCATTTTTGCCTATGTTTAGACTCTCAGGTAATAACTGTTTCTACTCTTGAAAGTGTTTGATGCCACCTCAATAGCCTAATAAAGATCTTTACCTTTTAAAGACAGTCTCTGAGGGAAATTAATTTATTTTTGAAAGAGTCATGTATCACACACATAATGACCTCTGGAGAAAGAAGAAGAATATTGCTGATGTTTTTGTGCTGTACTGCTATATGCTACACTACTCTGGATTTATTGTAGAAAATAAATGGGTACAGTTAGAAGAGGCTCATATTTTATCTTGAAAACAGAATCCTTTATAGCCTTACCCCTTGTTAGGTTCCTCATTAGAAGCAGGCTGCATTTATTCATTGATATAATATATTTATATCAGTATAATTTAGAACACAGGCAATTCCTTGAGCAAGGAATGTAAAGGCTGCAGGCAGGTCCCTATTCTTACCTCTGTATAAATTCCCTCTCCCCCTTCAATTTATAAAAAACCTCAAATTGCCAATTGTATTTAGAGTGTTCAAGTTTGCTTGTTTTGGTTAGATAGTACCTAGGAACACAGTATGGAAATAACTGATGGTTTTGAATGTTTATTTGGAGTTTGATCACTTGTAATGCCTGAATTGCGTAGTCTAATTCCTGTTTTCTTGAAGGTGTTGATCCCTGTGAAGTGTGGTGCAGTCAGCCGGTCGATACGTTAAGAGACTACTGCAACATTATTAAAATACGCATCTTATGGCCTCTTCTCTTCAAAAGTGAAAGTAATTCTTTGGGAGCTGATTGGAGGTAAGCAATCATGATGTCGAAGTGATTTCATAAGCCTTTACATTTCCTTTTTCTTACCTGTGAAAGATCGTTGTATACTTTCAGTAGTGGTTAAACTGTTGGCAGTAATGTTTTTACCAGAGGGCTAAGTTGATTAAGGTTAGAAAACATAGTTCCTTATGCCTTGTATTTCAAAATACCAAAAGCTTTGCAGCTCTTTTTTTTTTCTTTTTTTTTTTTTCCCTCCTCTGAAAGGCTTAATTTGAGTTTGTAACCGTGGTCTTGGTTAGATCTAATTACCATAAATATTAGTAATTAGGTCCATGCAACACAGTGTTATTTTTCTAAATAATAACTTGTTCTGTTTTTAAGCAGTTCACAGATTTTAGACCAGAATTGGAAGAGACTCTGTGATTTAGAGTTTTTGGAAGACCTTGTTGATTTAATTAAAAAAGCTGTTGTAAGTACTGTATTTTACCTTTGTGTGAGTTTCCATGTATTATAGGTTAATTAATTCTGTACCTTATGCAGCTTGGGATTGTATCTTAAATTACACATTTCCTTTTGCTGGACTGAATAAATCATCTGATAGTTGAGTTGCACCTTTCCAGAAAGAAAGTGCATCATAACCTTTTATTACAGTTGGGATAACTTAATAAATATTTGCAGAGTCAATAATACAGTTGACTGGAGCCCTTGTAAATTGCTAAGGAAGAAAATCAAATCAGTGAGGAAAATGGCACTGTTTCCTGATGAACAAGTTAAATAATTTCCCTACCCCATTCAACAAATTATATTTAAAATTTGTTATTATTGCTGTCTTAAACATAGAGGAGAGAATGATATCAGAAATGTTCTCAGCAGCTGAAAGGAAGAGATCTTAATTTTTTTTATATTTAGATATGACACGTTTTTTAAAAAATTGGTTTGCTGAAATTCTTTGCTCAACCCCAAGCTACACTTTTCCAGTCCACCTCACTGTGATATAACTTCTTATGATTAGGTATTCATGTACTATATTGATCTTGTGGATTCATACTTCCTTATGCTCTTTTTGCTGCTTCCTCCTTCAGTGCTCTATTTTCACCTCCTTGTACTTCAGGATGTCCCTGTAGTTTTTCCACTTTGTCTCATGGGATGGGTTCTATGTGCTGTTTCCTCCTCTGGTAGTCTCCCATTCGATCTTTATACAAGAGGGTCTGTGTATATTCTCGTTCCCCTGTTTACCTCTGTGCCCCCCTGCTTACTTCCTCAGCCTCTATCTCCTTCTCCATCTAAACAATTGTATATCCAATAGTAAAATTTATTTGGAGGAGCAGATCTCAGGAGAGGAATTACTGTTGTTTTGGATGGTTTTCATGGAATGCATCAGCTGGTTCTTTGGTATGTAGACAACTGCAGAAGTGGTTAAAGTGGCTGATTTCCTAACCAGATGTCATAGCACACATGCATTCTCTATTTCCACATCAAGATTTATTTGTTTTTTCAAAAAAAATGGTAAGGGATTTGCTACTCAGTACAAGCAGATTTCCTGAAACTTTGAAATTGACCAGAGACACTGTCCAAACGATACTGCATTCAAGCAAAACAGAAAATGTTATTGAGTTGAACCTGAGCAGATAGAAACTAAAGTTATCAGATATTAATAAGTTGTTTATTATTTCTTTTCTATCCCTCTTCCAGAACGTTCCACCTTTTATCAGTGGCATACTGAGAATTGGCAGCAGGATAGAAAATGTAAGTTTCTCAAATTGTTTTAAATAGGAATGCTTCTTCATGTGTGAATACAAACAAAATATTTGTACAAATAGCCAAAATTTTAAAATGCTTGCATAAATAAATTGCGTATGTATTTTTTGGAATATGTAATACGTTGGACTGGGGTTGCCAGTTGCAGCTCTGAGCCACAAAACGAAATTAGTGTCTGAGAGGAAATAAGTATCGTTTGTGTAAGAGGACCAAAATGAGTGAGAATTTCGGGAGTAGTTCACATGCTGGAAATAAGTGGTTTCTCTTAGATGTTACCACTGCAGTGTGGTGGGTGGGTTTAGCTTGTGCAGCTGGAGCCCAGGTCAGCCTTCCAGTATCAGCTTTGGTACCTGCTGGTGGCTTTACTTGTTGCTTTCTCACCCATCTGCCACTTCTGGTTGAAGGCTTATTCTTTTGAGATGTCTCTGTGATCTCTCTGCCTCCAGTCCTGAAGATTGCTAGATTCTCTCCCAGCACACGGTTCTGTCTCTGTGGTGTGATTTGCTTTGTCCTCTCTGTGCTGGTGTTGGTGTGTTATGCTAAAAGTCTAGGTGTGGGCAAAAGGCAAACTTTTTATATATATATAAATATATATATATATAAAGACAAGAAGTTACTGTTAGTATAATTGAAATCTTCCTCAATTAATTCTTGCAGAAGTGGAAAGAAAATGAAGAAACAAATACAACTAAGCAGAAAAACTCTTTAATGATAATACAATTAAAATTGTGATATACAACCTTCCTAGTATCTAACCCTTTTGCAGGTGTTGTGCTTACTCTTGTACTGCTCCTTGGGATCCTGAAGTGAATGGCTTCCGTTTGGTGTTTGCATGTGAGGGGTGGGGGGTGCAGTCATTACCACGTGGAGTGTTTTACTGCAAGGATAGCTGTTGATGTTTTCTTCTTCCTCATTCTGGGAAGGTTCATGAGGTTCATTTACTTAGTTTCATTAGGTTCATTCACTTAGGTTCATTTTTTAAGTTTGGTAATTCATTTTTATACCCTGCTTTTTATTTTCATTGGTCTGCAGGTTCAAGTTACATATGATTTTACTATGCATACTATGCTTTATGGATGTTAGAAATTGCTTTTGCCCAATTTTGTCCAGCTTCACTTTTTTTTTTTCCCACTTGTTTATAGCTGTTGCTTCTCCAGTGTCAGCTTGTGCCCCATCACTTACCATCCCATGCCTGTACTCCTCTAAACTGCATTATATGTCTCCAGTTTTCATGGCCTATGCCTCTATCATAGTTGGCTTTCATTTCACTGTGCTGCATCATTATGTCAGTCATCGTAGCATTAAATACTTGTTACTACTGTCTGTATGAAGGCAATCATTGTACCCTATAAAAGTAAACCAAATTAGTCATAGCCACCTGGTCAGAAGAAAATTGATGTTATAGTTAAAAACAAGTTAAAGCAGAGCTCTAAGCAGGTCTAAACAGGGTAAGCGATTTGCAGCCCTGTGGCTGTGCAAACCACAAAGCCTGTGGCCTCTTACAAGCATTGGTGATGCTGTATCATGGGGCTCTGGGGCTACAAGGGCTAAGCTTAATCACCTGTATGATGCAAAGGTGCTTCTCTTTAGTGACAGATTGGATATCTTTTATGAGATTCTCAAGTAGTGCCACTGATTCATTCTGAAGGACTGTGAATGGCTGAGTAAAGGTGTGGTTTGGAATCCTGCTGATCCATCTTCGTTATCAAATTCAGTGCACAGTAGAACTATCCTCACTGCATTTTTCAGCTTGTAAACTTTGGGCTCTGGACGTTCTTAGTTTCCCTGCATTTGTCATTTTTTGGTTTCTGCTGCCTTCTGTAGTTTAACTGCAAAAGCTAAAATAAAAACATTGAAGGTAGAAGACAGTATCATGCTGATAGTAGCAACAGGAGAAGCAGAATAGGTGCAAGTGTGTGTTACTGCTGGATAACCCAGTTCCTGTATTTTTAATGATATTTGTCTTAATCACGGGGGGTTTTAAAATTATTTTTCAAAACCTGTAGTCCCAGATAACATGGGAGTATCCCAGGCAACGGGCATTCTTCACTTAATCCCTCTCTTTCAAATAGCTCAAACAATTTAAATTTAGTTTGAATAGAAGGGAAGTCATGATTTACAGAATAGTCTTAGCCCTGGCCTGCATGTCTAATAGCCTGGAGAACATTGGGTTTTTTTAATCAGGCTTGTCACTTCACACTGAAGCAACTTTATGTGTAGTCATAAAAAAAAGTTTCTAAATCAAATTCTATAATTTGAATGGCCCTGTCTCCTGCTGAAAGAATGGCTGTTTTAATTTTGTAAATATGCTGGATTATGCTGTGCTTGAGTTACCCAGATATTTATATTTCTGAGCTGTTGTCTGTTTTAAAGCCTAACAGATTGGGAAAGTGCACAGTGTAAGTGCTACAGTAGTATTGTTTCCTATATTTACATGGAATGCTTCCACTATATTGTTAGAGCTCTTGGTTTGTGTGGTGTTTATTGTTTTTGTTTTAAGACTGTTTTGCGTGGAATTAGTTAACATTTTTTTTTCTTTATTTTCCTTTTCTTCAATTGAAACAGGGTTTCTTTGATATTGGGGATGCACTTGATTGGGTCAGATACACAGGTGATGTCAGTATTCTGCAGAGGCTGGAGAAACTTGGTGATTTTGGTTGGATCTATCTTGAAATTTTCTTCGCTGAATGTAAGTATGAACACTTGAAGAAACAATGGTGAGGGAAGTAACCGGTGGTGTAGTTAGGACATAGTTAATGTTTGCATGTATTTCATTAATCTGGAAGGGACTGGGAAAAAAAAAATCGTGGTGGTGTGTGGTTTTTTTTCCTTGTTTTTGACTTATTTGACCCAGCCAGTTTTTCCTTGAGTCTCTGTATGTGGGTTGTATTTACAGTCATATTTGCTTCAGAAAGTTTTTTCACTTTAGTGTGAAAAACATACACTGTGGGCGGTATGTGTGCCATTTGTTCTTTTAACTTAGGACTAAGTTGAAAAATGCCTGAAATATTATTTGAGTTTTTCTGTTAAATGTTTGGCAGAGGATTTTGTCAAAATATTAATTGAGATATTATTCATATTTCAAAATTTAGGTTATACAGCTCACGGGAGTTACCATAAGATAGTCAAACTAGCAGCACTTCTGAAATTACAAAAAGCTCCCAGGCCTGCTGTTTTTTGTGTGTGTTAAATAGCTTGTATTCTGCTCTGCTTTTATGCATATATGCATTCTATATCAGCTGTTGCAGTAAGTATCAGGGTGGTAGAAATCTGATTTCCATGCAAGGAGAATAATCTTTTTATAGTTAAAGTACTGAAGTACAAATTCTTTAAAGTGCAAATATTTATGAATCTTTTAAAATGCAGATTTCTGTAAAATACAATTGAGTTTCACTTGACTGCTTGAAATTATGCAAGTGCTTAAATGTTTTACAGTCTGCAGACAGTGATTTTGGGCTTGCCCAATAATAAATAATTCCTTTTCTTTTGAACATTTCTGTTGCTTAATTTGTTTCTGTTATTTAGTTGGTGTGTCAAATTTTATTTATAGTCAGAAAGCAGAGCATGATTCTTAGCAGCAGAAGATAAACCCTACTTCTTGTTTTTGGTAACTTCTTCACTCACTGTATTTTTCTGATTTTTGTCTGCAGTCAAACGTTATATTACTAAAGTTGCTTTGGAAGATTGTAATTTAGTTGAAGAGTTTAAAGCTGTGACCTGTGAAAACTGTAGAAAGGTGAGAGAAGATATCAGAAGGCATTTGTGCTTTTCCTTTTGTGTTGTTATTTTTTGTGGAGTTTTTTATGATCAACATGACCAGATGATCAAAGATAAAGATTTCAAAAGTTTGAGTAATTGTCCTGACATAAGTAGTTACCTTGAGAGATCCTGGCCTAATAAACAGAACATTAGTTAAACAACTAACTATGTTGCCAGTGTACATTGGAGAGTGTTCCTCTCCTCATCCCCCAAAAAAACCTCAAGGAAATGTTGTTAATATTGATAGAAGGTTGTTCAACTTGATCCTTCTAACACAGAAATGATGCTCTCGAATTCTTTTGCCATGTGTTCCTTTAGTGTAGATGTTTGAGGTTTTTTTTCTGTGGGAGTCTGGTTAATTCCTGTGTCTTCCTTTCTCCAATTCAATACTTCAGGAGCTACACTGAAAGGCACCGAGTAGGTGGTTGAGCTGTGCTGTACTCGGCCTACTTTGCTATTTGACACATGCTTGTTTGTGATGATGACTCTATTATGGGACTTAGGAGACCTTCTGAGTTAGTCCTGCTTTTTAATTATTGTTTTTTGTATTCTTGTCTGCATAACGTTTTCATTTGTACACTTTTAAGCTTATTAATTGCAATGAACGAAAAGTAATTACAACTAATAGTGCATACATCCAGAGGTCCCTTCCAACCCCATATCATTCTGTGATTCTGTAGCCTGTTTTCACAAGCATAAAAACTGAGCTGCCTCTTGTCAAATATTCTATTTACTTCTCATTGTAACTGAGATGACAGCATTTGTTGAATTTTTTTCTTGATTTTACAGAACAGTGAATCTATGAAGCAGAAAGGAAATGAGGAATTTTCCCAAGGAAACTTTGATCATGCTATAATGTCATACACTAAAGCCATAGAGTTTTGGTAAGAACTAAACTGGTTAACTAGATTGTGTTGTATCATATCTATTCAGCTTATTCAGATTTACCCAGATTTTGTATAGTTTTGCATGAGCCACTCTACTTAGAGGCCAAATCATACCTAATATAAAAAAAAAAAAAGAAAGCTACATAACACATTTTTTGTTCTATTTTATTTCTTGTTACTAGTGGTTGGTTGCACTTTTACTGTCCCAATAGTCCAGTTAGGGTTTAAATGACTAACAGTAATGTAGTAAACCTGAAAGGAAGTAAGTTATTTAGTGTCAACAGCCATTTTTGGTATCATCCCTCCTAAATGTTCTTCCAGCAGAACAGTATGACCAACTTACAAATATTTATCGTCTCAGCTATAGTGCAGAACTAGTGAACAAGTTCAAACATTTATTTTTAAGTATCTGCTCGTGGCAACTCTGTATGTAACAGGCTTAATTTCCTTTGGGAAGAAACTAAACAAGACTTACTAGAAGTCATTTGCTGAAAGGCTTTGGAGACTTTCCTGGGATCTCTAAAGGGGCAGGGAGACGGAGATTAAATGAGAATTTATGTCCTATGTAAATAGAGTGTTTGCTCCCTTCCTGTAGTCCTCATGTAATGTGAACTAGCTACAGAATGCTGGCTTAGTAGAATTACTACGTGTGTTGTAGTCATGCAAATGCTGCTTTTACAAGTTCTGATGTCTATGAAATACACCAAAATTCATATAGTCCCACCTTTCATAGAAAAATCCATCAAGCAAACTTTTATTTTTTCATTTTGAAATCTAGCTTTATAATTGCGCGGTTGAAAGGACTAGCATTTTGCTGATGTCTTGCTTCAGATCTTCTCTCACATACTAGGATACATTTCAATCCCAAATTCAATTTGATTTTAGGCTCTTGGAAAAATTGAGTAGGCTGACTTCATTCAAGGGAGTGTATCTGAGATATGGAGCAGGCTGGAGAAGGCATTTGCTCAGTGAAAGAGCAAAAGAAATCCCATGGCTTGGAAAGGGCAAAGGAAGTCTCATGGTTTCCAGGGGCTGTAGAGCTGAGCTGTTGTTACAACTATTTGTCAGAAATTGTTCTTTGTGTTTAAGACCCTGCTGGAAGGTGAAGGATAGCTCGGTGATGTCTAGCAGCTAGGGAGTCCTCCTTAACTGGCTCTGTGTGTTTCTCTTAGTATGAGCTGACTTTCATCTGCGCCATCACACTCCTTCCCTAACTAGTTGCACCCTCCCTTGGCTTCCTTTCAACTGGTTGCTGGATTATATATACTGGTTCCTCCCTGTCATTCTGTCCCATCCCTGGAAGTGTTCGAGGCCAGGCTGGATGGGGTTTTGAGCAACCTGGTCTAGTGGGAGTAGTTGCTGCCCATGGCAGGGGGCTTGGAACTACAGGATCTTTGAGATCCCTTCCAACCCAAACCATTTTGTGATCCTCCATTAGGTACGTTATCGGCAATTCTTTAGGTCTTTAGAACCTTAGTCTGGTTTCCATTAGGTACGTTATCGGCAATTCTTTAGGTCTTTAGAACTGCTGCTTAGTCTGCCCGGTCAGGCAGATGGGTGTGAAAAAGTTGTAGACCCCAGTGATCAAGAAATGTTCATGAGATGTTTGATTTAATGAGGGCTTCAAAATTAGGAATTTCAGAACAAAATGAAATGGGATATATGGGACAGTCAAGCTAGCTTTTCCATGCTTCATGACTTTTTTTGCCCCTTTTTTTTGTTTGTTTTGGGATTTTGGTTTTTTTGTGGTTTTTTGTTGGTTTTTTTTTTTTTTAAACAGAGCTGGGACTGTTGGGAACATACTACCCATAATTTTGCACCATTTGAGGTGTGCTTTGTTATGTGTGTCAGAGCCTAGTGACTTGGGGAAGGAGTTTAAAAAAAGAAAGCAAAACAAAACCAGAGGTTTAAAGTTGGCTGGGGTTTGAATTGGTTGGAAGGTGCATTAGCTCAAATCTTAGAAATTACTACATAATTCTAGTATTCACTAATATTCTCAGTAACTTAGCTTTTAAATCCATGCTACAATTCAAAGAAGCTTGTATTCATATATAATCTGATAGTTGATGCTATCAGACAATTATTCTGAAAACTTACTTTTTCCCCCCCCCCCTTAAGATTTTAAAAAGTAATGTATGTTACTAATTTTTCATAATTTTTTTTTTAAGTCCAGCAAACCATCTTCTGTATGGAAACCGAGCTCTTTGTTTAATTCTCACAAGGCAGTACAAGTAAGTAACCCCTTGTTTATCACCTGAAATGTTGTTGTGATCTGCAGTTAAAAATTGGCAATATACTTAGGAAAACAGTACTTTTAAAACTTAAGTATATAGTAATTGTGATGTTACTACCTTGTAAAACTGGTATCAAGAAAAATGAATAATACTAGCTTTATCTGCTGGCAGTATGTAATACCATTTAGAATTTGCGTGTGTTGTGGGGTTACACAACAGAAAAAAAAAATCTCAGTACCAGTGACTATTGTGATTTTCATTAAACCTCTTGAAGAAGAGATCAGTGTGGTTATGGGGGCTGTTTTCCTTAAGCCAGTTGTTAAGCTAAAAATCTTGTTTATGAGCAATATGGATGTATACCTTTTAGGTAAAGCCAACCCAAGAATTTATTGTTAGTATAGTTCAAGTCTTAAGGGTCTAATTGTGATTAGTTCACTGCACATCTGGGTGGGTACTGAAGTTGGCAGTTCCATTGCTGTAGCAGTAGGGTGAGAGCTGTCAGGGTGCAGAGTCCTGCTGTGGGAGGAAAGTGATGTTCACGCTGATGGTTTCTTCTTCCTCACTCTGGGATCCATGTGGCGTCACTTTTATGCTTGCTAATGTGATATTGCATCTTTGTTCTGTCTTTGTTCACCTGTGGCTCCATGTTAAATCTGAGTTTACTATACATGGTACTTTTAATGGTTATTACTTTTTCTTTGTTACTCTATTTGTAAAGGTTTGCCATGTCTTTAACTGACTGTTGGTGAATTGTTTATAGCCACAGGGTGTCCACTGCCAAGCCTGTGCCCCATATCTTGTCAGCTTGTGCCTGTGCTCCTTTGTAGCATCCTGTGTCTCCACTTGTGGAGGCCTCTGCTGTCGTATCAGCCTTGTATTTCATTACAGGACATCATCATTTTGGAGTCACAAATACCTATTTCTGTATAAATAGTAGTAACAAGCAATTATTCCATCTAAATCTATGGTTGCACCACACAAGCATAAACAAAAGTAGAACAAATTAGCCACAGACACCAGGTCAATTGGAGAAATTGCTGTCACAGTTAAACCAAGTAAGAGAAAACTGCAGGCAGGTGAAGCTGCAGTTCAGGCTGAGGAAGACCAAGAAGCCTCAGTCCTGAGGTTTGGCACACTCAGCACAGAGCTTATGGCCTGCTATTGGCAGTGGCAATACTGTATATGACAGGACTGTGCAGTTCCATAGTGCTCTGCAGATCATCTGCTGGAGCATTTGTGCCTTTATCCAAGGTACGTGTCGTCCTCCTGGTTTCAGAGCCTGGTGAGAAGCAGTGGTCATGTTCCCTCCCAGGCTTTGATGCGGGACAGGACCTCTCAGGGCAGCTTGGCCTCCTACCCTCAAGTTTTGATGGTGCTCAGGGGTGCCTTCCCTAGCACTGCACCCAGCTGTCGAGAGGTGGCACTGGAGGAAGGGCTGGGTGGATGAAAACCAAGCCTGATGGCACACAGTAGACAAGAAGACAAATGCTGGTGGTTTTTTTTTTTCTTTTCTGATCTTCTCAACTGCTTTTATAATATCTTAGTATCTCGAGGTTCTATACTCCACAGTCTGTCTTTTACTGAAGCATTTTTTCCTTGTGTTTGCTTGCTTTGTAATATGAATATGGTGCAATTTCTCTAATCACTAGTTCTGTTGTGTTGTTTTGGTTTTTTGTTGTTTTTTTTTAATTACTAATTTCATTAAATGTATCGCCACACCTCTAAATGCTGCCATTACTACCTGAGGGTTTCCCTTATTTGTGGGGTGGGCAATTTTTTTTGTTCTAACTTTATTCACTGAATTAATTTTTTCTGACATCTCTGAAGAATTTTCGTAAAACACGCTCCTTGCCTTGAAATGATTGTCTCTTTCAGGCTTTTCTTTAGTGTCCAGCTTTCCATAGAATCATAGAATAGTTTGGGTTGGAAGGGACCTTTAAAGGTCATCTAATCCAACCCCCCCTGCAATAAGCAGGGACATCTTCAACTAGATCAGGTTGCTCAGAGCCCCGTCCAGCCTGACCTTCCAGGATTGGGGCATCTCCTACCTCTCTGGGCAACCCGTGCCAGTGTTTCACCACCCACACAGTAAAGGATTTCTTCCTTGTATCTAGTCTAAATCTACCCTCTTTTTGTTTAAAACTATTACCCCTTGTCCTACCACAAGAGGCCCTGCTAAAGAGTTTATCCCCATCTTTCTTATAAGCCCTCTTCAAGTACCGAAAGGCCTCAATAAGGTTTTCATTACCACAGAGCATCTCATGTTCTTCCTTCAGATCCCTCTGTACAGGCTTTCCTGCTGTAACATTTACAAAAAACCTGTGGTAGTGACTGGCCAATTTATGAACACTTCCATGTGAAATAAGTTTCGGTTGTTTTTTTTTTTTCCATATTCCTTCCCTTTGTGGAGGTAAAATAGTTAACGTGTCACAGGCCTTTGCAGGCCTCTCAACTTAGGTTTTGCTGCAGACATTTTCTAAAGGCCTTACTGAGTCAGCATGACCCAGCTATCAGAGGAGTCATTTGTAAGCTTCCTCTTCTGAAGTAATCCATATGTGACCACTCTTTGTTGTAATTTACTGCATTCTGGCACACAGCTGTGGTTCAGTGAAGAACGAGTGGTATATCCCAGAGGCACCTGAACTCTGTAGCTGCCTGCTTTGGGCAGCATTGGTATCAGCAGAGGCCATCACTGCTGCTCTGTGTTCTCGCCTGTAGCCACAGGGGCAGTCTGCTTCTCTTCTGACCTGACCAAAATTGTAATTATGGTTATTCTGTGATACCTTGTGTATTAAAAAAAAATAGTCACGCATTTTCTTCGGGCTTCAGTTGTTGGGAGTTGTAGAGGCTACTCTCTTCAGTGCTCAGCAGTTAATACTTGCATCCTCAAATCTCTAGCTATGATTGTGTAACTAATCTCTAGTATGATTTCTGTCTAAATATTTGGGTTTGGTATTCAGGCTTTTTTATTAAGGCTTTGCTTTTGAAAGGAACAGTTTCTTAGAAGCAAGTTAACGTGTAGGTGCATGAACAGAAATGCTGGAAAACCTAGTAAGTAAGGGGGAGGGATTAAATATCTGATAGGTGAAATAGGTGAGACGGTAACATTTTAACCCAGGTAAGCTTCAGCTAACAAGTGTTATCTGACCATAGCTTTACACAGCTGAATTAACTGTTCTTTTATTCACTTCGTATTTTCATAGTGCCATGTACATCTGGTCTGTAGGTTTTTCTAAAGTATAAATAATAAATACCTCTTCTTTTCCCCTCCTTTCTCTAAGGAGAGCCCTTGCTGATGGAAAAAGAGCCACTATTTTGAAGCCTAATTGGCCAAAGGTTAGTTTAATATACACTTCAAAATTGTCTTTTGTTGGTACTGTAAATCAACATAAGAACACAGAGTCTTAATTACAGATTTGACCCAAGTAGATGTCACAGGTGCTTCTCTGTGTTTAGCACTACTGATGGTAGAATGAACACGGTACCTTGTGGACTAATCAGTCAGCCTAGTACATAGTTTTCTTATATTAAAAATGTTGTTTTGACATGCTTGTAATTGTTGTTACATCGTGTTCTGCATGTGTAAAGACAGAAGAAAACACTTACTGCATTGTTGTGCATACCTGTGTTATCACAGTGCTTTAAAAAAATATATGTAGTCCTTACAATAAATCATGATTAATGACCAACATGTATTTCCCAATAGTCTTGGCCTGAAGAAGAGTAAATAAGGGATAGTTACATAATTGGAAAGTAGTAGTTGAGATTAGGGGGAAAACGCAAATTTGTTCTTTTCCAAAGGCAGAGGCTAGATGCTATTCCCAGTGAATTATCTTTCTGTGTCAGTGTGCTGAGTAGTTGAAAACTTTGATTATTCACCATTTGACCTGAAAAGGGTGGAGTAAATAACTTTTGAGTATGTAAAATTTTACATTGTATTGTCTACTGCAACTGTTTTGGATATAAATTGTTTTCTTATTTGTGTGAATAAACGCTTGAAATTCAAACTTATGCCCATGTAGGGTCACTACCACTTCTGTAAGGCACTGTCATTACTGGGGGAACATGAACTGGCTTTGGAAGCTAATGAGAGAGCTCAGGAACTATGCAAGAATATTCTTGATGGACTTAAGGATCTTATTCAACAAAACGACAAGTTAAAGAAGACATTAGAAGAAATCAATGGTAACCTTTTCTGATTTCAAGATTACCTTGAACATAGCAGAATTCCTGTATTGGTAACTTTCCTTTGAAACTAGCTAATTGTTTTGTTTTGTTTTCTCCACTCCCCCCCCCCCCCTCATTCTTTTTTTCTCTTCTTTGCTTTCTCATTACACCCTCACCCTTTAATATATTTTGATCCCCCACCAATTTGTGATTTAGCATCTCTTTCCCCCCCCCCCCCCCCCCCCCCCTTCTTTCTATATAATTTCCTGTAGGTATTAAACAACATAAACAGAAACCAAAGAAGTCGCTTCTTGAGAAAAAGTAAGCAACTGTCAAGTCAGCTTTTTTCTTTTTAATTAGCAGTATTTAGTATAAGTAATGCATAGCATAGCTACTGTTTACCAATTTTTTATCTATCAGTAAATAAAAATGGAAGGAATAAACTGATCAGAACAGCAACCACAGTGCAGCCTAGGAGTAAAGAGGACTTTTAGGAGCTAAATAAGCTATCTTGAGGTATGTACCACTTCCAAGCAGTTTCCTTTAGCATTGTTTACTCATGTTGGAAATAACAGGAAACCGTCTTCCTGGTTTTTGTCCTGCCAAGATGAAGTACTTCGCTGTTGAGGAAATTTGGCACCTGAAAACGTCAGTGCAATCACATCCAATTTTTTGTTACTTTGCTATATAAAGTTCACTAAGAAATGAAGCTGATTTGAGGAACTGAATGCTAGCAAATGCATTTTGGCAATAGTAGAAATGCAGTAGAAATAGTAAAATTTGTAGGAACTTGGTTTTGCTAAGACTATTTTTTTGCCTTGCGCAAAGAGTAGGAGAGATTCCAAATTCACAGATTCAGCTAAGTTATAATATATGCCGTAACTTTTGTATTAAACATTTTTCTGAAAAGTATTTTTGATTTTTGTACTGGTGTGCTTGTAGTGATGTGCTGTCATCCAAAAACAATACAGTAAATAAACTATGAAACAGCTTTTTGCAAACCTGAAAATTCTGGAGGAACTTAAATTTGTTTCCCTTCTGTAGTGCACAAATAAGATGTGGCCTTGGGCAAAATTAATTTTTTTTTTTCTTTTTAATTAGTTACTTTAAAAAAAAAGTGCAGTAATTCAGTTCTTGTCCCTCTTCTAGAAAACGGTGCTTTTTTTGGTTGTTATAAATGTATATGTTTGCATATAAATTTGGACTCTGCAATTTGAAGGTATAAAAAATGGGTGTTTGATCAAATCCTTTAAATATGCTTACACAATTACACTTCTACGAGGGGTAGACTTCTTGTATTTGTCATTGTTTTTTTCATTATAATTGTATGGTGTGTGTCTTGCATATTGGGAAAAGACAGGACTGGAAAAACTTGGGTTCTCTCTTTTTACATGTTAGAGACTGCAGTTCCTCAGAATCTCATTTAATAATCTCTCAAGAACAAAAAGAAACAGAAAAAGACAGAAAGAGAACACATTCTGATCCTAAAGATCATCATTGTCCTCAAAAACATGATACCAGGGTAAGTTACACTACAGCGGGCATTGCAACACTAACAGTGCGTTGATTTTCATCGTCCTGGAATGTGTTACTGAATGCTGTGGATGAAATTTTGCAGCCACTGTGTTTTAATAATTGTGTACTTTGTCAGCCATGTGCACTTTCCCTGTAATATTTAACTAGCAAATCTATGTTAAGAACTTTGGATTTGAAAGGAAGTGGGAGGTGGTTGCTTGAATGAGAAGGTGGACGCTCTGTGTTATGAGGAGAAGGGTCTCTTCAGGGTTATTGAAAGTGAGACTGAAGTTGTGTCTTGATTTAATCGACTGTCCAGTCCTCCTGTCAGAATGCATTCAGATATGGGCTCCCTTTGGCTTTAGGAGAGGATTCAGTTAACGTGTAATGGAATTCAGTGAAAGATGCTTTAGCCAAAATTAATTAATATACAGGGCTTTAGCTATACTCGAGCATCATTTTGTGTGACATTAAGGTATTTGCATGGTTATAGACCATTACTTTCATGCTGTATAAACAGATTTCTTTTGTATGGGGAAAATGTTGGTTAAATAGTATGAATAGTATGCTTAACTGGATTGTATTTAAAACTAGAATTTGTGTTTCTCAAATAGCTGTTTCGCTTTGTGTGTTTAAAACAAGTGTATAATGCTAAAATGCAGGACGGACTTGTGTTATTTTAGTAGCCTTTGTAATTCTTTATATTCATTCTTCAATCTAAAAGACTGTTTACAAGTGCAAATATTCTACTAGATTAAGCTCACCACGTCAGCCTGTCCCTGTGTGGGTTTTCAAAGAACAGGTTGGAACTAGAGAAGTTCATGGCCTAATCACAGTGTTGGCCTTTACTTCCTTTGAAGCCTGAATCAAACTACTACTTGTTTGGTCAAGGAGCAGAGCGCATCCTTTATAGAAGCTTGATAGAGTATACACTTTGTTCTGTTCATGGTTGATTTTTGTTCCTGAAAAAGAATTTAACTGAGGATACGTGTTAGTGAAGGGTGACTGAAGAAATCCACCAACAAAAGGCTCTAATTTTGCCTTTTAAAAGGTTATTTAACTGTTGAAAGTGCAATGGCGTATTATGTTGTCATGGTTTAAACCTGGTAGGCAGCTCAGCCCCATGCAGCTGCTTACTCACTCCCCTCAGCAGGAGAGAAAATCCTAAGTGTAAAAGGGAGAAAACCCATGGGTTGAGATAAAGACAATTTAACAGGCAAAGCAAAAGCTGCACACACAAGAAAAGCAAAATAAGGAATTCATTCACTACTTCCAGGCAGATCTTAGCCATTTCCAGGAAAGCATAGCTTCATCAGGCATAATGGTTGCTTGGAAGATGGGTGCCATAACTCGGAACTTTCCCTCCATTCTGACCCCAGGTTTTATTGCTGAGCACGACACCACTTGGTATGGGATATGTCTTTCATCAGTTGGGGCCAGCTGTCCTGGCTGTGTCCCCTCCCAACTTCTCATGCACCTCCAGCCTCCTCACTGGCAGGGCCATGCGTGAAACAGAAAAGGCCTTGATGCTGTGCACGCGCTGCTCAGCAATAACATCCCTGTGCTGTTGACACTGTTTTAATTACAAATCCAAAACACAGCACCATGCGAGCCGCTATCAGGACAGCTAACTTTATCCCAGGCAAAACCAGTATATATTTTTTTTTTATTCCTTACAAAACAAACATGCTCACCCCCAAAAGTGGACAGTTGGGGGGATTTTGTTGGTGCTGAACTTATTTTAGATGGGTTTCGCTAGTGGATGTCAGTAGCATATCCCAGCTGTTGGCTTAGTGCCTGTCTCGTGTCCAGTATCACGGGGAGCCTGTAAACTGTTCCTGTGCGTGACTTTGCCTGAGTAGGCTGTTTTGGTAGGTGCGTGCAGGCTGTGACACTCCTGCTGCAACAGCAGGGAATTAAAAATGTAATAGGCAACCTCCAGTTTGCTTACAGACAGTTCTTCTCTTTTCACACTAATCACTAATTTAAAAGAAATAGTTGTACCTCTTCCCGATTGTCTTTACAATCATTATCGTAAGCTAATTAAGAGATTGTTAGTTATGATCTAGCCTACAAAGTGTGTTATAAATAAGCTGTATAATATAAAAAAACAAGATGATAAAGAATGTGAATCTACTAGCAAGGTCAAAACAATTTAGCGGGCACATGTGAAAAAAACCCTTTCAGGTTTCACAGGAGGGCGGGGCAGCAAAAAAGATGACTCGTTAGTGGAGAAAATGAAACCAATGTACAAGGGCAAAGGGAAGGAAATGAAGGTTTGAAAAACAAAAGCCATCTCACAAGAAGCGCTTTAAGATTTGTGACTGTCTTATGAAAACTTCCATCTGCTTTTATGCTATGAAAATCTTCATAATGTAGGTCCCTGTAAATTTATTTTCCTCTAGGATGAATATTAATGCAAAAAAGGGCTAGTATTTGTCAGTCTAGTAGGTAATACAACTTGATATGAATTTGGGGGGGGGTAAGTATAAATGTTCACTTTCATTAATGAAATTATTTTTCTTTATCTCTTGATTGGGGACATAATATACTCCGTTATCATGGTGATTTCTGTATTTAAATTTTAGTGTTTCAGGTTTTTTCTTTGTTTAAATTTAGAGAGCAATATCTCTTCCTTTTTTGTTATCTGTATAAAACCAAATTAATGTATTTGTCATTTAGGTGACTGACATCCAAAGAGCAGAAAGCAAAGGTTGGTCTCTGGAGTTGCCACCAAGTGAGTTTGTTTTTGCTGTTTGTCAAGTCTTAAGTTGGTTCTTCCCTTGCTGTTGCCATTATGAATAGCCAAAATTGTATCTAGTGTTATTTTCACAGCAGTAAGCTCTCGTGTTTCACTACTTTTCCTATTAGTGTGCAGTTCATTAGATACTTCTTCTCTTCTGTATTTCTGTCTTGATATCCTTTGTGCTTTTGTAGTTTCAATCTACTTTACACTGATGAATTCAGAATTGAAACTGGAACTAAAAAGTAGAATGCTGAGTCACAGGCTAGAAATGCTTTCCCTCCTTCTGAGACAAGTACAGGATCTAAAATGTTCTAAATTCAAGAGAAAAGTGTGGGTAATTTCAATATTCATAATTCCTTTGTGATTACTAAAAGCTCTGTATAGGTCCCTAAGAAAATGGTCCCACGCTTAGAGAGGAAGAAGGCCACAAAATATTTGTCAGAGTGGATCTTTAGCTACAAACTTTAAGACATATAAGTTGGTGTGATTTATTGTTCATGGGTTTTTTTAATGAACTAAAAACCAAAACAAACCCAACCCTTTTATAGAGAGAACTCCCACGGTGACAGAATTACTTTTCTGTGGTAAAAGTGAAGTGCACGCAGTTCAGATCTTCAAAGTGAAATTTTTTCCTGAATCTTGCTTGTGTTTTTTTTTTTTTTAATCAGTTGCTAAACCTGCTGTAACCAAGAAAGAATAAGACATTTCCCTGACACTCAGAAATGGTTCTTTTTTATAATGTTTGTATGAAATACTGCTACTGGATCTGGACCAGCTGCACACTTACGCTGTATTCTAAAATTGTGATCCCCAAGGCAGCCAGTCCTTCTAGTCCTGGCCATGCAACAATCTGAAGGCTTTTTACTTTGCATACTTAAATACTTAGCTGAATAGGTGCCAAAGTGCAGAGCACTTGAAAAATTTGATTTTTGGAAGCCAATGAAGATAGATTACAACATATTATTTTAAAAAAAGCAGTTGGAGTAGTGATCTCGCTCTTGTGGGCTTTGAGCATGTGAACATCTTGAAGAATCAAAGGATGTATTTGGAGATGGAAAATGTGGGAAAGGTTGCAAAGGAAGACTCAAGGCGAATTTGCTGAAAAGATGCTATGTGGTAGGATAATAAAAAAATGAAAAAACCACTATAAAGTGTTGAAGGAACTTATTGCAGAAAGCATGAATTAGGGAAGGGTTGTAGAAGGAGGAACTCAAGCTCTGGAAGACAAATCAGTTTTGAGGAACTATATCTAGATGGTGTGAAAGGGCAAAATAAGAAATGCACGGAGGCCATAGGGAATTTTGAATGAGATTGAAGCAAGTGACAACTAAGTGAATCGAGACGTTTTCCTGAGCGAGAAGGTGTGGTCCGAACAGTAATGAAGTCTGACAACATGTTATAAAACGACGGTTTATTGAGGCAGTGGAAAAGATCAGCAACCAGCCCAATCACTGATAGCAAACGCAGGATTATAAGTGATGCCCCGGCTCCAGTGGACTGCCAGGGACACTTGGTGTCCAGGTCACCTGGCAGCAAGACCAAATCATGCAAATACCTGTTTGAATGCGATTGAGAATTGCACTGCCCCTTGGCTCCACCGACAGTAGTGGGATTTGAGAGAATTGTACTTGATGTGAAAAATGTGGGCAGTGTCTTGCTTGGTCAGGGGGCAGGCTGTCTGCAGCCTGTCTGTGCTGCTGGTATTAGTGAAGTGGCAGGGTGTCAGAAAGATGAGTTGGAGAGGTTGAGGAAGGAAGAGAGAAAGAATGAGAAAGGGAATGTTGGGAGAGAACTGAAAATTCTTCTAGGCTAAAGAGATAACAGGACTATGAAATGTTGCATTGAACATAGCACTTTTTTTTTTTTTTTTTTTTTTAAATTACTGATTCTATGGGTTTGGTTTTTTTTTTTTTTCTGTTCTTCCTTCCTCCTCCTCTCCCCCTCCTACTTACTATGTCAGTATGAATGTAGAAGAAAATATTTGATTTGGCTTTGATCTGGAAGGAGGAGTTAGGCTCTGGATGACTAGCTGATACAAGTTTACTGTGGGTGGGGAAGAATAGCTTTCTTTTTCTTAGCCTTTGTTCGCTTAAGGGCTTAAGACTTGCGGAAGGGTTAATGTAAAGGAACTTTATGCCACTGTATTTTATCTTAAAGTTACTGTCCTTTTTAATTTCAATTTTTGTCTGCATGTACTACTTTTTTGAGCATGTGTACATTTCTGTTAAATATCTTTGTTTGCTTCTAATGGGAATATCTAGCAAAAGCAATACTCCTACTAATATTTTAAAATGTTTGTGGGGTAAGTGAATCATGTTTGCTATTGAATTAATATATCTCCATAAGTATTTTAACTATAATTCAGCAGGATTTTCTTGTTAATTTTACTTGGAAGTATTTTTAAAATAAATGAAAGTAGTATCTTTTTGAGTTGCATAATATATGGTAGTAGTAGTTTCTGTAGGAAATTGTTCTGAAATATTTTTGTTGAATGGCTTTTAAAATTCAGTGAAAAAAAATGTTGGTTAATTCTTCTGTTGAGTGGTGAGAGGGAAGACTTATATTGTTATCTTCATTAAGATTTTGTTTTGAATGATAGATCGGTTCCTTAGGGAAGGGAACCTGTGTAATCAAGAAAAGGTAATATATCTGTATCTCTAAATGGTTAAATCATTATATGGTTGAAGTGGTTTTTTGGCTTTCAAAAGGATTATTGTTTTCCATCATTTAAATGTCTCTATTTTGAGGAATTTGTGATGATTATTAGTGTAGCTTTGGAGTTTTTCATGCATATGAAGTTTTTCAACGGATGCCTGCTCAGACTCCTGTGTGACCATTTAAAGAAATGGTTCATGAAATAATTCTGAACATGTTCTGTCTTCATGACACTTGATTTTTTTTTTTTTGTTCTGATTAATCTAAATTTTATGTCCTTAAGTAGTTTTTAATGAAGTTCGTGTGACACAAGACATGAAGTGTGTATGCATACGGTTTAACTTGAGAAACGATGACATGAGATATGCCACTGGCTTGAGTACATTGCTCAAATGGGTGGATTTCTATTTTTCCACATTGTCTTTCAGCATTTTTTATCTAATTGTATAAAATACTTAACATGAATGTCATGAAATAAACATTTTAAAGCAGTTACTGAAGTTTTATATATAAAATTGATAACTCTTTTTTTCCAAATTTGATTTTATGGTAGTTCAGCATAAGCATAATAATTAATCAAGCAATATTTTATAATTTAGGTAGCTGTGCCATATGTTTGGGTTCCAGTGCTGGAATAACTTGAATCCAGGTGCTGGACTATATGTTGTCTGTGTGATTTTGTTCAATATTAGGAAGCTACAGTTACCTTCTAAACTGCTCCTTAAAGACTGTAGCTGGAACTATCCCCTCTTGGAGCAGGTACCTGAGTCAGAAGGCAGCACTCCTGTATGCCTTGTAAAATCCATTAGGTTTAACTAGCAAAAAAATCTGCTGCCCCAAATTTGTCAGTTGTAGTTTGGTTCCTACAAGGCAGCTCTCCCATAAGTGGATTTTGTCACTGCTGCTGTTGAGTTGTTAATGTCTTGTAAAGTTCTAACTTCAAAATTCTTGAAAACTGAAAACTTCATGACTTAATCATGAGTATGCACGTGCACATTCAGATGCTTAATGTTATGTGTTAATACCACAGAGAATGGTTGAGGGTTTATTTTTGCAGTTAATGGCATGGCTTCCTGGGTTTGATCAATCACAATAAAGTATTAAAACATGTTTTCTTCTTCCTTGGTACTGATGAATTGTTTACTTGACTTGTAGAGCCCTGCAACTACTCAACAACAGTGTTAGATCTCTGAAATTGTGAAGTGTATTAGTAAAGTTTCATGCTAAGTCTTTGACATTGTTTCGGAGTTAGAAATTAATCAGTATCACATGACAGATTCTTTCTTGTCTTTGTGATCCAGTATTTCCACATGGTTAAACATTTTTATTTTGTAATCAGGGACCTTTATCTTGATCTGAGTCATGTTTATATTTCTAAGGAAAATGTCGGTTGAATTTAACTCCTTTAGCAATGTTTTTTTTGAAGTGGCAAACTTTGTAAAATTTCTGTAGTTGGTCTGGAACATACATAGTGACCTGTTATTCCCACTAATAGTGAATAATATCAACTGTGGTTTTGTATAACATACCGGTTTCTTTAGCTTGGAGTCCACTTTAATACAGTTATTACAAATATTGTCGAGTCAAATCATATCTTACAGAATTTTAAGATTCTTCTGCTTATTTTAAGTATCTTTCCCCTTTATAGAATTAATAAAATCTTAAACTATTTAATAAAAATAATATCAAATTCACACTGTAACAGGTGGCTTTTTAAAAAGCTTCTCGGTTGTGTTAGTTTCCAATATTGGAAATGTTTTAAGATCTGTTATTTACAAAGCAAAATGTGATTTCCGAGTACTTTTTTTTTTTCTCTCCTTTGTTTTAAGTGATGGTCATTTTGTTTGAAATACTTTTTTCTCATTACAGGCCAAAGTCAACAAAGTAAAGGAAGGCCAAAAACCAAAACTGGCGATTCTGAAAAAACAAGGTAAGAAACTTCATTTATTTTTTAATTTATTATTCATTTGAGTTATTTTATGTAGCACTTAAAAGCAAGTTAATGCAACTTTGACTTGCTGCTTGCTCTTTGGTTTGTTTATATTGTTTACCTACTCTTCAGGATATAATTTGTGTTAAGATAGCTGATTAAAGTTCACAAAATTCCAGTTTTCATGAAGAGCCTGAGTTATTACTTGAAAACTAAATCTTTTCCAAAGCTCAGTTGAATTTTAGTAAATGAAGGCATAATTTTAAAAACAACTGTTTAAAAACTGTTGCCCAAAAGCAAGTCACACAGTGTAGCCATAACAAAATACATTCTTTTACAGCAAAAGATAATAGGAATCTTGTTCCAATTGTTACATTCAAACTTGCCCCACCACATAACTCACCCTCTGTCTTATTTTCAAGGCCTCTCTGTGCTAGTTCTACTCTTTGTACCAAATAATTTTTAAAACTTCTCTCACACTTCATATGCTTATTAAGAAAAGATTTGACTGTGAGGAAAGCATTGTAAGTCAGTCTCAGAATTGAATGCTACAAAATAATTTTTACTTAGAGTTCTTTAAGTTTTTGTAGATTTGAATTGTTGCTTAAAGCATATCAATGTCTAATTTTAAGTACATGAATGCTCCCCATAGAACATGCTGAATGTAAATGAGTATGTTTGATGGTTTGGGGCCAAAATTAAATTAGTTGAGATAAAAAGCACTGTAGATTTTATGGACAAAATTTATGCTTTTTAAAACTTTGGTTTTTTATTTTGTTTAAAAAAAATAATTCTTTCCTGTGATACTGTGGCCAACATGCTCCAAATAGGTTTGGGGAAATCACTGCATTTATAGTGGGTTCCATATGCCAGGGTATCTCCTCATCTAATAGATAGTTGAGGAGTAAAGAAGTGTTGCCATGACTTATCTGTAAGACAACTGAGACATATGATGACTTACCACTTAAGACCATGCAGGGGTGGAAGCTTTCTGTGTTTTAACCTGAGCTATGAAATTAGACAACTTGAGCTCTGACTGTACTTTCTTGCTTGTATGCTTCTTCAGCTAGGGTTTTTCAGTTGTGTTTAGGATGTTTAAAAACAGATGAGGGGCACAGCAAAATAAGCTGTTTACAATGAAATAGGGAATTTTCCATTAGATGATAATTCTTAAAGGCAGACTTCTCATTTGGAAGAGTTCAAGCCTTTAGGAAACCTGGGAGCTGAACCTGATTATCCCCAGTCCTAATCTAAGTGTGACCATGAAACCTGTCATCTTTTAATCTACATACACTACAGTACAATCCTTTTGTTTTTCCATAACTCTTTTTGAATACCACTGTAGTTTCAAAGGAGAGGGTTTTTATGTTACTGAACTGGGTTGCCAGTGACTACTTTGTTCTTTTAATTTGAGAGGAGGGGAAAAACGTTAGAATTCAGTATGAGAACAAATCCTCTTTAAAGTAACTGAACCATCTATAAAATTGCTTCTCTCATTGGGAAGTTTATTAGCTCTATAAAAACCATGCAGTTTCTCAACAAGTGAGGTGTGTGGTGAGTTACAGTCTTATCTCTGTTTCTGTAATTAGCAGGTTGCTTGGCTTCCAGAAATTTAGGGAGTCTTTACAGTGTCAGAAATTCTGACACTGTAAAGAATTTGTCTCAGATGATGAGTGTTTCATGCCTTTAAATGTGGGACAGAACTGAATGTATATTAGCAAAAGGCAATACAGTAGCATTAAGGACAGAGTAGCAATCTCAGCACTGAAGATTTAGCTTAGGGTATTAAGCAATACTTTGCCCCTTCATTATACTATACTTTCTCTATTCTCTAGTTGCACATGATGTTTCTTCTGCAGTAGTGGAAAGGAAGAGCTGGGGAGAACAACTCTGTTCCTTTCTTCTCTACTTTCCCTGCCCTCACCATGCCTAGCTGCTACATGTATTTGATTTTAAGTGGTGGTTGTGCTAGGATAAAAATCTTGTACTTAAGAGTAGAGAAGGAGAAAGATGCTGAAGCACCTTATTACAGTGCTGCCTTAGGTATAGGGAAGTTGTCTAGTCATCTTGTCCTACCTCTTCATAAGACCAACTCAGCTGAGAATAAGGTAGAGAAGATAAAAGAAAACAAATAAAATGATGGAGAAGACTGCTACTTCCCTGAAGCCCTAGATATTCCAGAGCCAGAAGCATATGAACTATATATATAGTATCATGACCCTTGATAGTGTTATAGTACATGTTATTGCGATTGTGAAAGCGTGCCTTAATAATCTTTACTATATAGGCAAATGTGATGTGGTTGATAAAAGTGTGGAAATTTCTGCTTCTTGAAAATAAGATTACATGTAAAGTACATGTACAAACTCATGATGCCGTTGTCCTGTTTTTTGTAGAGATCACCTTGATTCGAAGACAGAATCTAAAGCTATCCAAGATAAACTCTTCTGTAATGTGCAACAGGTAACTGGGAATTCATTAGCATACAACCTTAAGTGTAAATGATTTGTCACCTTTTAAGAACACTGTCCAAAAACTCGGTTCATTCAAAAAATGTAATGCTTTGTGCTTGACCTGACTTTTATCAGAAGGCAAAGATTCTGTGGTTCCACTGGTTTGTAATGTTTTGTTGCTGGAGTCTTCTTTTTGCTTCTCCTCCTTCCCCTCCTGTAAGAACTCACACTGGAAATTAGTGTAACAAAACTCAGTGTAGTCGTAGAATAACTTAGCTGAAGCCGTGAGTAGTAATATAGCTCCCTCTTAATTGGTAAAGAAAAACTACAAAAATTGCTGGGAATCATTCGGGGATTTATAACACCCCTCCCAAAGTTCTGACTAAGTATGTTTTCTTGTGTTTGATGCTGCAGTTGGAAATAATCATAGAACATTTTGTTGAATGGTATGGCGGGACACTCTGCCTAGGTGTGGGGGGGGATGTCTTCAACTTCCCCCTGCTTGTATGAGTTTTCTGGCAGAAAACTACCAGATGTGTAGGGAGTTCATACTCTCCTTAGTGTTGAAGGACACAGGATTAGCCTGACTTGGCAGTCCCAAGAACAGGATAGGATGTGAAACCAGATGTTCCCAAGAAGAACAAAAGAATGATAAAAATAAATAGTGTTTTGCTGAGATAAAAGGTTGGGCTTAACATCAAATAGCTGGCAGTCAGTCACTTTGTACTGTAGAAGTCCAGTCCTGTCTTTGAATGAGAGGGATTCTAGTACAACCCCTCCATAGGAGTGTGTTTGGAATTCCTCCCTTGAGAGGGGACACCCCTCAAGGTTACCGTTTGAGACCGAGTGAAAGAGAGCTACCCACAGTTGTCAACGTGGGTGAGTAAACGTCAGTCTGTACAAAAAATATGGGTGTCAAGAGAATGAGACCAGTGTTTTTTCAGTGGTGCCCAGTGACAGGACAAGAGGAAATGGGCACAAAATTGGACATAAGAAGCTCCATCTAAACATGAGGAACTTCCTTACTTTGAGGGTTGCAGGGCACTGGAACAGGCTGCCCAGAGAGGTGGTGGAGTCTCCGTCTCTGGAGATGTTCAAAACCTGCCTGGACACGTTCCTGTGCAACCTGCTCTAGGTGGACCTGAGTTGGCAGAGGGGTTGGACTAGATGATCTCCAGAGGTCCCTTCCAACCCCATATCATTCTGTGATTCTGTAGCTATAGCATTTATACCATACAGTAGATGTTCTGATTAATGTCCTTTAGCCTGAGCACACCATTATCAATTATAATACAGTTTTTAAATTTGCTTACGTATATATAGCTTAGTTTGCCATCCTTAACCCCGCGGGACAAACAGCTGTTTAAAACGCTATAAAATTCATAAATAGAGAATTCTCAGGTCTTATCAGCAATGAATGATTAGTATCCCAAAGTTCTTGAATAAAATCATGGGGACGAAGATAATTTAATCATTTCCTCTCTGTTAATTTGGGGAAGTAGATACCAGAAATCTCTGTTCTGATTAATTACCTCATACGACAAAACGGATTCAGGAGAAGGTGCAGGTTCTGCCTGCACTAAGACCCCCTCTTTACTTTAAGATATCTATTTTTTGTAAGGCTACTGCATTACTAGTATCAAAAGTAATCTTTTTAGTTAGCTTAATCAGCTTTATATGTCATTTAGTTTAACATTATTAGCTTAACATTAAATTAATATAATTTGTTCTGTTCTATAACTATATGCTCCAACAGCATTACCTTACATCAGTAGTTCTAGGAAATTAAAATAAGTCTTAATTATTTTTTCATTAACTCATTTCTGCATTTTGGTCTTTTCTGTATGTGTTAGCAGTTTCCACTGTCCCTGCCACTTTTGTTTGTGACTCTCATTAGAACATGGGTATTTTCTTATGTTTGTCCTTTTGGATCAGTTGACAGGATGAAGATGAAAGAAGACCTAAATTCATAGGTACTTAGCAAAATATATTCTGGACCTGTATTAATTAGGCTTTTGACATACTTAATTTCATGAATACAAATATGTACACCTTCAGAATAGTGTTTAAAAAAAAAAAATCAAGCAACTCAAAAGTTATGTTACCTTCTTCCCAAACCTTCCCAGTTTTTCCCTGCCCACAACCCTGTCTTCAGAATCCCATCCTCAAATTAAAATACATAGGTAGACCTCCTTGTTACTCTTTGTCTTTTCCTTATGGTTGCAGGAGTAGGAGTTGGAGGAGCTTCTTAAATAGTCAAATTACTTGTAGCCTGGCACAGTGATCTGCTTCCCAAAGCTACTCTTATTTTAGTGTTTCAACAGATCAAGGGAAGAGAACTTCCTAATTTTGCAACTGCTTGTCTTGATTTACAGTCTCACTGCTGGAAATTCCCACAGGCTTCAGGAAGAATCTGGAGTGAAAGGCTAATAACGATGCATTCTGACTGAAACCTTCTAGCATTAACTGTTAACCTAGATGGAGTGAAATTGTCAGTAGAAGGAAATAGTTTTCAGGTTTTATAAAAATGTACACAAAATGGAGTGTACAAGTAAGGAAATGCATAAGTCTGGGTTTGTTTTTTTTTTTATAAATGTGAGGATTAAAATTATGTTTGAACTAAACTTGAAACTTTCTGGAGAGAAAAGGATCTAAACTTAGAACAAAACCTAGATTTTTAACAGCTTAGCAGCAGTAGGACCATGAAAGTCTTAAGTTTTTAGAAGTTGAATGTAAAACAGAGTTTTATAAAAATGTACCAGATTTGCTGCTTTAAAAGTGGAATTGTGGTAAAACTGTAGGAAGTACAGAATTTTAACAGTTGGTTGTCCTCAAACCAGGACAGTTAAGTGTTTTAACAAATAGCTAGCTTGCTTTGGAATAAAAAAAAAAAAAAAGGAAAAGACTGTTTTCTTTTGGACTGAGTATTTTCCTAAATATTTTAGGTGGATTTAACTATGTTGCCAGAAGAGGTTAAATCCCTTGTTCGTGACGGTTATACAGCCTTAATGGACCAGCGGTGTCACAGTGCTGAACAAGCCTTTTCACAACTGTTGAGCATTCTAAATCCTTCAGAATTAAAGGTAAGTTCAGAGGAGCACCTTAGTTTATTAGAGTATTTGAAGTTTATGCTTTCAATACCGTGTTTCATTCTTTTCTTCCACCAAAAGAGTCATTATTATTGAATTGTTGCCTGTGATGTTAATTACAATGCGAAGGGTTTCGCTGGTAAGTGTGCCAAGAAACTTAGAAATGAGAATAGGATTAAAAAAACTCGTACTAGCATCAGGTGTATTTTTGTAATGTTCAGTAGACTTGTGCATTTCTAGATGCAATCTAAAAAATATTTGCCAAAATAATATTTGTATAAGAATAATGTAAAATAGACATCAGATACCTTATCTGATAAAAAACTACGGTCCATTGTCAGCTTAACCTTTATTCATAATAGTGTAGGGTAAAAGAATTTATATTCTTCAGGTCAGATAACTCTTTGATAGCAAATGCCAGTCAGCCGTTGACCTGTTTGTCATCCTAGATTTCTTTAAATTATTATACTGTTGTATTAAGTTTTGTGTGCCAGTGTTCGTGCACGTGTGTTGCTGTGTTTCATGCTCCCATTTTAGTAAAGGCTGTTGGAGTGCCAGCAGGTCTGTCCGAGGAAGTAATGCACCAATCCATCTGGAATTGTGACCTAATTGGGTTTTTTTGTTTGTTTCTTCTTTTTTTAATTATTAAAAAATAAAAAAAATCTGCTCAATTCTGAACATATAGCAAGGACACACTGTACTGCAGGAAGTCAACATAGTAAGGCCTGTGGTTACAGAATTTGTAAAATCAAATGCTTCAGGATGTATCACTTTGAAATATATAGGGGTGCCAAATGACCAGCAGTAAAGGTGTAGTTAGCCTTCACTTCTAATTGTAACATAAATACGGGTAGAAGCTGTGATAAGAAAGATGAGAAAAGAGTTTCCGAACTCTGTTGTAGTGAAGATATTCAGTTCACAGTAGACAGTAATGTTCTAGTTACCAGCAAAGTGCTTTTGTGCATGGTACTACAATAATTTGACTCTATTTACAGCAACTGAATCTCCGTATTATTAATTACGTTGTAATCATCTATGGACATGCCACTGCTCTTCTTGGAATAGGACAACCTGAGGTATGACGTAAAGCTACTGTATTGTTTTTTTATTCACTATTCTAGTTCAGGTAGTTCGCCATCCATTTTGGTCTTTTTTTACAGGCATAAGATTAGTAGGGAAGGGAAGCTTTGGTCACATTTTAGAATCATACAGTTTAATGTCTGGGACTAGATCTGTAATGGTTTTGGATAAATTAAGCTACCAAATAAAAATTCTTTTTAAGCTTTCATATGAGTTTCTTAAGTATTTATGAAGTATAACAAATTATTTTTCTTCTACTTTGTTGTAATTTGGTTATGTGCTAGTGTTTCCAACACAAACATTCTGCTTCTAAAACAAGAGGAAGAGAATGCTTTTGGTTCTGGAAAACAGAAGTTTGGGTTGTTTTGGGTTTTTAGGGGGATTGTTTGGGTTTTTTTCTTGCGGTGTTTAAAAATATTCAGTGTTTTACAATGAGTTTAGAAATGTCTGTAGCTCAGTGAGCTCAATCATTTAATTTCATTATTTCAGAGGAAGCCTGTGTCTACAGAATAAGTTTCTGTTTTTTAAAAAAAAAGGGAAGCCTTTGCATGTGATTGTAAGGTTGCTCAATTCCATTTACTGTTCCTTCATTAGACTGATTAAAGAATAGGGCATGCTGACCCACTCTAACTGGAGGAAAAAAAGGAGAGGAAAAGTGAAAAGCTTCTGGCAAAGTGACATATATTTTTGTCTTAAATTTATTTTGAAGGCATTGACAAAGGCTGAAGACCAGTTTAAGAAAATAATTGAACAGTATCAGGAGGAAAGATTTTGTTGTTTGGCATACTATGGAATTGGAAAAGTATACCTCAGACAAAACAGGTTGGTATATGTCGCGAATGGGTGATTTAGGTTCCTTAAAGAACTGCTGTCAAACGTGTTAGCTAAGTGGTTTTAATATGATGTTGTAGAAGTGTGACTTAATGAGGTTCAGTGGCAAGGTTCACTCTATTAATTACTGCGTGAGAAAACATAAAAAGAAAAATGGAGTTACACTTGAGTCAGAATGATTTACAGAGAGACTGGGGACGCAAAGAGTAAGGGAGACCTTCCTGTTGAGTCAGAAGGGATCCCCCTTGCTTTCTGAACTCCTTGTCAGAGAGGAGTCTAGGTGCTGCTGGATCCAGACTTAGTCTCAGACTTGGTCAACAGTGTATGTCTATAAAGGATTATATGCAAATGTTTCATTAGCATTAATTCAGCATTCGGTCAAGATTACCAAAGCAGAATCGAGTTATTATGCTACAGGGTTACGTTTGATATCAGTTGCTTACTGAAGATCTGCTGTTGGTAAAACATCTCTCTCCCTTGAGGAGCAACCTTGAGAGGCGCCCCGGCTCAAGGGGAGGTCAGAGGCTGCCTTGCAGGGAGAGCTCAAAGAAGGCTCACTCAGGCTGTCGAATTTATGGGGTAAAGAGGTTGGCTTGAGGTCAAATTACATGCAGAGGAAAAGGTATGCATAAGACTCCTTGTACCCACAACTTTCTTTGTTCCTTGATAAATGAGCCTTGGAAAAGCCACCCACTATTCATGTGTTAATTGCATGATTGGTGTTCCAAGCTTGTATGCATCAATGCTCTCTGTATCACTCTGCTCCTGTGTGGGTTTTCAGAGAACAGATTGGAACTAGAGGAGTTCTTGGCCTGGCTGCGGCTCTGGCCTTTTTTCTCCTTTGGAGCCTCTACCTAGCTACTGCTAGTTTGGTTAAGGGGTCAAGTGCATCCCTCACAGTAATATAAAGCTTTTATTTTTGATACAAAAAATATTTTACGAAAAAATGTGTGGGTGTTTGGTTTTTTTAACTATTCTTTCTTAATTACAAAATTTGTACATCAGATTGATTTATTACAACCTTAAGTTTGTTACTGCTAAGGCTGCAATGGAAGCCACTGAATTGAGCGGCCTCCAGGACACAGGGGTATGACTGACAAGAACACCTCTGCAGTGGAGGAGAGTTCACAGGAGAAGGGCAAAAAATTATGGTTTCAGGGGAAAAAATGTATCGTAAAGAAAGCTTAGCTTATCTGAACACCAGGGAGACTGGAGAGTAACCTTGGTTTTAGATAAGGCAGCTGCACCAGTGAGTCATTGGGTTCCCTGACACAGATAAAGAGTAATGTTTTCCTGAGTTAGCCAGACTATGGGGAGGGAGGGGGAGTGTATACGTGGCTCAGCCAAACATAAGTGCAGAAACTGGACAACTAATAGACTTGAGAGCAAAGAGCTTGAGCTGGCTTCAACCTTTGTATTCCTGGTGGTATTTTTTCCCTGCATCCTGACGGTAAGCGTATAGAGACAGGTAATGGGAATCATGTTCATATTGATTAAACTGTGTATTGCAATTGCTATGTTATGCTTGTGTTGTAATTTCAGTATATCACTGTACTGGTCTACTTAATCAAAATCCCTAGTAATGCCTGTGATGGGTTGACCTTGACTGGCAGCCAGACCTTATGCAGCTGCGCTCCCACTCCTCCCCCTCAATGGGAGACAGAGAGAAAATAAGATGAAAAAAGCTCAGGGGTTGAGATGAAGACAGGGAGATGATTTGATAATTAAAGGCATAGGCAAAACAGACTCAGCTTGAGGAAAAATAATGTAATTTATTGTTTGTTAAAGCAGAGTTGGATGGTGGGAAACAAAGTAAAAAAACTGAAATCAGCTTCTCCCAAGCCCCCTTTATCCCAGGCTCCGCTTCACTTTCTCATTTCTGACTTGATTCTTCTGCGTCCTCCTCCCCTGAGCTACCCTGAGATGAGGAATGCGGGTTGTGATTAGTCCATAACAGCTCCTCTGTGCCTGCAGCACCTGTTCCCCTTCTCCTTCTTACTTTGGTGCTCAAAAGGCAGTTTCTCAACTTTTTGTTTTTTTTCCTTACTTGTAACAGCAGTGCAGTATGTTTTGTCCATTCTTACCCATGCTTTCCCCAAGGTGCTGCCATCTTGCCTGAGGGGCCCAGCTGTGCCCCGTGGTGAGTTTGTTGGAGCCCAGAAGCTGCCCCTACAGCATTTGTCCCCACCCCTCTGCCCAGCCTTGCCACAGAAACACAATACAATGCCAAGTACATAAGTTTGATATTAGAACTTAAGTCCTCCTGTGGAATATCTAAAAGCAGGTGGTCAGAGAGTGTTGGATGCTAGAGGGGATTTCTCCTTCCCACTGCCACAGCATATCCAGGGTGCAATCTGAGACCGGGGGGGTGTGTGGCTGTTGTTCCCCTTAGCAGTTTTGACCTGTAGTGAGGCTATGTGTGTGTCCCAAAGAGGTGTGTACACACACATGACAACACAGCTGGCCACCCAGACTGCACCAGGCAGAGCAGCTACCTGAACTCATGTGAAAACGTAACTATAGGTAGCAGAGTCCTGTACCTCCTCCCTGGCTGATGAGGGTTGAAGGTCACTCATGTACGTACCCATGCCCCCACTCTCTCTAATGACGAGCACACCCACGTCCATGGGTCCCTTGAATATCTGCCTCCTGTCTGTGCCTGGACTCTGGGCCCCTTACCCAAGCTGGCTTGCTGGCTTGCCCCTTGAGTCTTTCATAGTGAAGAGTCCTTAAGCAGATAACTTAATGAAACAGGTGATCTTTCATTCCACATACTCTTACAGTTACCTTTGTTTTTTTTTCCCCTTGGATCATAAAGTGAATCATGAAAGTCTCATAGACCATGTAGAAGTTATTCATATATGATCTGAACATGTACCACTTTCAAACTTCAGATTTTCAGATGCGCTTGATCAGTTCATGAAATCACAAACCATGGTTAATCACAAGATTGTACCTGGAGTGTTAACTTGGCCCACAACATCTTGGGTCATTGAAGAGACGCGAACAGAGAACTTAAAGGTATGTTTTTACAAAACAAAAAAGAGGCATTAAAACCTCTTCTGTCAAATGACCTTTCCAAAAAATAAAAATGTTGTCATCCTTCTCCCTTTCCCCTTCCTTCCTCCCTCCTCCCCATTGTCAAGGCTAAAGAAAGATGGAGGAAGAGAGGGAGGTTTTTGGCTTGAAGCAGCCAATGGAAATGCTACTGCTCATTGTCTAGAGTGTTGTCAGCCCCAAGGCCTGGTCTCCGTAGGGCAGAACTCTTCTTGTGATGACAAATTTGAACACATGGGAAGTGCCCCATTTACAGCATAAGGGTGGGGGCTCTGTGTCAGGCTCTGGGCTTGGGTATTCCTGTGGAATAAGATGGTTCAAGTCTGCTAATGAAGTGTTTAATAATGTGTTTGTTAACTTCTTAGTCACAAGTTACCAAACTTTAAGTAGATGTGAACACTATAGACAACATAATGCTAGATAGAACCAGTTAAAAATTTGAATTAGCAAATATGTGGAGTTGAAAACTGCAGCAGTGTTGCTGTATATAAAACCAAATAGGAGAGTTCTTGGTCAATGCAGTGAGAGTTGTATGGTAAAATTTCCTGTTTGACTTGAAAAATGTAACTTTTGGTTCTGACACTAAAATTGCTTTGTCACGCTGAACAGTTTGTTGGGGGCTTTTTGTGGGTTTTTTTTGAGTCACTGTTACTTGTGAAGGGTTTCTGAAAGGCAAGATGCAAAAGCTTCTCTGCACAGAGGGAGTTTGATGCAGTAGAACGTGCTAGGTTATTCAGTGTATGAACTTGGCTATACTGTACCGACCTGTTTCATTTCTGGTAGAAGCAGCATTGCTGTTGTTTACTAAACAAAAACTGTCCTAAAGATTTCTCATGGACCCCCAGCTGACACCACGGTAGTCTGTCCACAGAATACATCAGCGCTGTGGGACTTTTAGAGAGCGTAATACAAACATCTGAGAGGCTGTAACTGGTGGTCTGTTTGTTTCTAATAATGTTTTCTTAATCTGGGCTCAACGTCAACCCTGTGGGGCTTGAATTGACTTTACATAAAGCCACTGTAATGTCTGTACCTCAGACATTATAGTGAGAGATGTCACTGTCTCCAGTGCAGGGCCAGGTGTGAGCTGTCCCTTGGAATGTACTTGATCGTGCAACCCAGGTCCTAGGTGAGGGACTCCTGAAATGCTGGGAAGTGGCAGAAATGAGCAGCCACTCCATTTTCATCACATTATCTCAGTAATCTGGCTCATCATTTTGGCAACTATATTCTCATGCATTTGGAATTGGTCAGCATGTAAACATTAGTCCAAGATAAACCTGCATGCAGGGAAGCTATGAGTACTCAGCTGATAGCAGTTCAAACGAGCTTTTGAATATTTTGCCATAAAAGGACAATCTTCCATAGCTTTCACTAGAAAAAAGTTGTTCTTCTGGTGTTACTTGTCTGCTGCTCAAAAAAGAGGTGTGTGTTTCACTGCAGAGTTGCCTAGAAGATTATAAGTAGATACTGAATCTTTTCCTGGTTTCTATGAAATTCACTTTACATTATTTTGTGTTTCTCAGTTGATTTTAAAGAATTGTATTGAGGAATGCAAGTTCCCTCCGGAACCAGATGCAGTTTGTCGATATCAGCAATGCCATGGCCACTCCAAAATCCAAATATTTTTTACAGACCCAGACTTTAAGGTAAATTTTTAGGTTAAAAGGGTTTGGGAAATAGAACTTCATGGTCACATGTTTTCTGCCCCCTTTCATATGAAATCGCTGTCTGGAACACACCATGTTATCCTATCTGCTGTGAAGTTGTACACTGTTCTTTATTGGTGTTCTTTAAAGATGTTAACTTCATACTATTTCTCTTGTTAGGGTTTTATACGTATTACTTGCTGTCAGCAATGTAGAGTGGAATTTCATATTAGCTGTTGGAAAAAGTTGAAAACAACAAACTTCAATGATAAAAATGATAAGGTAAGGGCTGTTTCAAACTATAAGGATTTTATTTTTTCTCTTTTTAGTCAAGATTATAGCATTCCTTTGGTTTGTGATAGGTCAGTGCTAGAGCATGAGGTTCAACCCGCATGACAGTGGCAGGAGGAGAGACAGGAAAGAGGAGTCTCTTGATAAGTTATCTGACATGAAGTGTAGGTAAAGCTTGCTGCTGTCAACAGAAGACAGATCTGTCTGTGTGAAGGCTTAGTATGTGTAGCCTGTTTCTCTTGAATCATTTATGTCCTCCTGTACAGAGGTTTTATTCCTTCTACAGTCTTGCTGTTGAAGCAACAGTTCGACACTGGGTATGTCTAAAGGAATTTTACAAAACATAGTATCAGCAGCCAGGATTAAATGAAGGGAAATCCAGACTCATAAAAGAATATTCTTAAAATTGACTCTGGAATGTGAAGTTGGAGGAGGAGGGGCTTTGGTGTAGCTTTGGGAATAACAGGTACATGCCACAGGTGTAGGATCCTTTTGATTTGCAGTCCTTGCCAAGTCAGCAATTTCTGTCCTCATCCAGGAAGAGTTTAGGACTGTGCTAGCTTAAATTACCTTGGTCACCTCAAATTAACAAACTGTAATCTGTCTAAGAACATAGATTTTGCATGAATTTAAATGTCTTTGTTGTGTGCATCATTTTCTCTTACAGGATTTTCTTCAAGAACTATGTTTCACTCCTGATTGTAAAGGCTTTATTTCAAAAATAGTTATTTTCAATTCTTCGGGTCTGGTAAAATGTGAAGTAAGTAAATGTTCATATAAAATGTGAAAACAATCTTTAAAGTACTTACTCTGATAAAGCAGATAAAGTGAAGACGAGAATGTAGCTGCAAACTGATAAGTAATATGCTATCTTAGCAACAGTATCGAGTATTATTTAGGGATATTAATTACCTGTTCTCTTCACACCTGTTCTTCTGCTGGAGTAGGCATTACCTTATGGCATTAGTTAGAATTGTCATGGACGGGAACTGGAGTTTTGTTTTATGTTTTGTTTGTGCAACGTGAAAAGAACTCTGTTAGTTTAACTCAGGGCTAATCTTGCTAAATGAAATAACTGTATTGGAAGAGTGCTTTTGCCCTCTACAGAGTCACAGCAAGAGGGATACTTTTTCCCAAAGCAGTATTCATCTGTGAGAACCAAAAAATGATTGTAAAGTTTGCTTCCTACCCACTGGTAAAGCAAAACAGTCTCCAGTTCTTCCTGAGTTTGTGTTATCTTTCAACCTGTCTTTTCTGCACATAAAATAGTATTGCTGTATACCAAGTTGTAGCAGTAGAAGATAAGTTTAGGTAGACCTTGAGGCTTACGTGGGCTGCATTATCTCTTTCATAGGATTACTTTAACTGCTTTCCAAAGCATCAAATGTTCCTGGGTTCCAATGTTGCATTGTAACCCAAATTTAATTAATATGATGTCACTTATTTTGGTAGTTTGAACAAAAAATCACAAAACACAAGGAACCACCAAGAGCCAGTATTAAACAGAAATGTTCAAGGTAAGCTCTCTACTGTTTATAACTAAGTTGAATCAGTTTAAGAATAAAACAGTTTTCTCTAGGATTGGTTTTCATGCCTTTTTAAGAATTGCTAAAGTACCACAAAAACTGTGGAAAGCTTTTCTTGTCCTTTGCCGCTGATAATCTAAAAAGTCTGGTAAAATATATTATGATCCAACTAGAAAAGCATTTAATTCACTGGTAAAAGCAGATACAGAGCTGCAGATTTATAACATGAACACAGGGGAACATTGATTGGTATTGCTGAATACATTCTTGGTAGCTCTCTAGTGGTCATATAGTTCTTTAAAAGCAACATTTTCACTTTGGCCACAGGAAACTTTTCAAATATACGTGACATGAGTTGATGCAAATCTGATTTCCCACACCTCTGTACTGAGAGATAAATTGTCCATTGCACCATTGACTTGCCAGCAATTTAAACCAATAGTTTTTGAATATAAACTGTTGCAGTCATCTTTAAGTCTTCATACCTGATGCTTAATTGCCTTGTGAAATCTGTGGGCAGGGAAGTAACATGTTGTTTAGGGAAAGTGTGATTTGGAGGCTGTGTGCAGAATGTGAGGACTGTTTCTTTACTCTTGCTTTCCATATATCATTTTCATTTGTGTTAAGATGCTTAACAATTGGAATACTAAAAGAACATTTTAGTAATCTGTAATTCTTCGTCATGGATTGAGTGTTTTCATTGCAGTTGAAATTCGTTGGTGATAGGATAAACATAATTAATTTTTAAAAGTTAACAAAATCAAATGTTAATATTTTATTCTAAATGTTGAGTTATAAATTAAGAAAAAAAGCCTTGTAGTATTTAAGTTAATCCTAATTTCAGACATCTTGAATGGGAGTAAAAATTATTGCATCTTGAGGATATTCTTTCACTGACATACTTGATCTTTATGAAAGTTTTACGAAATTTTGTGGTCTCAACTTGTAAATGTAAACTAACTTTATTATTATATTTGTGCTTTTCAGCATAATATTTTTTAGTAGAATGAAGCTTATAGCTATTGTAAGACATGAAAAATAACTGAGATGTCCCTAACTCCTATCTCAATTAACGTTAGGTTCACTGTTTACTTGATTTTTCCAGTCTTAGGAAGTTAAAAATGAAACAAGAAAAAAAATTACGAAGAAAACGTGCACGAGAAGAGGCACGGAATTCTGCTAAAAAGAAAACAGAAGAAAACCAGATAGGAAATGAACCATCTCAATGCAGTGATCACAATGGTATGTGGAAGTATAGGCTATTGTTCTATGTTATCATGAGGTACATTAATTAGCATTCTGAATGTCCTAAATCACATTACAGCAAAACACTAACATTGAACATAATCCTCCTCTTAAAGACTTGCATTTTTACTTAAGATTACTTTTATTTCAGTTCTGTTTTTAATTTTTAAATAAATGATAATTGAAGGATAATAAACTGATAAGAGTAAGCTGGTAATAAGCTGTTAGTGTGTGGTTAAGTTCCTTGTAGAAAACCTTTATTCTTGCTTTGCTGGTTCATGAAGAAGCAGCCTGAAGGGTTACCTGAGGGTAAAGGCTCAAATTCCAAGTTACCTATTTAACAGTGGTTTCAGAAAAAAGTTTTATCCCCAACAAGTTAGGACAGTGCTACAAGAAAAAACCAAACAACGACAACAAAAAACCCCAGCCAAAACACAAAAAATACCCTAATTGCATCTCAGATAAAGACATAACAATATTCTAACTGCAGAAACTGCAGGGACTTCACAAGTATATTCCAGAGGATTGGGAAAGATAAAATACTTCCACCTCTAAGTATGTAGTCAGTTAATGTTTCAGTTTTTGTGTTCCAGTTACATTGGTCTGCGGCATTCTGTATTCAGTGGTGTGAATTTCCACTGCATTTTGTGTACACCAAATTTAAAACAACATTGTGTTAAATTTGTAATGCTAGGGCAAGTTTATACGGGAAGTTATATATTCTGTAACTTTGTGTTGCAATAAAGCAAATAATTTGGACCAAGTGATGTTTTTAACTATCTGTATTTTCGAATTGATATTTTTAATTGTGGTAAACAGACATGAAATCTTGTTTTGTCGGTTTGTTTTAAATTCCATTGTAGGTTATGTTCAGGATTTATATGCTGGTGATCGAGTCCTGCAGCATATCAGTCGAAATGCTGAGCGAATAAAAACGGCTGTTCTTGATGCTTCCAAACTATTAAAGGAGTTGCTTTCATGGTTTGTAATCGGTGAAGAGGATTACGCGTCATATTCCAAAACTAGTAGCATGTCACACGAAGTGATGGAGCAGCTCATCAGTTATCTAATTCACCAAAAAGACAGAGTAAAAACAAGGGGGTTTATCCATGTGCTGAGTGAGCTGGAAGAAGTTGATCCCAAATTACAGAAGTGGCTGAAACATCTTAACAACTTGGGTAGGCTATGTGTTTATGGAATAGCAGAAGACCTTACCCTGTCATAATTGTTCAATTTACAGATTAAAAGATAACCCCTCTATTTTCCAGCCTTGCTGTCTTAACTTGAAATGGTAAAGTAAAGCTTTCCCCTTTTTCATTTACTTGATTTTTAGCTAGGATTTCTAGAGAAGAAAGTATGACCATTGGCAACACAGGAACAATCTCTTGTCTCTGCAAGTAAAGCATTCTTGTGTGGGCAGGGCTTTGTCCATGTAGGAAAGAGGAAATTGAACAGATCTAGTTTGTTAATGTTTTTAAACTCCACAGTAGGCTTAAATTATAAAGTTTGTATAAATAATTTCTTTCTGAAAAGTAAATCATGGTGGGGGTTTTATCATAAAAAAACTTAGCTGACTGTATAACTTTTAAGTAATTTAACTTGGTGCTCTTCAGTAATGTTGCCTTGCTTTGTAATTTCCTATTAAATTTATAATTGGCTGAAGGTAGAAGTTTGGTTTTGCAGGTAAAATGGGCATCAGGTGCCAAAGCCTTGGACGAAATTTGTGTTCTTAATTCTGTTCTGTTGCATCAATATCCTTTAAGGAAGGGATATTGAAATATAATACAAATAATAATTTATTGCTGACTAAGAGTAAAGCTTATATGAACTCAATTTCTCGTTTTTATTTGCATTTTCAAGATACAACAGGTGTTACGTAATTTGTTTCAGCTACTGTATATTTAATTCCTAGAACAAACTGTTCCTCTTTGAAGAGGAATATCACACTGTAAGCAGTAAAACTGTGAAGCTGGAATGAAATGTTGTTGGTTTTCATCTCTTTTTAGGTCTGACCGCTACAAAGAACTTTCTCCTCCAATATGAACAACTTTTAAAAGGGCTTGACCTTTCTATTTTAACCACACTCTGGAATGAGAAGTATGGTAGTAAATTTGACTATGTGACAACTAGTTCTGAAGACAAAGAAATTATTGATTATTTCTTAAAACCACCCCTAGAGAAAACTCGTTGTTTTATATGGCTGTTAGAAGACAATAGAGAAAACTTTCCATTTCTTCATCAAGCTTTAGATGAATTCTTTGATAAAATGGGTAAGTATGCAAAGGTCATCATTCTTACAAGCATTGTGCTTTGCCTGGTTTTACACCGCATTTGGTGGGCTCTATAAATGGCCAAAACCTCAGCAAACTACTAACTGCCTCGTTGTGTGGGATCTTCTCTGTTCAGTGCTTAAAAGACAATATGGCCTCAAAAGGCACTCTTTTTTAAGTTACATTCTGCTGGTTTGTTTCATGTTCCACAGCCAGCATGTGAGTTTACCTTGAAGTATATATGATGTATATAAGTATTGTCTTTCTGTGTAAGCATAAAGACTCTGCAGCTGCAGTCTTTGAGATGCTTTGGTGGTGTTTGATAAAGGATTATAATAATTATTACTATAATTTGATAGCTCACAATTATAAGTTATGTAAAATATTACTGTCTCTGTTTATGAATGTGACTTTGTTACCCTTTCAATAGATGACCCTACCATTATATTAAAGAAGCAAGGAAATGAAAACGTATCAGTAAGTGAACTTAATGTCTATTTAGTATAAGCCCAGAAACAAGTATGAATGTGGTGTTTTGAAGATCTGCAAAAGTGAATAGGGACGTGCATCTCTTAGTTTATTTTACATCATCATCCAGCAGACCTGACTAGAGATTTACTCTTTTGTTTTATTGTCTCCTGGCCCCCTACTTTTCTTGAGGCATTTGAAGACTGCACACCATTTTTCCTAAACTTCTGTCAGTAAAATACCTGTTTAGGGTTTTCTCTTTAGTTATACCACAAACCAACAAGATAACTTTTACATTATGAGCATTGAAAGGATGCCGATGAGGAAGTTGTAGTGAAAGCGGCTGAGGGTACACTGGTGTGCTGTATCACCTCCTTTTGATAGGGAAAATAAGGCAAATAAGGTGCATGGGAATAGCATTTACGTATAACAGGAGTTTGGTATTAACTTTAAAAAAAGTCTCTCTAAAAGTATGATTGGGGAATTTTAAAAAGTACACTATTTACAAACAGAGAGACTCTTACTAACTGTCGTATCTTACTGCATATTTACCATAACAACTGAACTGAAGCATTATTCTACCCTGAGTGTGCTTAACTTCAACCTGGATAATTTTGGACACTAATTGTAGTGTGCATTTTACAGTCCAAAGCAACAAATTGGAAGGTGTATAACCCAGCTTTTACCTTCAGATGTAAGGCCTAGGAATTTGGCATTTATTCTGCTAATAAGCAAAGTAAATTTGAAGTGAGCTAGACCTATTTTGCATTTGTTCATTACAACTCGAAGATAATTTTCCAATTCAGTCCATAAGTCGATCACTTTTTGATTAGTATCTTAATTAAAACCTGTTTTGATTGGCAGAAGTATATTATGTATGTATTAATATGTAACTTCATAAGATGTGAAGTCCTCTCCTTTTTTTCTTTCATTAATTGGAAATCCAAGAATGAAATGAAAGCCATTAGAATAAAACTACTTCTATTTAAATGTTAGTTATATCCTAAAATAAACTATTAGTAATTTACTATTGGTAGAGTTATGTTAATCTATAATCGCAGTCGTAGTATAAAGTAAAGATGCACGTTAGTTACTTCATCACTGCATATCTTAAAAAAATTGAAGTGAGCAGAACATTTGACAAACCTGTTTGCTTCTTGTTCTCCACACAAAACTGCATTGTCACAGCTGCTTAAATATGCAATTTCAGCTGTAAGTAATGAGTAAGCATCTGAAATACCAAGATGATGGGATATTCTGTTTTTAAAAATCAATGTTCTATGCATTTAAAAAGGAAAAAGATTAACAAAATGGATAAAGTCTTGCAAAGCTCTTTTTGTGTTTTCTAGCTGGGGGTGGAGTGAAGAGGGGCAAGATTGCATGCGTAACCTTGTAAATCTTGCTGGTCAAACCAGAATGAGGATTTTAATATGAAACATCTTAAAATTTACATACTGGGTTTGGAAATGCATCATAATTTTATTCTAATGAATAAAAACAGTGACTTTATTTTTTTCTGTTTCAGACTAATGGTATCAAAGTTAAAAACAAAAACAGGAAGAAGAACTCAAAAGACCCAAAGGTCAGTGACTTTTTAGTGCTTACTACAGATAGATGTGGGGTTTTTTGGTTCTGGGGCTTTTTTTGCTGTTTGTTTTTTGAGTATTTTTGGAGTTTATTTTAGAGTTGCTGGCATTCAGATGTATAGAGGCTGTTTTCATAAATATCTTGCTGAAACTCATTCTTGAAGTAGTTTTTCACTGAAGTAGAGTAATGCTGTTAAGATTCAGTTAAGACAGTTTTTTTAAAATATGGATTTGTCAGTATAAAAGGTATTTCTAAATATGAAAAAAAAATATTAATAATGTTAATAGTTGTTCGGTATTTTATAGATTTTTCTAGAATAATAGTCTACCTGAATCTTATACTGTCTTTTGTCCTGCTTTTCTAGGATTTTACTTCATTGAAAGGTTCAGATAAAATCCTCTTTTTTTTCCTCCATCCCCTAACCTTTTTATAATTGTCTTAGAATTTCAGGAGCAAACCTAAGATATTTTTTTTTTCCTATTCTCATCAGCCATGTTTTTTTGAGTTGGATGCATTTGTACAACTCACTCTGTGTATTTCTGAAGTTCTTAGATAATAAAAATTAAAAGGCAACTAAAGCTTCTGTAATGGTGAATGTTAGAATAACAAGTGTCATATTAAAATCATGTGGAACTAGGGTAAACTCAGACTGGCTTATAGGAAAATTATTAAAGCTTGAAGACTCTCAAAGATGAAGGAAAAGATTACTAAAAGTCATTTGATGCGCAGCCCAGTTATACAAGAAGTTATACAAAAGTCTTAATGAAGCTGTACTGTTGTTTAGTTTTTTAGTCCAAACTCAGAGAAAAATTGGGCACATCTAGGATTTTGATAAAACTGGTAAAAAAAGGAGGAATTTGGGCTGAATATCCCGATTTCTTTTTCCAAAATAAGTTCTGAAGAAGAAAATAATAATTTCAAATTAAGAACTTTCTTGTTTTGGCTTGGTACTGGGAATTGTACTTAAAATTTTTGCAGTTAATTATGTGGCATCTGAATGTGATAAAGGTTCAGTGTAAATAAGTTACATGTAGTCTTTACAGTGGATTATTTTGGATATACTTTTGTGAGATGAAAAAAAATAATGATCTGTTTTTAATTAGTCTATTTTAGTATTATCCAGTGGAATTAGTACAGCACCACGAGAAGAAGAAAAGATATTTATAGAAGAAAATACTTTGTAAGTACCATTGTGCATCTTTACTTTAATTGCCCATACTCCAAAGTGCTTTGCAGGTACTGGAGAAGACAGAACCATCAAGTCTGAGTTAACATCAAAGTGGTTTTGATAAAAGTTTGTATAGCTTGTTAGAAAAAAGGTTGTTATTTGGGTATATTTTTAGTACTATATAGTTACTATACAGTATACTGTGTTCAGTATATGAAAAAAAATACAGTTTGTCAGAGCTAGGAATTACTGTTCATATGCACTATTTATTTATTTCTTCTTTCTCTGCCCCCACCCCTTTTTTCTTTTCCTAATGCTACAGAGATTTTACAAATTCTAATGAACCATTTGTAATCCCAGAGTATCTTCGGGGGCAACTAGAGACATTTGAAGCTCTCCGTGAGATTTCAAATAATAACAGTTATCAAAGACTTTCGGATAATATCCCACGTCAAACCTGTGAGAGCTTATATGAGTATGTATACATTTCTGTGCTTAGCAGTTTAAAGGCTTTAATATTACTTCATAATTTTTATGACATACTATATTAAGTCCAGTATTTGAGTCCTGGTGGTCTGGCATATTTATGGTACATAAAGGTATGTACTAATGCTTTGAAATAGTTGCATGTTTTTAATAAGATGTGGACAAGCAAGAGCATTACAGAAGAATTTTATGCTTAGCTAGAACACTGTCTTCCAAATGATTGTTCTTCAGTAGTTATAGAGGGAGGTTCTTTGGTTTTAAGTATTATTGTGAAAATATAACGCGTGGAATACGATTTAAGAATTACATGAAAAAAAATTGATTAATAATGACAACTTTTTAAAATTTTTTTTTTTAAGATATTTTGCTCAAATCTTGGAAGAACATGGCCCTATGGAAATTAATAATAGATTACTAGTTGGGGAATATGAACATTTCCCTGAAGAAGCTCGAAAGATTGTAGAAGATGAAGGTGGCCTGAAATCTTTTCTTCTGAAATCCCTTCGTTTCATTATGGTGGATAATCTTATTGGTTTAAGAAAGCATGCAGTTCTTTTTAAAGAAAATACAAACAGAAATGAGACTGGAGATAATGAAGGAGAAAATGATATAGTTTGTGATGTGCAAGAAAATTCTTCCCTGAGCAAGCTACAGTTAAATCCAGCTGCTGAGGAGTTCAAACCACTGTCTTATCCTAAGCAACCCCCTATATCAACATCTACTGACTTAACAGTAGCACGTTATGAGACTCCACAATATTTGCCCTGTTTTTTGCCATGGTTGTTTCCAGACGTATTACTAAATTGCTTTGATGCTCAAAATCCTGATATATTTTTCCCTCAGACTTCCTGGGGTTATCAATATGGAAGAATATTGCCAGTGCCTTCTCAAATGCCTCTCATGTCAACTGTTGCCGAGCAACCTGGTTATATTTATGCTGATCGTGTAGCTCATCAGAATAATGACGAATCAGCAATTTCAGACAGAAAATACAACTTTGGCAGTTTCACACCAACTGAAATAGAAACGTATGAAGACCCTCAGTGCCAACCGGAGAACTTGGATAATGCATTTTGTCAAGACAATTCTGCTGTTGCAAATAGCACAAGTAAAGCAGAATGTGGTATAAAGGTTATTAAGACGAAAAAAGAAAGCAGAGGTACACCTCTAATGAAAAACAAGCCTCATACAAGGATGATAGCTGTTCAGGTAAGAAATTAAAATGGAACAGTTATTTGAGAGTTTTTAGGTGATAAATAACAGTGTTGAGCACTCCTTTTTGAATGATTTCTTCATGACTTCCCAAAGGGTCAAGTGTTGTATAGAGGTTCAAGAGCAAATATTCAAGTAATAGTTCCAGCCACCCAAATGTAAGGGGTCTTAAAAGTAGTATTTAGCATTCTCTATACGTGTCTCCCCCCAAAAGGCCAGGAGTTAGAAGATCCTGAGGTGTTTATCATTCTGGGAACTTCCTTAGAACTTGCAGTTTAAGTTGCTGACACCTTCTACAACTACTCCTGTTTTTCATTTGTAATTTTTTAAAGAGATGGTCACTGAATTCTGTTCTGCAATTTTCACGGATCTTTTTGACCCAGGATCTAAGGAGGGAACTGGTGCACATCACTTTAAGCTTTGTTTTAGATGTTAAGGAAAGTCCTTCCATGTCATCACTTTTGGTTTTGTAATTAGTTCAGTGATTTGTTTTAATTTTCCCCTGATATTTGAGGATTTAGATAGTTTGTACATTCTAACAGTTGCGGACTGATACTTCCCTCGTGGTCTTAGAATGGCAGCCCAGCTCCAGGGTGAGGTCAGGGGCAAACTCTTTCATGTTTTCCTTTTCCCTCCAGAAGTAAAAAAAAAAAAAATGCCTGAAGGTTTTGTCCCACAGGCAGAGAAAGCATTGCTGAGCACTCTGAAATGGGCAGAGCATGCAGCTGAACAGAAGAGGGTTAGATCAGCGTAGACCACTCATGAAAACACACTTCAAGTAACAGGGTGAGACAGTGGTCACATCCACATTTGTTACAGAAAACATTCTGCATTAAGATGCTGGGCTTTCAGAGCTACAGGTTTGGTAGTTTCACACATCAGTTTATAAGAGGTTGTCCAACATGCTAGAGGGACTGCTGGGGAGGAGTTCCTCGTCTTCATTTGGTTCTTGCCATTAAGGGAGGAATAGGTCTTTATAGCTGTGAGATAAATAGTCATCTTTTAGTATTGCCTTCTGAGTTAGGAAAATGTTCATGTGGGTTGGTTGGTTTTTTTTTCCAAACTTGTTTTGTGTACAAAACTTTAATCCACTTTAAATCTTTCCTGAGCAGTTGGTGAAAGCTGGTTTCCAATCAGTTTTGGCAGATGAATTTCGCAACACAGCTGACTGGGCTTTTAAAATGGGATTTCTCTTTGGTTCGTGAACACGTGCATTAAAAAGATAACAGAAGAGGCAACAGTTTTCAATGGAGTGGTTAGCAGAGGTCGAAAGAGCACTAGGAAACAGATGCACTTCTCTTTGCAGAAGTGTGGTAGAACAAGGCATTTAATGTTACCTGACTATGATTTTTAATAGCCCATTAGAAAGGCAGCATCATAAACTGGATCTTTAATATGTTGCATGATTAGATTTTAAACCTTAGTGCTTTCAGTAAGTCCTTGACGGGTGGTATTAGAGGAAAGCAGAGACTCTGAAGGTCTTTGAGTCTAGTTCCTTCTAAGTAGAGGCACTTATGCAGTAGATCTTGAGTTTAGGAGAAGCCACAAAACACAGCCTGTCAGCCAGCTGTCAGGCACTGGTTTTGCATGTTGTAAGTTTTCAGATGTTTAGAACACAGCTGTGTTTAAAGACAATGAGAACTGTTCTGAAGATAAATGCTTCATGGTCGATTAAACTAGGGAAAGATCACGACAAAAAGAAGTGCTTTCATTATAGATTGAAGTCCATTTCACAAATGCTTGCATATCTTTTTACGTTGTAGGTAGTACTTTGCTTTACTTTATAAAGTAGTTGGATTTGTAAAATGTAGGTTAGGTACAAAAGCTCCAAACAGAGCTGACCTACTGTTTGCATATGTAAACTAGAAAGCTTTTTACTCAACTAATGATTCTTTGTATTCCAGGTAAATCATGAAGTAGCTGATAGGGAAACTAATACCTTGCCTTTTCATCCATTTGAAGCTCAACAAGTAAGTTATCTGCATATTTGCTTATATTTCTCATGAAGACGGTTAAAGGAATGCCCCAAAATTTAGTAGTGAAAAGATAAAGGTGCTCTGAAAATGACATGTCTTAACAGATATTTTTTTATTTTGGTTTGGGGTCTGTGTGTGCCTTGTGGTTTGGGTTTCTGTTGTTGTTTTGTTGAGTTGTTTTTAGGAGTTCTCTTCTCCTCCCTTCCTTTATGTTGGGCTGTATTCTCTGATGTTCTTGGAAACTTCACTTAGGCCCACAAAAGGATGTTTTGGAGCTGTGTTCTGCAGCTGTTCATATGTTAGGGAAATGTAGTATTTTCTCTCCAAAAATCTTGGAAGTTTGATTTAAATGCTCCGTTTGGGCATATGGACAGCTCAGACTGAGGTTAATGATAGTCTTGTGTCTGTACAAGGAGATAAAAGAGAGAAAATGTGGCCTTTGAACTCACCATATTCCATTCATGGTCAGGCATGAATCTTCATTTCCTGAGCTTGATTGAAACTGTTGTAAAACTTGCTCTTGAACAACCTTCCCCAAACCAATAAACAAACCAAAAAACCTCCACCTCAGACACACTGAAGACTTTGAATCTCAACTGAGAGCAACTGTTCCTTCTAGATGCCATGAATGTGCTACCCTGTGGTAATAGATACTAGATTTATTTTTGATAACATTTAATTTCAGGGAGATATTCTACGTATGGAAAAAGAGCATCAGGTGTTAAAAGAACAACTTAAAGAAGCACAGGAAAAATATGAACAGTTACAAAGCCGAAACTCGGAGGAAATTGGTGCTTTAGAAGAGCTTCTAAAAAAAAGTGTCGAAGAGACAAAGGTAATATTTTCATCCATGCAACAGTGGGACGGATTGCCATGGCTCACAAGATTGGTTATAATTGATCAACAGTATTTTTGAAACTTGACTCATAGTCCTCATTGCTGTGAAATCTGAAAACCTCCCAATCTGTGTGTCATCTCCCTCCGAACACATTTAGACACACAGGATATTGGTTGCTTCCATCTAGTGGACAGGCAGTGCTTTTGTTTCAATCCGAGAACAAAAAAAGCACTACAGCTGACTCTTCTCTTCTTGATTTGTTGGGTTTGCTACTAGGCTTTATTCCCTTGAAAATGTCTGGGAGCAAGAGGATTAGTCCCCAAAAAAACACTATCAGCCTATTATCACTTTGACTGGATTAATTTTATAGTTAAAGCTGTAAATGCTGCAGGTTACTCATTTGTCTACATGAAAGAATTTTTCCATTTTAAAAATAATAATAAAAAAAATAAATCAGGTGAAACCAAAGCCATCTCTCCCCATGCCCTCTCTTTAATCTTTATTAAGATGGAACCTGTCATTCAATCTCAATTTAATTTTATTTTTTTTTCTTTTCAATGACGTGTTGGAGCAAGTTCATGTACTGCAGTTTGGGAGTTCCTGAGTTGTAGCTTTACCGTTGGCTGCGAGTAGCATATAAGGGATGATGAAGTCTCACATTTGTTTTTTCTGTATGAATATTTCGTAAAAATGTGAGCTCAAAATGTTTTGGGCTGTAAGCATGGCTGTATGCAGGGTGGATGAACTTTTCCAGGGGCATCGTAGGTACTTCTTTAAAAATTTTTTTTGCTTTCCAATGATGCATTGATGCTGCCTGGATTTTTTTTAAGTCGTTATGGCAGGTATAAGACTCACTGCTGTCTTCCTCAGTTAGGAATTGTAACTTCCCAGTTGTTAGTAGTGATACAGCATTATCAGTGCTGATTTTCAGCTGGTCTTCAGTAAGTATTTGTATGTGACATTGTGGAACTGGGCTGCTGCTTTTAGTTGACTGAAACAGGGTTGCAGGTATTCTGACGCCATGTCAATGAGGTGAGCAGATCATTGTGGGAAGGCATTTATGAGTATGTTGCTCGCACTAAATACCTGAACTTACTGTAAAATAAGAACTAGTAAAACTCTGTTAATGTAACTTTCACTGTCTTAGCTTTTGGTCATGTGTCAGTAATCTAATCTAACTTGCATTTGAATAAAATAGTATTTTCAGAAATAACCTTTTCTTATTTTCTGCATTTAGGTATCAAAGAATGAACTGGACTGGCTTCATCAAGACTTAGAAATAAAAGTGAAAAAATGGCAACAGGAGAAAAAAGAAAATCAAGAGAACTTAAAAGCACTAAGGAACACAGCTAAAAAGCATACAGATACCAATGATAGGTATTAATTTTATATACAGATTTACATTACTTTCCCTTTGATTATTTTTTTTAAAGCAACAGTAAATAGAGTTGTTTCTGATAGATTATGGTAAGTTTCAGTACCTATTGACTCCAAGATCCATGCAGAGTGAAAAAGCCAACTTGTTGCCCTGATTATGTCATTCTGAAATGAGCTAAACGCAATTCTTGGATTAGAGCTGCTGTTAACAGGACCTACATAAAATGTTATTTAGGCTTATTAACAAATACTACTCCTTCACTATTTAAGATGTTCCCATGTTTTCCAGAATCCTTTAGATCCACACTGCTTTGTCACTTTTCTCCTTCGTGACTTACCATGGCTTCTGCAGCATGCTCCCTCCACTGCGTTATGATGAGCTTTACATTTTTGTTTCTGTTTTCCTTCTTCCTTCTATTGTACAATCAACCCAACTGAACTCTGGTCTGCATCTATTTTTCTTACATGCTTTTTGCCTGTTCTGCCATGTAGCCCGTCTGAGGGTCATCCAAGGATGCACGTTTCCTTCTTTTCCAGTCCTGTCCCTTCTTTCTCAGATTCAAGTAAAACTGTAAGAACCACATAACTGTATATTTCAATGGTGTTTGTTTTGTTTTTTTTTAACTCATCCTTCACCCTAAAATGGAATTCTGCAGGGCCTTCCTTGGAACTTAAATCAATAATATCAATGTATGAATCCCATCATCCACACCCCACATCCCCACAGTTGCTCCCCTGGCTACAGAGGAGCAAGAATCAAATTCAGTCAACTCCTTCCTCAACAAGCATCCATGACGTGACGTCACTGACGTACCGAAAAATTACATGTATCATTTGATGAATTATTATTGGTAGCTTTTCCCGAAATGTTGTAAGCACTTTAGAAATCTTGAAGTAACCTTAATCATTGGCTGTGTAACAAACTAGATGTTATATCACACTAATAGGCTGAAATATATATTGGTCTGCTTTTGTATTTTGATTTTTTTGCAACTTACAGGTGAACATTTAAAACGGACTGATGAAACTGACTGGCTTAGCAATAACTTTTCTAATCAGATTTGACGATTCCTACTGTATTTTTAATGTTCTTTCTCAGACCTGAGAAGACTTCTGTCCTTGAATGCTGTTGTATTGTCTTTAGTCCAAGGAGTTTGAGCCAAATGTTTCTTGGAAAAATCATTGTCCTGCTTTTATAGTAATTACTGCTTCATTAGGAATACATTAAATGCACTTATAGTGTTAAACAGTATATAAAACATACAGATTGTCACTGCTGCATAATTGGGTCTATGGTTATAGAGGAACATGTCACCTATTTGCTTGTGAACATATATCAGAACAAGCTTAATAAATGTTTGATTACTGTAGGTATTTGAAGACCATTGATGAGAAGGAAAAGCAGTATAATGAATATTTCAATACGTGCCTCGAGACCAGGTAAAACTTGTACCTTCCAGCAACATTTCCATTTTTCTACTGACTTGTCATTACTGGATTTGTCAGCTTCTCTCTGGGTGAAGGTTTAGAAAAAATAAGCACTTTAACCTTTATCTATTATTCTCAGTTAGTTTACATTTACCTATCGTAAGGAAATACTCCTTGATTTTAGATATTTAGAGTAATAAAAATCTGGGTTTTCAAAATACCCTCCTACGTTTCCCTTGATTATATGATAGTGTGTTCTAGGACATGTTAGAAGTTGGGTGTGGTACAGGCACACTGCACTCATTGTTGGGCTTTGGATCTTCACACACTTATAGCCCTAAATGTATATAAGATTATCTAAACATTTTCTAAAAGTTACTCATTTGCACGTAGTATAACGTCAAGGTTTCATTTGCACATACGTTCTTTAGACGTGTGATTGGGCTCAGGACAGTAACACCAGCCTGATGGCTGTAGTCAAACTCCTGTGAGCTTTTTAGGTTGCCCGGTGAAATGTAGTTAAGAAATCCCAGTGTTGTGCCCGTGGAGCCAGCCAGGTACAGTGTGATACTGTACCTGAAGTCACAAGCTGTGCAAAGCAAATGGAGATGTGGTTCCAAAGGAGAGAGAAGCAATAGCTGTAGAAATCCTCTAAAATGCCATAAATTTTAAATACTACTTATTCAAGTATTTACCACCTTTTTATTTCACAGTAATAAACTTGCTAATGATAAAGTAAAATTGGAAGAGCTTATCAAAAAGAGTGAAGATGACTACCAAGAGTGTGTGAGAAGAGCTGTTAAAGCAGAGGTACGGACAAAAAAACCTTAAAACACTTTGCTAGAACTTGGATCGTTTGTGCTGATAGTAGGCGGGGAAGATAACTGAGGAAGCCTTATCTAACAATTTGCTGTTTCAGTAGCATCTAAAATTTTTCATAAGTGTCTATCAAAAGTGTTAATCAAATATTGACGAGCGCTGTTCATGGTGTTATCCTACAGAACTTTGCAGATCATCAAGGTGCTTTACTGTTATTTTAATTTACTGTTATTTTAATACAGTATTAAAAGTGCACCGACTTAGGGGCATATAGTATTATCCCAAACCAAATTCAACTAGTAATTCAGTTTCATACTTGTCCTTGTTATCCATTAGTAAGAATTAACCATAGGAACATAAAAAAATTCCTCATTGAAAGTCATGGTTAGTGAATATATAGCTACTTTCTTATCAGGTAGAATCAAAATGCAACAACCAACTTGAGTGTTTCACCAAAAGGAGGAGACTACTGATAAATACCAAGATTTTTTTTTTTCTAAAACAGTATGTTTTATACTGGAAATGCTTTGAAAATCATGAATAATTCACCCTCCTTAAGAAGGGCTTGAAAGCTGTCTTACCTGCAGTAGGATTTTATAAAAAGTTTAGACTGTTGGTCCATGTTAGTCTTCAACCGTGCAGTATTTAAAGAACTGCCTTAATCACTTGACGTGTGTGTAGATAAATATTTTATTTATTTATTTATATATATATATATATATATATATACGGTAAGTTGCAAATGGAACACTAATGGAAGCTTTCTACTGTCAGTTGAAGTGAATGTAGCCTTTTTGTCCTCCTGAAGGCCTGCCGGGGCTGCTAATTCCACTTGAAATTCCTCACTGTAGGAATTGTGTGTATGTGTTGTACTCTGTATTGTCAAACTATTGTCTCAGATACTTATTAAAATCTATTTTGAGGTTTTATGCTACTGCAGTACTTTTACTGCACTTTCTGGTTTGTTCCACCATTGTTTTGTTACAGATATCAGTACTCAAAAACTGGAAGGAGACTGAAGTATGCAAGCTGAATGGCATAGCTGCCAATGCAGAAGCAAATCTCAAGACACTGAAGTCATTGAGCAGGTATGGAGAATTCACACCAGAAATGTCACTACTACTCATTGCTAAATGCAATTAACTAATGATCATTTAACTAGACAAATGAGTTTTGCTCACAAAGGGATACTGGCCTGAAAGGTGCGTAGAAACATAATAGTTACATAGAAATCAAATTTCTTCTTAAATTACCAAGTCGTGTGATACTTAAGCAGGAGCTTATTCTTCCTTAGCCCGGGAAGATCAGGCTACTGGGAACATCTCAGTTATTCCTGCACACTCTCACTGGGAAAGGGCTGCAATGTAAATAGAAAAGAATGCAAATAAAACTGCTGGGCAGGCAACAACATTGTTTTCTTCCTTAGAAGCAACTAATTTAACCTTTAGTGTTTTACCTTTTTAAGAACTTATGCCGTGTTCCCTTTCCCTGTCTTTATGTTGCTGTAAAATCCTAACATACCTTTGAGGAGTCTGCTTCTAAGGTTGGGTAGGTTCTAAGTACCAGTAATTTAACTGATTTGAACTTAAAACTGCTTGAAGTCTTTAACTGTAGTTTAGTTGGTAGGGGAAGGAACTGCTGTACTAAAACTATTGGTATTAAATAAAAATAACGGGAATGTTGGAGTTTAACTGAAAATCTTGAATACTTCAGCAGCTCAGCTTCAGCAGCACCTAAGTTGAAGTCACATATTGATTCTTGGGAAATATTTATTTCAAATGTAAAGAAACAACTGGAAAAAGTAGAGGTAAGCCTTCATTTCTCTTAACAAGCTTGAAGTTGAACTTTGGGAATTAAACCAGACTAAATACCTTATATAATTTTTCATTCCCTTTTAAAACACCAGTAGCTCATCCTCCAAATACTGAACTGCATTTTTTTAATAACAAAAGAAAGATACAGGTTTAAGTCCAGATTACTTAAGTATATTTAAGCTACTATTAATATATTCAATCTTACAAAGGCAAAGATCTTTTATACACTTGCTTCAAAATTGGATCCCACATTGACAAGTCTACTCTCTTGGTTCTTTTGTATTCTTTGAACTTTAGAAATCCATGCAACTTCTTTAAAAACAACAGAAAGCTCTCTGAAAAGTTAAAATGTAAAATGTCAAGGCTGAATTTTAAGAACTAGAAAGGGTTTTCCAAACCCCTTCAAGCATTAATGCAAGACTTAAATTACTATAGCAAACGGCAGCCTTACGTCACCATTTGAAAGGCCTGGTATATTTGGTGTTCTGCAAAAAAAAGCAGTTGTGTTAATGCCACTTTTAAATAAGGAGCAACTTATAGTTAATGCTGATGTGGAGGATAATTTGTTTTCCTTCTGCAGGCTGAGTATGAAGAAAAAATTCAAAGGGTGAAGAATGGTGTGCGGAACTGCCTCACTAAAACAGAGACTGGGGATCTTCCTGCTCCTCCCAGCGTTATAGTATGTATCTTACATCTGATGGCAGTTTGTTAAGAAGCTCTTTAGGTTTGCATTGGTCTGGCTATCCCTTATAGGACACGTACATAAAGAACTTGAATATATATAGCCTTGAAGATAAAATAATCTGGCTCTCCATAAACCCAGGTGATGTTCAAAAGGAAAAGGTGACTGCACATTAGCGTAATGAAGTCCAGCGAGAAGCACATTCTCAAGTCCTTTCAGAGGCGTAATCTGTTTGACTTTAAAAGGCTTCATATTCTATCTGATTTGGGACCAACATTTTTGTATATTGTGACTTTCCTATAAATCCTTAGGGACAAGGCCCCATTACACCAAACGTGTAACTGATTACAGATACCAAAATCAACTTGCAGTCGTATCTGTTACAAACTAGATGGAGCATAGCCATTTATGGAAGTCAATTTTTAATGACTACATCCCAGATAAATACTATTTAAAACCATTTTCTCAGTGGCCAATAGTTCCATAGATGCTTTGCTCCAATTGTCAGTTTACTTGCCAGCCCTGTGACTGTTCCTGCTGCAGTCATCTCTCAAAACAGGGGAGGTAATTGACCCAGTAAGTGAAAGGCATTCATAGTGCACACACAAACAACATCCCTGAATTCAATGAAGATGCCACATAATTTTTTTAATATATATTTTCTGCAGAAAGTAATTTTTTTTCTTTTATTTGTTTTTGGTATAATTTAGATTCAAGGTTCTGTTCTAATGCTATATATTTATGAGTGTTACTAGAGTTGTACAAGTAATAGTTATACTTGGGCTCTCCTGCGTACCTTTTCTTCCCCACAAAAAGATGGGATGAAAGCCCTTTTCCTCCCTGTTTAGTTCCATTAATTAATCAAACACATTTACAGAGAAGGTAAAATATCATTGCAAAATAGTGTTAAACTAAAGAACACACAGGACAAGAACCTGCAGGTTTGACTATGAAGAAATGCAGAATTTGAGGTCTGTGTGTTAGAAAGCAACCTTCCTAGAGCAGGCGAGTACTGAAACAAATAGCAGTCACGGGGTCAAACAACTAAACTGATTTTAAGGAGTTCTTTCCATTTATGGAAAAGAGTCGTTAGTGCAAAAAGAAGTCTGATGACTGTAGCTGCTGACATGTGTTTCTGGTTAAAAAAAAAAATAAAAATTTCACTGGATTATATATCGATTATATAATCCATTACATGCAGTGAATTCTGTATTTTCAAACCGATAGCACTGATTTAAAGCAGTTGTCTTTCTACCACCAACTTCAGGCTGTACTTTTGTACAACTTACACCTGTCCAACAGCCGTGCAGTCTTCAGCAAAGCAAGAATAAGTTAAAGGAGCAGTTTGTGTATGTGCTCTCCTATTTAATCCTCTTTCAAACAGGTTGTCTATATGTAGTACGTATTAAAGAGCACCTTCTGTGCAATATTTTTACCTACATAAAGCAAATTAAGATAAACGGAAATGGCCAGATGTGTCAGAGTTCATGCTGCAAACGTTTGCGAGTTCTGCTCACAGTATTTTCAATCACCTCTTTTTTTTTTTGTGAAATCTCTTTATTTCCTAGGCAAAACAAGGCAGGCCCCCCGTCAGTGACCCAGCCATCGTGATGTATTCCTCTGCATCTGCACAGCCTAATTTACTGCCTGCATTTTCAAGTTCTGAAGATCCAGGTCCAACAAACGCTTCGCTTAATACGCAGGCAGGAGTGAGCCCAGCATATGCCAATTCTAAGTCTTGTTCTGCAAGTGGTGGGTCAGTGAAAACATGCTCCAAACCTCTGGAAGAATCCTATTCTGATAAAGTTTCAGGAACTTGCCTGTCAGGGATTTCTGGAAGTAATACTCAGAACGTCCAACCAAACCAGAACCTCCGAGATGACTCATCTATACAACAAAGGCCTTCTGGACTTCCAAACAACAAAGTGCTCCCAAAACCATTTGAAAATATTATTGCGCAGCTACAGAGTATATTCCCAAACTATAGCAGGTATGGGTTTTTTAATGCGTGTAATGTTATGCTGGATAACACAAGTTCTGAACATCCAATGATAAAATACAAAAAGAATTGATTTCCTAGTAGGTGGCTTCTATTTCATGAGAACAGTAATAGTAGTTTTTCCCCTCCTATTCAGAGCCATTCCTTAAAAGAATAGATGGATGGTGTTGGCTTACATGGTTTGTTTTTTTTCCAATTAGAACCACCAGCAAATAGAAACAGTAGAATCATAGAATTGTCTAGGTTGGAAGGGACCTTTAAGATCATCTAGTCCAACCATCGACCTAACTCTGATAAAAACCATCACTAAACCATGTCACTAAGCACTATGTCAACCCGTCTTTTGAACACCTCCAGGGATGGTGCCTCAACCACTTCCCTGGGCAGCCCATTCCAATGCTGGATAACCCTTTGAGTGAAAATTCTTTCTGATACACAATCTGAACCTCCCGTGGTGCAACTTGAGGCCATTTCCCCTTGTCCTATCTCCTGTGACTTGGGAGACAAGACCGACCCCCACCTCTCTACAGCCTCCCTTCAGGTAGTTATAGAGCATGATAAGGTCTCCCCTCAGCCTCCTCTTCTCCAGACTGAACAACCCCAGCTCCCTCAGCCTCTCCTCATAAGACTTACTCTCCAGACCCCTCACCAGCTTCGTTGCCCTTCTCTGGACCCACTCCAGCACCTCAATGTCTTTTTTGTGGTGAGGGGTCCAAAACTGGACACAGTACTGGAGGTGAGGCCTCACCAGTGCCGAGTACAGGGGGACAATCACCTCTGAGTCCTACTCACCACGCTGTTCCTGATCCAGGCCAGGATACCACTGACCTTCTTGGCCACCTGGGCACACTGCTGGCTCATGTTCAGCCGACAGTCGACCAACACCCCCAGGCCCTTTTCTGCCAGGCAGCTCTCCAGCCACTCCCCCCATTAGTAGTACTGCATTGTTTGGGTCGGGTTACGATTAAGGTAGCTGGATCCTAGTTTATTCAGAGGTGTTGAAAGCAGGTACTTGCTACAGTTCATTTGACATGTTTGTGTCTTTTAAAAGCTCTGCTGCTGTGAATCAGACAAAAAAAGTTACAGTGTTCTCTAATGCTGGTAACTGCCATAGTATTGCCAGTCAGTAATTGTGTCCTTTTTTTTTTTTTCCCTTCAGTTCATACTTTATTAGCTTCATAAAAGACGTACAGAGACGAAACGGGAATACACTGTCAGGTTTGAGCTCAGATGAGATTCTAAGCAGGGTGACAGAACTCATTCTGGACTGGCAGAACCAGGTACTGCGCTGTTCGGAGCTGCTGCCTTTTCAACGGCGCAGCACAGTCTGGAAAAGAATGCAAACTTCCCTCTGCTGTCAAGCTCTGAAATACCAACTTGCTCAAAATTCTTTTCCAACACCTCTCTAGGCACCAACCTCAACAGGGAGACCTGTGACATCGGTATCCGCCGCTTCACCAGCGCAGGCTGGAGCTCGGAGTCGGGACGTACCGGCAGGAGAAAACGTGCCCAGCCCACCCAAAGGGAGATCCGCACAGAAAAACCCCTCGAGTAAAAATCCATCTCAGCCCAATCCCCAGCCCTGGGGAAATGTTGGAGCAACACCTAAATCTAAATGGAAAAAAGTAAGTTCTCCACTCTTGCAGTTAATGTGAAGTGATTGTCATGTATGTATTTCCAAGAAATGAAATAATCGAAGTAGTGCTGAAAAAAATAATCGACTTGTTCATTTTTTGTATAAAAGCTTGGTTAAAATGTATATATTATATAAATATATATAATATGTACTTTTACCTATTTATTATTGCTCGCTTTCAAGTAACTTAACATTTTCTGCGTAGGCCTCCAGCGATGATCCCTGCATAATATGTCATGATGAGCTAAGCAGAGACTCCTGTGAACTCGAGTGTGGGCATCGTTTTCACAGAGAAGTAAGGATTTTTGTTCTTGGCACTTGGGTGCAAACGTTTACAAACTCTAGTCAGTTACTCCACTGTTTCACGTTCTAAAAGTCACCTTCCTCCCCCTTACCCTTCGGTGTTTAAAGAACAGTCCACTTTTACATCCTTTGTACACAAAGACTTGCTATATGTGCACTCTTACGGTGTCAGAAAGTTTCTAGTTTTAGATTTTTTAACTAAAATGATAATTCACTATAAACCCTACATTTGCCACCTGATAGCATGTATTGCATGTAGTAAGAAAGTCAGAATTATGTTAGAATAACTTGATACTTCTGTCTGTGACCTTTTCCATTACCTTACCTGGGGATTTGTTATTGCAGAATAGGTGTAAGTGTAAATTCATCAGCATCAGAATTGGAGAAAGTTTTCCAACTGCAAATTTTAGTATAGAACATGTTGGAAAAATTGCTATTAGTGACAACTACTACCATATGTAAGCTGAATTCTTTACACCAGACTTTGTTTCCTCAACCCCATCTTTCCACTCTTGCAGTGCATTAGAACATGGCTTAAGCAACATTCCAGTACCTGCCCAATCTGCCGCGTCCACGCTCTGCTCCCAGAAGACTTTCCTGAACTTCCTGCACGGAACAAATACACCTAAACCTTGTTTTATTTCAACACGTTACAGCAAGATGCAAAGTAGCTGCAGAATAACCACCGTAATAAGGAACAGTAAACGTGATGCTTAGAAAGAGACAGAACCCTGTTTTTATAGAAAATGGTAGTAGGACTTAGACTTACTCAGTATTTTAACACTTGATTCTGCACCTGCAGAATCAGGGTAGTGCTCTCCCAGATGCAGCAGTTGTCCTGTCCTGCCTAAACGTGCAAAGCCCATGGAGTTCAGAGGCCAGCAGCACCCAAAACCAGCAGGGTTATTTCGGCCAAGGGATATTTAATCTACTCTATCTAATTTTCTCACAGGCTGGTGCATAATTCCTGTAAAGCAGGGGGTTTCCTTCAGTGCTTACACCACACTGAAAATAAATTCTCATGTCAGACAAGTAGGTGACCTGAATGACAGACGCAGAATTTGGAACAGCCGAGACATTGCCTTCCTCGGGCATAAACAATTACAGTGTAACTGCAGGATTCAAATCGGGCTTGTTGTGATCATTCTGAATGCAGTTCATATCATTGTAGCTCCTTTCTCTGCACAAATCCATAGCTAATAATTCAAATGATTTAAAGAATCACTTTCGGTAATATTTTGAAGTATTTATGCGATTCTTTCCCTTTGTCTATCGAGCTGGAATACTCTGGCTCAGTTCTCTCATCTTGAAATCCGGTTTGAATTTCCCTCATCGTTGGAGAGGTTTGTTTCTATCAGAATTACAGGACTTTTATTTTTAACGAAGCAACACTGCGTCTGTGTTCAGTGCTTGGATGTTCACCAACAGCATGAGGTACAGAATACAAACAGCTGGAAGAAAAGTTATCCTCCTGCTTTAAAAGTCTGGGCTTGCCAGAGTAACCTCCATTGCTGCAAAATTCATCTCAAGTAGGCAGCAGGCCAGGAGGAGAGCACTTAGAGCTTAACCACTCTGAAACTTGAGGGTGACTGTTGTTTGGATACAAGCAGTATCAAATTGATTATACAAGATTAAGTTAGATAATTCCAGGGATCATTTGTTCCCCCAAATGACTATGTATCCTCCAAATGAAGTTTTAAACTATTTTGTGATTAATCCGTATATTCATTGGTACTTGGATCAAAATTAAAATTACTCCTGCAGCTGATTTGGTTTTCTTGTGTAATATTTTTGCTGAGTTATTGGTGAGCAATTTACTGTATGCTGGAGAGCTAGGGCACCTTCTGCCTGAAGAAAGAGGGGCTGCGCTGCTCAGTGTTACAGCACTTGCCTCTCTCTGCTGCCCTGATGTTCTTGGGGTGGGAGACACATGTATATACATATATATACATACCTCATCTTCTCAGCTTTTCCCAAAAGCAGCCTCAGATTCCGTTCCAGAGCAGAGGTATCCTTGACCTGCTCAGCAGTGCCACAGTTGATGGTGTTCTCCAAATAGAACATAAGGAGCCCTGAGGTAAGAAAGGCAGGCTGGCTGGGGGAGACCTAAGGAAGCACTTACTGGTAATGCACTGCACTGCTATTTACATAGACTTGCTTGCTGTCAGACAGTCTTATTTTTCCTATAGGCACAGCACAGACAGGACCCCCGGTTCCCAGATAAGCAGGATGGATTTGGCTCCATGTTCCTTTTCTCTTCTCTGACTTGGGTAAGCTGGAAGGATTTTAGTGATTCCTTTAAAAGGGAGGCCCCGGAGCAGGCATCCCCCGGCCCATTACTGCAGCGGGAGAGGCTGCACCAAGGTCCATCTCTCCCAGTAACTTTGGAGGCGGAGGCGACAGCGCTGCTTCGAGCGGCAGGGGGCGCTCTTGTCACGTCGTGTAGACCAGAAAGAGCAGCTTCCGCTTCCCAAAAACCATCCTGTGTGATTTCCTGATATTACAGAAGTGTTAAGTTCTAGTAAAGAGCTTTTTTTTTTTTTTCCCCCACAAGACATTGAAATAAGAATTTCCGATGTTTATTCCTAAAATACAGATGATGCAGAACTAGGGCCAAACCTAGAATTATATTTTCCTGCTTGGCAATGCTGCTGGATAGAGCTGAAGGAAATTATTTTTTGGCAGTTTTCTTAATTGTCTTTTCAGGTTGTCATCTCTACACTTATAGTTTATATAACACTTAGCCTGCCTCCACCCCATGTAATAGGGTATGGAAAATTCACAATTAGAATGAAAGTAGGGCTCTTCTGTTTACTTAAAACAGTATCAAAGTTTATTACCTGCTTGTGTTGGGAAGGTTATTTCTTGCTGAAAGTTTTCCTACATCGTTCCTTTAAGATGTATAGTTACAAACACATTAATGTATTTACTTTAACTCATTCCTTTCCTGGCTTTTACATTTTTACTTGAACAAGTGACAGTGTTAACCCATCTAATTGAAAAGATTGACTGTGTCCCTTGGAATGGTTATTCATATAATGACAAGTCGTGTCCTAAAGGCACAAGGTGCCACAGCATAGAAGTTTTTCAATGCAGTTTTTCATAGAATCATAGAATGGTTAGAGTTGGAAGGGACCTTAAAGATCACCTCATTCTATTCCCCCTGCCATGGCCAGGGACACCTCCCACTAGCCCAGGTTGCTCAGCCCCATCCAGCCTGGCCTCAGCAGAGCCTGCCCTCCGACACAGCAGTGCTGCTGGGGGCACAACAGACCTTTTTTTCCACTTTAAAATTGAGCTGTGGAAGCCTTATAAGCAGGAAGATGGTATAACGCATAGAATAAGTATATTCTCAAGTTAAAAGCTTTTGCCTGCTCTTTTTCATTGCTACTTTACACCAATAGCAAAGACCAAGTAAGAGCATTGTTTTTCTAATCCAGGGGAGAGCCTAGAGAAAAACCACAGGCAAAACAGCTTCAGTCTAAGCATTCCTCCAATACAGATCCATATTCCTGATTTGACCAAAATACACTTGGTGTTATTTCACATCATTATTCATTTCACATTCATCTTACACTATTCATCCCACACCACCACCTCGCATTGGTATAGCACCATTTATTACACCTTCAAAGACAGTATTCAGTATATTACAGGTCCCATACCCTCCCCCCCAGTATATACAGGAATTACTAGGCTTAAGAGGTCTTTAAAGGACTTCGGAACAAATATTACAAAATGGAATAAGGAGAAAAATTTACTACGTATTTCTACAACTTGTAGAAAAATATGGAATCATTTCTTCAGGATTTGTCTGAGAACAGTTGGGGAAGACGTGGTGGTTGCAGTCAGAAAGATACCTGATGAGGCTGCCTGGACAGATACATCCCTGTCAGCTATCGCAAGGCAGGCAAAGTCTTACCAAGATTGGTAGAGAACCAAAATCACAACTACCGGCAGGAAGAAAGAAGTGATGTGTTTTCAGTTAAAATAAGACATGGGTAAGACTTCACTTTGCCTGTGAAGAATTTTGTCCTTTTCCAGTGATTCTCTTCTGGCTGTTTACATCCTGCAGAGCTTCAGCGGGAAGTTCTCTGTGATGAGATGATCATCGTGCAGAAGAACAACAATGTTAACTTCAAACTCTGGAAGAAGGGGAAAAAAAAGAATTAAATAAGGAGTCCCTATGACCCTGCACTGTACCAGTAGGATGGGAGGCAGCTGGTTCCTGCCCTCAGAGGCAGCAAACACCTCACAGGGCTCCTCTGTGCCAATTCAATACCCTGGATTTTCCTGTGGACGGGATGAACACAGGGCTCCAGGTGGGTCCCCACCACCAGCACCCCAGACCTCGGGCCACTCCTGAGAACCTTGGCTCATTCTAATCATCGAGATTCTGCTGGATTAATTTGCATATCACTAAAAACCCGTAACATACAGTCTTCTGGCCAACAGGAAAAGTTCAGACATCTAAGATGTAAATGTTTGGGGAAAGGTGCCTCACAGCAGTAATCACTGTTTAGAAGCACTTGAGTGGAAGAGTCAGGGAACAGACTCCTCCCCTGCTGTCAGCAGGGAACATGGCCCTAGAATCCTGCATTGTGTGTGGCCTTAGGAAACCAACACTGACATACAATATACCTGCCAACCAGGAGAAAAGTTTTCAAAAGAAAAATCTACTCTTTAGATATTACATTGTGTTGTTCAAAATCATTATTAGATCTGTAACCACTCCTAAGCAGAGACAGAATACACAATCAGGTAGAGTTAATAAATGAAGGGAACCAGAGATCCAAATAAACTGAAAATAATTGTTCTTTTTCAGAGTCTTCATAACTATTTTAGAAGACTGTTCTTACAAGCAGAATTAGTTACCACATTAACAGTAGCTGTTGCCACTGTAAATTACTATTCAATAGCTTAAAATGGCAAAAAGTAGAGAATAGTATTATTTTGGGAAAAAATCACTGCACATATCAGGTGCAAAAATGCTCTTAGGGGAGCAGATAAAGAGGTAGGCAAAGCTGGAAAACTAGTTGTGCACATTTGTCCAAGACAGCAGAAAAGTAGGAGGGGCTTCAGTTTGGAAAGATCCTAAAAGCAGAGACTTGTAGCTTTAATCTGATATAGTAAAATAAATAAAAAATAAAACAAACAGATTCCAGCAGGACAAAGAGAAGAAAAACAGGGTAGCAAAGAGAATTTTTGCAGTAGTTACTTGAAAAAGTGAGGAAGATCCTAAATGTCAGGTGTTTTTTAAGGAAAATGTTGGATTTGGCAGCAATAAGAAGGAAGAAGCAGCTGGCGTAGACCAGGAAAAGCGAAGTCACATACAGCCTAACCTTACTTTTTCTACTTCTGAGTCTACATGACAGAATGGGAAAGAAAAAGGAGAGGGAATGGAAAGAAGGGTTCTTGCTGGTAACGAAAAGAAGGAAGGGGTATCTTGGCATATTATTTTTGGGATATTACTCAAATGTTTAATTACACATAAATTTTTGGCAGAAAACACAGTCACCTGCCATTACACTGCTGCTCCTGTCCTTTTACCACAGAATTCTCTTAGTCAGAAGAAGCTTAATAGCAGCACAACTGTTTTTAGTTAGAAGTATTTGGGCTGTATTTTCTCAGTCCTATGAAACACGGCAGACTGCACCCACTCCTCTTCAGGAAACCTCTACAGGCAAACGGATGGATGTCCTTGCTGCTCCTTGCAGGGCTGACAGCCATTTATCTCATGACCCACCAGAAGCTGAAGTGAAACTAGAAACTTCTCTCAGATGCAAGATGCCAACACAGCGTAAAGTCCCTAGGCACTTACCAACTTTGAAGTTCGTTGTTTCCAGGGTAGGGCAGGTGAACAACCTGGGGAACACCATGTAAATAGGAATGGGCAGGCCCCTGCAGACATCCCCATCAGCAATCTGAATATTCTGTATCTCTGTGGCATCCCGGGCGTAACCTTCCGCACACCCTGGGGAAAGGGGGACATTCAGAGGGAGAGGAGGGGAAGGGAGAGAGAAGGCAGTGGGCAAAATTTAAAATAAAGATACACTGGGGTTGGGAGGGAAGTAAGTGTGGGCAAAACATTTTGCCTTTTGACCTGCAAGTTTTCACATTAGCACTCATAGGGTCATAGAATTTACTGAAATTTGCACTTGTTCTACCTGAAGTGCGAAACAATTTTTTGCAAGTCATTTTAATTGTATGGCTTTTGACAATCTTCCGTATTTAAAGGGAAAGAGTGGCAGTGGTAATTGCTAGAGTCTGTACACATGCCGTTAGGAGAGAAACTTACCACAGGTTTCCACACGCACCAACTGCAGCTCAATGCTTTTGACTGCAGCCTCTGCATTCTCCACCACCAGCTCTCCTGTTAGGGGCTGCGTGATGACGCAGTTTGTAGAACTGAGGTGACCTCTGATGAGAAATTTGGGAAGTGAAGCTCTCTGAAAAGATGGGGAGGGGGACAGAAAAAAAACACAACTGTAAGAGCAGACTAAGAAAAAAATACCTTCTAGGAAGACGGTTATCAAAATATGTAGGAAATCCCAAAAAGTTGTAAAGTTAAGAACTCAAAAAGTTTGGAAATGCCTCATGTAGCTTAACTCTTTAAATATGCATCCCTATGCAGATGCATTAAGATATCTCTTAGTACCCTTCCCCCTGACATGCACCCCCCTATTCATTCCATCCAGAAGTGCATTTTTCCTGGCATGAACTGACAAAAGGTGGCTGTTGCAATTGATGAGGAAGTCAGGAATCACATGGTGAAGGAGGCAGGCTGGCAGGAACTGAGAGGATGGTCAAGTTAAGGCAGCTGGCAGTGCCCTAGAGACCGGCATTCTGGTCCCAGTTTGCTATGGGTTACAAGACAGTCTATTGCTTCAGTGATTTTCCCACCTTTTAAAATTTCTCTGTCATCGCTGCTATTGGGAGGGAAGACTGGCATTTAAAAATTCTTCCTTTAATACAAGATGTAGCATACTGCTTCTGTACCGCGATATCAATTAAGGACAGTTACTGAAGAGCTTAATTTGAATACAGCATCATACTTAACTTTTCAAATTTTCTTAACAGCGAGCACATTTCCTATGTTTTAAGGAAGGAGCAGCATGAATCGTTGATCGAGGGCAACAGTCTCTAAATCAGATTCCATAAGAGACCAAAGCAGGGGTTTTGCTCCCCTTGCCTGGGCCAGCAGAGAAACTCATACGCCAGGAGCTCCAGTTACATGTCAGATTCTGGCAGGAGACATACTGAAATGGCCGAGACTTCTACCCACATCTTCAGCTCACATCTTCACCATCCAGCTTTCTTCAAACTCTCTGAGAATCCTGCTCTAGCCTTCCTCTTCTTTTGTGAGTCTTTCTCTCCCATCTTAATTTCTTATTGACATCTTTGATGTTAGCCCCTACCTTCCAACCATCTGTTCACACTTGCTTGCGATGTTGGATTTCCTTGCCCGTGTAACCAATTTTCCCTTCTTCCAAACCAACTCTCTTGTTGCAAACTTTTTTCCTCCCAATCTGTTTGTTTTGCTTCTCAGTCCTGGCTGCCAGTAGCAATGGCAGAAAAGTTATCCTCAGCTATTGTTCAGACTGTTTCACACCCAACACCTCTGCAGAATTTAGCTGTTCCACTCAAAAGAAATCTTTGGGGGAAATAAAACGAGAGGAATTTTCACGTGTTTAGTAAACGGGACCTCATTTGGGTATTTTCTCTTCACTTAAATAACAGAAGTTGCATCCCTGACAAAACCACGCTATGAAATATTGAGTCCTAATAATGTATTAATAAACTGCTTTTTTTATCGAATGATCCCTCACATGTTCTTCTTATGACCACTATTAGTAAACACAGAGTTGCTTCCCTGCTTCACATGGACAACATATAGCTGTCCCCTGAAGTATAGTGGTCAGAACCTAAGAGACAGAGATAAAAGGAACTTGCAGAACAAGAACAAGAGGCCGTTTTCCTCAATCCTAGTCTACGAGACTTTTTTTAAAGGCATATTTCCCCTAGAGTCTTACTACTCTGTCATTACTCTTCATATTTTAATCCTAGCTAGGTCTTCTTTAGCCTATAATTTACACTCTGTTTCATAATCCCCCTAAAATGACAATCAAGAACTTAAGAGCAAATCTATCCTGGTTTTCAATCTAACCTCTCTGTGCTTTGCTTGGCTACTGCAAACCTCCTAACCAGTTTTCTAGTAGTCTACCAGAAATTATAGTGCTGTCACCGTCTCCAGACAAGCAGAGAATTGAGATGTTAATATTTTAAATATACCAAAACAGTGGTTAAAAAAAAAAAAAAGTGACTTTTCTACCTGTCCACCAGGTAGTCACTTCAGACCCACACATTATTCTGACACAGGGAGAGGAATAAATAAAAATACTATTTAAAAAACAGCCACTCTCAATACCATTCCTTAGACAGCTCCACAATTAAATACCAAGATCTCTTGGATCAGAGATGTCGTAAGTTTTCAAACCTACTTTTGTGGTTATGTTCTTGAACTAGAGAAAGGCACAGGGTCTGCCATTAAACTTAAGAAAGAGCCTTTAATGGACAAGACTTTCTCAAGATGTACACCATTGGGTCTTTGCTAAGCTAATGAGTAGAGTATCAAGATACAGAAGAGAAAGAAGGAACAGAAAATAATTTATATGGAAATATGGTTCATAAGAGGAGCAGACTGCTGAGAGTTTAAGTATTTAGCAGTGGTCTCAAAGGAATTTTACCACAAAGATTAGTTATTATATCCTTATATTTGGAAAACCACAAGCTTTCAGTGTGCAGTCATCTCCAGAGTCATGAGAGGCTGCTGGCCACAACCTGCTTATGCTCCAACTCAGCTGGATTTAGAGTTCAGCCATGACAGCTGGTTGGTTTTCTAGAAGTACCTCCTCTACGCTCAAGAATGGTCTATTCCAACAGGCAGAAAGACAAGCAAAGGTAGGAAGAGACTTTCATGGATCAACAAGATGCTACTGATAAAAATCATAAAAAGGAAGAATGCAAAAGATGGAAATAGGATCAGGTGACCCAGGAAGAACATAAAATCACTATCTGAGTGTCCAGGAATGATTTAGGGAAAGCCAAAGGCCACCTGGAGTTAAATCAAAAGACATGAAGGGCAACAAAAAGAGGCCTCTACAAGTCTACCAGCTGCAAAAGAAAGATGAGGGTAAGTGTCAGCCTGCTACTAAGTATGGCAGGGGACCCAGCGACAAAAAGACATGAAAGAGACAGAGGTACTTAATGTCTTCTCTGTCTCGAACTTTACTGATAAGATTTGCCTTCAGGAATCCCAGGTCCCTGCAACCACAAGGCAAGTCTGGAGCAAGGAAGAGTTACCCTTGTTAGAGGAGGAGCAGGTTAGAGAACATTTAAACAGACTGGATGTACACAAGTCCATGGGACCTGATGGGGTGCCCCCACAAGGGCTGAGGAAGCTGATCCATGTCACTTGTGAGGCCAATCTTGATTATCTTTGAAAAGCTGTCATGAACAAAGAAGGTTCCTGATGAATGGAAGACAGTAAATGTCACTCTTATCTTCAGTTAGGAAGTTCCAAGGAACTACAGGCTTGTCAGCCTTGCTTCAATCCCTGTGAAAGCAATGGAGCAAACAACCTGAAAGCCATTTCCAAACATATAAAGGACAAGAAGGTGACTGGGTGCCGTCAGCACGGATTTATGAGAATGAAGTCATGCTTAACCAACCTGATAGCTTTCTATGATGAAATTACTAGCTTGGTGGACAAACAGAGAGCAGTGGATACTGTTTATGTTGGCTTCAGTGCTGTTTTTTATGCTGTTTCTCCTAACAGCCTCGCTGACAAACTGATGGGAGTACAGACTAGATGTACAGCTCAGACACTGAGGTAGACTGAGAACAGCCAAAGGTCTGCGATGAGTAGCACAAAGTCCAGCTGAAGGCCAGTCACTAGTAGTGTACACCAGTGACTGGGGTCAATACTGGAGTCAACATTACTTCACATCTTCAGTGATGGCTTGGATGATGGGACAGAATGCTCCCTCAGTAAGTCTGCAGATAGTATAAAACTCAAAGGAGTGGCTGGTGAACCAGATAGTTCCTCCACAGGGACTTCAACAAGCTGGACAAATGGGCCTGCAGCATCCTGAGCTGCATTAGAAAGTGTTGTCAACAGGTTGAGGGAGGTGATTCTCCCCATCTCTTTGGCACTGGTGAGGCAAAACTGGAGATGACGTGTCCAATTCAGGACTTCCTGGTACAAGAAAAACAGACTTACTACAGCAAGTCCAACCTTTGCTGGATTTGGCCATGAAGATGGTTAAGAGTATGTGACATACAAAAAGAGGCTGAGAGCTGGGATGGTTCACCCTGCAGAACAGAAGGCTCAGGGGGGTCTTATCAGTATGCATAACTACCTGGTGGGAAGGAGTAAAGAAGATGGAGTCAGACTCCTCAGTGGTATCTAGTGATAAGAGAAGAGGCTATGAAAACAAATAGAAAATATTTATTTATTTGGTAATCCCATGAGCGATGAAAACAAATAGAAAATATTTATTTATTTATTTTGTAATCCCATGAGCATGGTCAAACAGTGTAATATTGCTGAATGGTTGCAAGTCTCCATCCTTTGAGATATTGAAAACTTGACTAGATGTGGCCCTGAGCAACCTGCTCTAGATAACTCTGCTGAGCACAGGAGCTGGATTAACCAATTTCCAGAGGTTCCTTCCAACTACGACATGAAACAACCAAACAGCTGATTAAGAGGCCTGTTCTTAGAAACAAGTGGAAGAGTAGGTCTAAATTCAGATGTCTGGGACTAAGAGCAAGGGAAGGCAAATCTGGGATGCAGAAGAGAGATCTAAAGCAGGAAAGTAGCCATATTAACAAAAAGAGCACAATGGCAAACACTGGAAAAACAGAACACGGGTTTCAGTGGACAATCAGAAACCAGTGTTCAGGAAGCTAAATGACCAAGACAGCTACTGCTGTTCATACAGGCTTCCCAAAGCCACATGGAGCTGTAAAAAAAGGCATAACGAAGGATCAAAAAATATATTTTAAAGGATCTTGGCTACAAGTGGTACAGAATGTTTTCCCCTTGCTTCACTGCCATCTTTCACTCAGAAAAATGATAAAAATATTTAAGCGTTATTGAACAAAGTTCCACCTTTCACCAGTCACTACTATCACAAGAGATCAGGCAGAAACACTGTTGCTTACAAAAGCAAAAAAGGAGAAAAAGGGGGGAAAAATAGAGCTGATTATCTGCAGGGCAGCATTTAATCATTCTTCTCCTGTTGTCACTCAGAATCACACAAACATTACATTTAAAATAAAACAAGAAGAAAACCCTTACCTCTTTAACATTTTGCAAAGTTTCAGGAGTAATTGTGAAGTCTACTGGGCTTGGTGTCAGTTTCCCTTTCTGTGACTACAAGTAATGAAAGAGTTAAACTGTAAAAGATGATTTACAAAACACACAGAGAAAACATTAAAAAAAGACAACAAAGTCAAGCAACTGTTGGATGTGTCAGTTTTCAGGATTGGCTTCATACTGAAAGTATGCATCTATGTCATAAAAAACCTAAGACTTCCTGCCTTTGTTATTAAATAACATTATGATATTGTCTAAATAAAACTCACGATGAATTACAAATTTGCACTGTGGAAACAGAACTGGGTCAATTTTTGGTTACTTTGTGTTTGCCATTGCAATAAACCACAACAAGCTCTCAATTTCTAAATTTTTGGCATAAACTCTACCTACACTGAAAAAAAAAAAACCAAAGTAAAAGAAAAACAAACCATGTGGTTGACTACTCTAAACCACCTGGAAAAAAAGGAATACACTACCAATCTGAAGCATATGGTATGTTATAGAAAAAAGTTAAATTTCACATTTTTGTATTTATAAATAATTACATTTTACGTGTCACTTGCAATGTTTCCTTTCATTATCAATGCTTAGTAAATTTGAGCAGGGGAGAGAAGGGGTGATTATAAATGAACTTGCTCCATTGCTTCAAATATGTTTTATAAACTCTTTCTCCCTCGTTTTCTCCGACCACTCACTTTGAACTTTTTCTGCTGCCCTTTCAAATATAGGTTCAGGTCTCCTATGCCATCCTCCTGTTACTAGGAGATCCTCAGCTGATGGAATCTAGTGTAGCATTGATTTAATGGGCCTTGCATCCAGCTTCTTTAACTGCAAAAAGCCAAAACTTTTTGGTCCAGGTTAGCTTTCCATGCTGGAGAAGCCATTTTGGGGGGGGGGGGGCACATTATTACAGTTCTTCAATATCTATTTATCACCATTTATCACAAACCCAAGAAGCTAAATCTTTCCATCAGTGGCTGAATGGGCCTTGAGCTTGGCTGAGATGGCAGCATGAGGACAGCAAGCTTTGCTTACCATTCCCTGACCGACCTCTCCATCCCTATCCCAGTGAGATGCACTGTCTTTTCCCTGCATATTTAGAATAAGTGGCCAGGGCAGCATCAATTCTGAGAGACTCCATTGTATCCAACTGTGAGTTGGCAGAGCACACCACCACCAATGGGCTTCACTTGAACTCACAGTTAGGGTCTACCCTCACCACTTAAGAATTCAAAACAGCTTCTGCTGCCCAGCTGCAAGATGGAAGGCTGACTGTATTTCCCCATAAATGACAAATTCTGGCAAAGAATAAGGTTAAGGGAAATGGTACATTGAGCACTGACAGTGAGAATTATATGTTCAGTAAAACCTCATTAATTCACCCTGACTGAGAGATTCATGATTTACTGACTTGTGATCTAAGAAGTGCTGTAGTGGGAACAAGAAATAAAACCAGGAAACTGCATAATATGTAATTTGTTCACTATTTTGACAAGTGTGGCTTACTTATAATGTAGTAATGGACCAATAAAATGTAGCATAATATATTGTAGAAAATAATAAAAACTTACCAACAGGAAACTTCTTTATAGCACCTAGCTAAATCTTTAAAAAAGGTACTAAATCTTTAAAAAAGGTACTATAGAACTAAAATAACATATTTCCACCATTATTCATAAGTAAGACAAGAGTCTAATACTTTCCTGTCCTGTTAAGAGTTCAAAGGAATGATAGAAACAGTATGTTCTAGCAAGTTGTGGGTGGAAAAAAAAGAGATACTTAATTAGGGCAGCACAGTCTGTACTGACATCAGTTGTTCTGGACACGCGTAAAGTCAACATAAACTAAAAACCAGTCTGATACAGGAACTTCAAATAACAAGCAGCAAAGCATTTCTTGTGAGACACTCTCATCCCACAATGATACCTCCACAGGAGGAATGCTGTCTTCATGTTGCTAATGGCAGGATATGGATATTTTTTAACCTAGTTATCTTAGCACATTGCCAACCATGGGCTTACTTAATAGCAAAGGTGATTAAGCTGACAATCTTCTTATTTCCAACTTGATGCAGTCCCAGCTTTGATACTTTCAGTCAGGGCTCTAAATCGTAATTAGTCATCTGAAGAACAGAAATCAGTTATTTTCTCTTCACCAACGAATTCCCATTTCTAGGGCAGGCATTGTGGGTGTCTGGGACCTTTGGCTAAGGAACGCTGCAGATAGCCTGAAACAGCGTTTAGAAAAACACCGTAATGTTTATCTAACACCATTGTTTCAGAACTGAAAGGCTAAGAAAATAAACTCAGTGGAGTATAAAGACATCTAGTAATGCAAATCCTCTTTGTACTATTTTCTTTAAATGAAGAGAGAGACGTGTTATGCTAATCAGAAGCAACTGACACCCTAGCTCTTCTGGATAGTTTTAGGGGGTTTTTTGAGGCCAGTTTCCTTTACTCATACTTATCCCGTGTGTCGCTATTACAAGTTACGTGGTTTTACCCAGTCTTCTAACCTTACTGTCACACTTCACATAAAGTGGAAATAAGAAAAAGCTCACTTTGTACAGTTAACAGAAACCACACTTACCAGTGAGTGGACTATGAATTCACAAGTCTTGGTTAGGTCTTTTGCCAGCAGAGAACGTCGCATATCACACCGTAGGGTATACTGGCAAGAACAGGATGGCAGAGAAAAAGAAGAGAGCCTTAGTTAAGATTTCCCCTCTCTCTCTCTCTTAACTTCTCATCTTTTTATTGCATATGTACAGAATGTTACTGTTATTAATATTTAAGGCATTATTTAAAACAGGTTAGTAGGCAACATACATACCAGTGAAGGGGAGAGGGGAAGGTATACAGTAAGAGGTATACAGTAATTTTAGACGCTCCCAAATGAAAGCTGACTTTTCTCTGTATGTACAGTCCCATAGTCATTTGCAAATGCTTCCCATATCTTCTGTGATATGTAACAACCTATAAGATTGAGGGACTAATCGACTGACAGAGAGCAGTACGCCTGTACAGCTTCAGCACCCAAATTACATTCACTTAAGAGTGATTACGGTATTGCTTTTATCCACACTTTGGATTAGTGATTATCAATATGATATATTCACAGCCCCTCTAATTTTAAACTTATTACACAATTGAATTTAACAATGGTAACAGTTACGTGCATATTTAACGAGGAACTGTCTTTAACTGTAGAGTGGAACTTAAAAGCAGCAGTGTGCAGTAAAGTCGGGCAATAGGGTTATTTTTGCCGTTCACTGTTCTAAAACTTGCTGTCAATTTCCTCCCCTTTCTTCCCTAAAAAGGGAGCCATAAACGAGTGACCGAAAAACAGCATGACCCTGGTTATCACAGTAATCATACACTTAAGAACCTGTAACATTGCCTTTCAATGTCTTTACATGAGAGGGAATTTGTTGGGGTGGGGTTTTTTTGCTATTTCATTTTTAATTCCCTTACAGGTAAGGAATTAGCAAAACCAGGTGCACTCTGTCTAGGGACCCAACTTTGTAACTTCTAGCTCATGGTGTCTCTCAGCACATAACCTGAACACGCATGTAAGAACAAGACTGGGGAGCATATCTCTTTCCCCATCACAGACTGTGATTTCCACTGAAGTTGACAAGTGTTGAGCACACCTTCTATGACTGCACTACACTTCACTCAGACCAGGGAACACAGTGCAATGAGGCAGCAGGACCATACATGCTTTGCAATTCGGCCCACAGCCTCCCCATCAGTATCCAATTAGAAATTCTTTGCATGAGAACAGAGACTTGGATCTTGATACTGAAACCCCAAGTAACGTACTAATAATGAGATCAAGAAATCTTTTGATGCATCCTGGGCTGCATCAAAAGCAGCATGCCCAGCAGGTCAAGGGAGGTGATTCTCCCCCTCTACTCCACTCTGGTGAGATCCCACCTGGAGCACTGCACCCAGCTCTGGAGACCTCAACATAAGAAGGATGTGGACCTGTTGAAGTGAGTCCTGAGGAGGGCTACGAAGATAATCAGAGGGCTGGAGCACCTCTCCTCTGAAGACAGGCTGAGAGAGTTGAGATTGTTCAGCCTGGAGAAGAGAAGGCTCTGGGAAGACCTTTATAGCAGCCTTACAGTACCTAAAGGGGGCCTACAGGAGAGATAGGGGTGTACTTTTCATCAGGGAGCGTGGTGATAGGACGAGGGGTAACAGTTTTAAACTGAAGGAGGGTCGATTTATATTAGATATGTGAATAAATTCTTTAGTGTGAGGGTGGTGAGGCACTGAAACAGGTTGCCCAGAGAAGCTGTGGATGCCCCATCCCTGGAAGCATTCAAGATGAGGCTGGATGGGGCTTTGAGCAACCTGCTCTAGTGGGAGGTGTCCCTGCCCACGGCAGGGGGGTTGGAACTAAATGATCTTTAAGGTCCCTTCCAACCTAAACCATTCTGTGATTCTATGATTCTAAATAATAGAGGCTTGCTTTTAAACTGCACAGGACTTGGACAGAGGTCTAGGAAGTATTTTGTAAACAGCACCTTTAGTTACTCAAATAAAAAAAAAATAGGTGGCATACTGTTTGTACTCTATTTTTCCATTTATTGATTTGGACACATATACATAGATTAGAAGCAAATGGAACTCTTTCTTTGATTTATTTAAAACTAGCAAAGTATTTTTCAATTCAAGCCTGATTTTCCAGAAAACAGACTTAAAGTTCTTAAAAACAGACTTAAAGAACTTAAAAGTTCTTTACTGTGAGGGTGGTGGAGCACTGGAACAGGTTGCCAAGGGAGGTGGTTGAGGCCCCATCCCTGGAGATATTCAAGGTGAGGCTCGATGAGGCCCTGGGCAACCTCGTCTAGTTGGGGGTGTCCCTGGTGACTTCAGGGAGGTCGGACTAGGTGACCTTTGGAGGTCCCTCCCGGCCCGGACCATTCTATGATTCTATGATTCCCCAATTTATATCTGTGTATTTGTTTTATCAGGTATCAGTGCACCTTATGTAACTGTGGGACCGACTATATTTTCCTCTTCAGGACAGCAGGACTCTCAAAGGTTGGCTGAAATCTAATGATTAACCTTTTAATTACATTTTATCCCCAGCTTGTAAAGAGAAGCTAGGTAGATGAGAGAGGGAATGATAAAACAAAACAAATATTCACCATTAAAGTATACCTTAATTTGCCTATGATTGATACCGGTTGTTTTATCTGGATTACGGAAAGCAACTCAACGAGTTTTGCACCATTTTTGACATACCTACCACAAACAACAGATGATACATTAAAAAGAAAGCCAGGACTGAAAAAAAGATGTGGGAAGTACTTAAAGCCATCCGAACGTAGACAAAAACACGAGAGTTTTTCTTTTAGTTACTTCTGATAGGCCAGTAGGTGGGAGGGGTTTTGTGGGTTTTTTGTTTGTTAGGGTTTGGGTTTTTTTAAATGCCAGACTGTAATATAAGACTTTCAGTTTAGCTACATAACTAGCAGTTTTATACTTCGTCATCAAATCCAGTACTCTCAGCAGTGAGCTACAAAGGGATGTGGGGGGAAATTTTTACAACTCAGTGATTCTTCATCAGCACTGGTGTGAAATCTTTTTCATTTAGTGGCTCCTACAACTTTTCCTTTGAAGAAAAAGACCAAAAAGCTTTTTCTTACTGAGGGGAGGTGTTATCTAACACAGTATCTGCATTTAAGTGATAGCTGAATAAAGACTTTCTTTAAAAAACAAAGCAAAACAAAACCACCCCAAAACCCCAAAACCAACAACAAAACCCCAAACAAACAAGTCCATCTATGGTAATTTTTAACCAAAAAAGGTCAAATTTCAAAATTGTGTTTCTACAAGATTCTGTTACAAGCTTGTAATACATCCAGATTTGGGCAGGAAATGTTACTACTCATCTCCACAGGAAAGCGAACAATTAGTGTTTTTGAAGATGCTACAAGCTCTAAATGCCTTGGTTTGAGTCTTCATTATGAAATTACACAGCCACATTTGTTTTGAACAAAAGGACACTGTGGTGCAGTCTTTTTTCATGAAGGGAATGGATGTAGTTGTCTAGAACACAAGTAGGGATCAGATACATGTTACAGCAGTTCTGACAAGGTATTTCAGGCAAGACAGCTTGTTACTGTTCTGTTTATGCCATCATTCTTTTAAAGATTAACTCTATATGGAAGGCCTGAAACAATAAGTGATGGAAAGATATCCTCTAGTTATTCCTTCTCACAAATGAATGGAGGAAAACAGACTCTGAACACTGGGTAGCTTTGTTCCTGTAGGACTTATCCCTGTGTGTTAAACTGGATCTGGTAAGTCAGTACACTTCACTTTTCATATTGAAGTATTATTAGCATTAATTAGTTGTCTACTATGCTAACAAAGTCTCACTGGTACTTGGTTAACAATACATACACTTGTATCTGGGTATGTACTACAATACAGATTATCTACAAAGTGGTAAATGCAACTTCTTTCACAGTAAAATCAGAACTAGATGCAAACATCACCCTGTAAGAAAACTGTGCAAGATTTAACAAGTGTGGCAAATACATTTTATCCTTTCTCAACCCAAAGCCCCTCTTTCCAGTGTTCTCTCTTGTACATCCTATGTTACATCTGATCAGTTTCATTACCATGAGCTATTTCCAATGAAAAGCTTAAACTTGCTGGAAAAGAAAAGGGAACAGACATCACAACAATTTTTTTAAAGCAGCATGATATTGATGGGATTCTGAGGTATCAGAATGGCTCCTTTGCCACATTTAAGAAGTTTCACCACCTGTGGAAAGTGTTGACTCCTGAGAACTGGAACTGAAAAAGTCAACTAGAAACTACCTAAAAACTAGTACTCAAAAGGTTAACACATATCACAATTTTTAATTTTAAGTTATATCTAGAAAATACAGTACACACCAGAAGAATGTTATATTAATAAAGGGAAGCTTAAAAGCTACTCACTTCAAAGGATCTCTACACTTTCTGCTCATTCTTCAAATTGAGAAAAGAAAACATATTGCAGTATGAAAAGAAAACTTTAGCACAAAACTTTATCCTCTGCTTCCATGGAATAAGAGATGCTTTAGAATACATTCTGTAGACAACAAAAGTTCAGATTTTCTTTACCGATATGACCGCCTTACCTGAATATTAACAAAGACACCGTGATATGTCTCATATAGAACTTTATTCCCCTTCATATGCAATGGAAATTCAAATGGAATTTCTGTCTTGCCACTGGGAAGTTTTCCTGGTTTTACCATTTCAATAGTGCTGTTAATAATTTGAATAGGCTGCAAAGATAAATATTAAGAGGTTTAGGTTGAAGCAGAGTGACAGCCCCACCATTTCAAGAACTAACAACCATCCACCAAACTCTAATAAGAATTCCCAAATTTCCAGAAACTTAGGTATTTCTTTGTGACACACAGCTCTCTAGTCTTACAATGAAAAGAAACATTAAAAATGCTTTCCCCCAAAAAAACCCCACAACAATTTGTGATCTATCTTACTAATGATCAAGCGTATTTAGAGAGCTAAACAGCAAAGTCTCAAGCGCTTTGGAAAGCGGAGTTCCATTTTCTAAATGATGACTGTTAATAGAAGGAATTGGAACAGTTAACAGGAATCAATGGCTGTGTGCACCAGTTGAGCAGTTAGCCATTCCCTCCTACCTTCTCCCACCCTAAAGATACACATTTAGGGCTAGTCTCCCACTGGAACAATGGTTAACTACAATTCAACTGGGGAAGCCTGTTTGAAGATTACACTTCCCTCTGGAGTTTTAGTATTATTTTCCCCCTAATAGGAAGGAAAAAAAAGTCTTGCTTCTACTGGTTTTTTTTCTGTTTTTAAATCATTCATGGGCAAATTCACTACAAATTAAGACATTTAAAGGTCCTGCACCAAGGCTATCCTAACTCAACCGAACTGTTTTGCACATGTAGCTAGACTGCCTCTAGAGAGAGCCAGCTTTGCTTTCATCAGTACAGCCACATTCATGAGGAGCCTGAGATAACCTGCCCTGTTAGCTTCCCAACCCCACGCTTCCAAACCTGGAGAATGCTACATAGGCCTTCCAGGAGCTCCACAGTCAGTCTGCACACAGCCTAATACTTCCACAGAAGAATCTGTGCAGGTCCTGTATCATACCCAGTAAGTAGCACACAACCTCAATGGCCTCCACAGAAACTATTGTATTGTGACTGATGTGGCACAGAAGTCCAATTAAAATGAGTCACTTTTAAAATAAAACAAAAAAAAACAGACAAAAAAAACCCCACACAATTTGTTATTTCTCTTTAAATCATGGTCCTTCAATGCATTACCCAGTAACTATACTATTTATGTTACTGTATTTCAGCCCCAAAGAAAACTCTCCAACAAGTGCAAGTTCCTCCCCCAAAATGTCATCATACATCACTAGGTAATGCTGAGCATTTCTCTGCTTTCTATCATTACCATAGCATGAAGTGCTATAACTACCTGAAAGCCATTAAAGAAAGACTTAATTTGAGAAAAGAGACAAAGATTTTGTGCTAAAAATATTAACCTGCACAGGTCTTACCTTGACAGAGTTATAGAAAGCTTCGAACACACCCACACTTTTAGCACTAAGCTGCAGATTCACTGATCCTTCCATTGTTAACGAGATACCTTGGTGCTGGACTGTGTCCTTACTTGTTATGACCACGACTCCAGAAAGTATTTCCTAATAGAAGAAAAGACAAGATGAAAACATTTGTTTAAATAAATGTCTTTTATAGCTGTTAGTCAGCGTGCTAACTGATTTTCAAACTCACAACAACTGTTCCCAGAGAACAGTCTAACCTTGTCAGAAAAGACAAATACTGATAATGAAAGCAACATGAGGAAGAGACATCTGTACTTCTAGTTTGTTTTCTTTAAAAACACTGTCCTCCTCCTTGCAAAAGGAGCTTCTATTTCTTTCCAAAGTTTCAAGATCTTCCTCTCCAGGAAGATGAAAAATACCCTCATAAACAACTATCAAGTCAGTTGGCAATAGACACATTTCATTTCACAAATTAGAATGAAAGCCCAAGAGAAATTTTTATATGAAGAGTGGGACGGTCAGCCATGAGAGATGGAAGAGAAGGCACAACTGTAAAGGTGATGGCCAAGCTGAGGATAAAACTCACCTAAAGAACAGAGCAGAATAGCTTTAAAATAAAGAAATAGTTGTTCTGCTACACAAGCAAATTCCATGCTACATGGGAAATTATTTAAAAGTGTATCTGAATCAAAGGCACAAGTTGTATGACTCAAGAGGTATGTTATTTATCCCATTAAGAATGTTTTGTCTACAAAACTGTATTTGCACAAGAACACTGCATCTTGGAAGTATCAACTTAGTTATTCTAACACTGGGAAAAAAAAAAAAAAGAAGAAGAAAATTAACTGCAGGAAAACAACACACAGTTCATTTTACATACCCCATAGTTTATCCTTCCCCTCTCCTACAACAGAGAATCCACTCCAGTCCCGAGTTCCATGTCAAACACACATACACATCTCACATCTGGAAATAGCAGCAAGGGATTTGAGAACCTGAAGAAAGTTTCTTGGGGCTAACCTTCTCTTCTGCTCCATGGGAATGCTCTCTGCACCTTCACCAGGCTTGCAAACTAGACACCAAAGGATACTTCAGACTGCCCACTCTACACTTGACCAGTTAAAACCAGTCTACTTATGCACATCTCTGACAGACTCTATTTGCATTTTGCCAGCCTTTTGTCTTTACTAGTGGTACAGGATGACAATATAGAAAAGGGGTCAGGCGGTCTAAAGCAGAACAGGACCGCAGCAGAACATCAAGCATCACCAGGAAGGCTGACATGCTGCAAGTCTGAAAAGAGGACCTGCAGCAACTGGGAAATGCCAGAAACAGGAGGCACAAGCACAAAAGGACAGTGAAGAAAAGCTGACCTAAATACTGTACTGCTTTGCTAACAGGCTTTAATTAGTACAAGCAATTAGGTTATTGCTTTGAAAAATGAGTACAGCCAAACTATAAGAAGCAAGGACAATCCTGAACATATGAACTGCTTTAATAAATGAGAACAGTCTCCCACCACACAGCAACAACCTGTTCCAGAGCTATTGCCTACATACTTTCACACGGTAAGGGTGTATGTATTTGGGACAGAAAGGAGAAGAATGACTTGAAGTTAAATATTTAATTTTTCTTATAACATTCGATGTCTCTTAAGAAACCAAAAACACCTCAAAACCACTTTCTAACAAGAACTTTTAAGGGTCACTAGTGCCGGGGAGAGGGAAGTATAACGAAAAAGGTGTTGTCATATTTACTTAAACTGTTTATATGCAATCAGATTATATTTCTCTTTGATGAGTGGGGAAGTTGGCTATGTCTTTTCTGGAGAAGAGTTACTTCGTCCATTTTTTGTAAAACCAGGGTCCCCTCCAAATACAAAGCTACCAGTATACTTGTCCTTCTAAAAAATACACATCAAAGAACATGATCTTGCCAAGATGTTCAATACTTATAGTTAGCAAACAATTTATGAGAAATCTTCACTTCTGCAAAAGATTTGCAAACGTGTACCATTTGTAAAAGTTACGTGGCATCACTTAATACTAAACTAGTACTGTTTTCAGTCCATATCATTTACCTTTAACAGCACAAAGTTAAAGGTGTAGAGAAAGTCACCATAGGAATTAATCCCCACATACTACAATGTAGTAACTTACAATCAATTGCTCTTACTCACTTTTTACCTTCTCCCTTACTAGGAACTCTTCATGACTTTACCAAGTGATGACAAAACTTTGCAAGATGGAACTAAACTAATACAGTTCTACACAGAATAATGCATCTAAACAGAGTATTCATCCAGAGGAAAGCCTGTATTACGCCAAGCAGACAGAAAAGTTAGGTACATATCCTAAACTGCAAACAAAACATTCTTGTGAAAAGACTGTCCCAGGCTAATGATCCCAAACAAGGTTTTTAGCTTTCTGTTGTCAGTTCCTTACTATTCAGATATGTACATGAAACTGCCAGGAAGACAGACACTTTCAAAGTTTCGGTCACTTTCAAGGTCACAATTGAGATGAACACCTGCTTCATCTGGTCCACCAGCACAATCCCTTGTTATCTCAAGTTGCAGAGCTACCCAAGTCTGGCTGAGGACAACTTGGAACAATCTCCAATCAATAACATGAATCACAGAATCTCATCTTAAGAGTTCTAAGTGACATCTGGACTTCTGACTGAATTAGACAGCTATTTGGTATCTATAAACTTCATGTAAAGACTGGAAGGATCAATGTGCATACCATACTGTCCCATAAATTGTTGGGAAAATTACTTGTAGTGTTAAAATATACATCAATTCCAACCTGACTGCTTACACTGTCGGATCTGTTTGTTACATTAAGGGGTTAGAAAAATTACTAACAAGACACCTTAGGTTCCTTTTAGATTCCACTTTCCACGTAACAGGCATTCCCTTTTAGGACACAGGGCAAACATTTGGCCATATGAAAATTCACATTAAGTTTAAATAAGTCACATGCGTGATCACCTTCCACATCTATTCCTCTGAGCAAGCCACCTGCAAATCTTGACTACATATTCTTCTGATTACTTAGAAAGAAACTGACCACATTCAATAGAAAAAGTCTGCTCTGACCCAACTAACCAGTCATTAGATGCTTTAAAACCTCAATGCTCAGATTTACTAATTAGTTTGCTTTTTTAGAAAAAGGCCTCCTTATGGGCAAATTCTGACAAGTATATTTTGGACTCACTTGTCATTAAAAGTCTTGGCTGATGTTAACTACGGCACCTTTCTTTGTACAATGCATTTTTCAGGCCTTTCACCCTATAATTCCTTTAATTATCAATCTCAGACTAACTGCCACAGTTACTCCAGTCATCCTGTTCAGGTTTTCTAAATAAAACGTGTCATTAGTTGTGCCTGTCCCCTCATTCTTTTGGCATTCCAGAGTTTATTAAATGAGCCTCAATGGCTCAAGAATTCTCCATCCAATTAAAAAAAAAAAAAAAAAAAAAAAAAAAAAAAGGTTGTGGCCTAGGCAGAGCAGAGTAGCGTTCCCTAGTGTGGTAAACCTTCTTCCTTGTTTTATTTGCTAGCGTGTTTCTGTAATGTATGAGGCAGAGTCTTTCCTTCACTGCTT